AGTGCGCAAATACTTCTAACACCTTCCACAGAAACTTCTCTCTCCAACTCACATCATACACGACCGTATCTCCGTTGTTGTAAACCGACGACACGGTTTCCACCCGGTAGCGACGCCCCGACCGCAAAACGCCCGCGTCAAGGTACGCGAAGTAACCGGTGTAAAGGCTCGGTCCGATCTCGTGCGCCCCCGGTCCGTACCAGAGGTCCAAATCGCTGAGGAAACTGTGGGCCGGGAGCGTTTGCGCCGGGGAGTCTTTGTCGACGAAAAAGATCTCCAGGGGCGTGGTTTCACCGGTTGAGAGGTCGGTGATCGTGGCGAAGTTACCGGTCGAGTTGCGCAGAGCGGCCCAGGTACCGCCCTTTGCCTCCTGCAAAAATAACAAGGTTCTAGAGATGAGGCTTCGAGTTAGAAGCATGGATCGAAACGCCTTTCAATAAAGGATTCTAAGTTGATCTCAGTTTGGTAAGGGCCGGGGAGTCTTTGACCACGAAGAAGATTCCGAGGGGCGTGGTTATACCGGTCGAGAGGTCGGTGATCGTGGTGGCGTAACCGGTAGAGTTTTTGAGGGCGGCCCACTCAGGCCCACTGGCAGGTACCGCCCTTCTTCTCCTGCCGAGAACTACGGGCAGTGAAGAAGTGCTTACTTCCTGAAATCTGACGGTCCTTGAAAACGCCCTCCGCTCTTCACCATCAATTCTCACAATTGCTGATTGTCTGGTCGACCGCACAGTAACGTTCCTCGCATTATAAAGATTCTCTCGTAATACATTCGAGGCGCGACGTGATGATCTGATCGACAGGAGAGGGAGAAGCAAAGATTTGTACTTTTCAAGGCGCTTCTCATAACTGCTTGGCGGCACACGGGACAATTGGTGATTGTCGATCTATTTGGTCGAAGAATAAAGTCAGCGTATCAGACGACCTTTTTTCTCCTCGAAGTCGATCTTTGACAAAACAAAGACGACGAACGAAAACGAGACAAGATCCGAGAAGCAGGCTGCTTACTGCTTGGCGGCCGCAGAGGGGACCGTTGATAATGTTCGTCGTCTTCCTTCTGTTCTGTTCTGTTCTGTTATGTTATGTTATCTTTTTGCGGGAAACTATCTTTTTGCGGGAAACAAAAAGGCAAAAGTCATCAAACTAAAGAATTGGGGAAGCAAGAAAAGCATAGCGAAAGCTGCTTACGGCTTGGCGGCACATGGGCAATTGGTGAGCGTGTATTTGTCTGATCAAAAGGTCAGATGTGGCGTCTTTGACAACCTTCATTTGCCCAAAACGAGTCTTCGAGGAAGATAATGAACGACACGAATCAGGTAAACAAGGAGAAAAGGGAACAGCGGAAGGAGTAGAAGCTGCTCACTGCTTGGCGGCAGACGGGGCAGTCGGTGACTGTCAGACACACGTCAAAGTCAACAACCTTCGTTCGATTCAAAACGGAAGGGCAAAAACATACAACGGAAGCCCATGAAAGCTAAGGAAAAAGGGGCAAAAAAGCACAAAGAGCCTAAGGTGGTGCTTACGGCTTGGCGGCAGACGGGGCAGTCGGTGATCGTCTGATCGATCGGGCACACGTCATCCCCGACCGTGGAAAGCTGCACCGAGCCATCGCAGCAGGCGCAGTAGAACGGGGAGCAAACCGCCCAGCAGAGGACGTCAGCCACAGTGATGATTACCGGGCGGTTCGGCCTGAAAGTACAAGTGCGGTTGGGGCGGTTAAGTTAGGTAAGTAAGTTACAGGAAATTAAAGGGTTTAGTAAGGATGGATAAGTCACAGGAAGAGGTTTAATAGGATGGATAACCAGAGACGGGTCTCGTATTTCGTCGACCGTTGACGAAATTTGGTTACTGCTCGCGCCTGGTCGTTGAACATGTGACGAGCTTCTAAACGGCCCTTTGACCGACCAGGGTTAACGCCCAAAAACCCAGCTAGTGAGTCGAGATTTGCGTTTGAGCCAGGTGGAGCCTGGTACACGATCGCGGCAGAGAGCACCTATCAAACTGAAAGCGGAGATGAAACCTACAAGCACGTACCATTCAACTCAAAGTACCAACCCCACAAATATTCCTCTCCAAAGTAAGAACCCATCGTAGTCAAACTCCTGTAAACCCGGGAAAAAACCTAACCTGAAAGTGCAGGTGCGGGCGGGAACCGGTAGGGGAAATCCATCGCCAGGGGCATCAAAGGCGGCCGTCAGATAGTAGGCTCCCGTGGCCGGTTGGAACTCCTCGCACGGGACGTTCTCGACGGTAGCCAAGGGGTTCCTGGAGAGTAAGCGGAATTCCGGTCTGGCAGAACGGAACTGGGGGTAAAGTAGATGGAGTTTGAACCATATAAGCGCCCGGAGGGGCCTGTCTAATAGTAGGCGGCCGTGGTCGGTTGGAACTTCTCGCACGGGACGTTTTCAACGGTAGCCAAGGGGTTCCTGGAGAAAGGGCGGAATTGCGGTCTGGCAGAACGCAATTGGGGGGGAACCAAACGAACCCGGTTGGGCTGCTTAAGCGCCCTGGGGGCCTGTCAAATTGTAGGCCCTCCGTCATAAAATTGTCCGGAACTCTTCGTTTTCAATGATTGTCAAGGAGGTTCCCAGAGAGAGAGCGGAATTCCGGTTTACTTGAATGGAACCGGCGGTAACTGGAACGGAGTTCGGGCTGGATAAAAGAGGTGCCCGTCAAGTAGAAGGCTCCCATGGTGGGTTGGAACCCCTCGCACGGGACGTTTTCGAAGGTAGCAAAGGGGTTCCTGGAGAGAGCGGAATTCCGGTCTGGCAGAACGGAACTGGGGGTAAACACAGACGAAGTTTGGGCTGCATAAGCAAGCAGGGGGCCTGTAAAATGGTAGGCCCTCGCAGACTGGCTGGAACTCCTCTTCCGGGACTTTGTGACAATAGCCAAGACGTTCCTGGACAGAGAGTGGAAATCCGGTCGGGCAGAGCGGAACCGAGGATAAACAAGACGGAGTTTGGCGTGGATAAGGGGGGTGCCCGTCAAACAGTAGCTTTTGTGGTCGGTCGGGATTCATTGCACAGGACGATGTTGAGGGGAGCCAAGGGGTTCCTGCAGGACCTCAGAAATTCAATTTAGCTCCAGGTCAACTGTGCTTGCTTCAAATATCGTCTTTCAAGCAGCCTTCAAGGTGGAGAAGACATAGAAGAACGTTGGTGGCTCCTATCAAGCTTTTTGTTCAGAAGAAAGGCACACTGCAGTTAGTTGGGTTTCTGAAAGCAGCCCATGTCAAATGCAGCCCATTGAAGTCATACGCAGCCCGAGCTTGGGTCTTTCGAGAAAAGCACACACAATGCTCTAGCAAGATACTGAAGCAGAGCAGGGTTTGAGAGCAGGGGGGAATCAGACGAGTATGCAGCAAAGCAAACCTGCTAAGAAATAGAGGAGAACTAGAAAGACGACTAGAGGAAGTCAACCGACCTGAGATCAGTGTTGAGCGCAGTCAAGAAGTCAAACGTGGAGGCCACCGCTTCTTCCACCACTTGTTGGGTCGCAAGCAGCTTGCGCCCTGAGTGCGCGAGGGTTGGCATTGCGTGCGCTGCTGGCAGTAGGAGAAGCAGAACTAGGATGGGGCCGGCGCTCAAATTCAGCCCACGTTTCGTTGGTGCTTGCGCCATGCTTCTCTCTCTGAGGACCCTGCAAAAGGGAAGTTGAGTCTGGGTTTTGAAGCAAAACAGGGGGACAATGTGCAGGGCCCTGAATCCTTGCCTTTCCTCAATGTCTTCAGAACTTCTGAATGTCTCCATTATATCTGCGATGCACCCAGCTTTCACCATTCTTAGAGCAAAATGTAGTTGTTGGATAGAGTACTATATTGAGAGAAGTGGACTCTGAAAGCTGTTGCATCAGGGCTCTAATTGAAGTGCATTCCATGCATGCTGCAGGCTTTCAAATGCTTCTCAACCTGACCTCCAAACTGCTCCTCAAAAATAGCACGCGTGTTGAGAAGCTATTATGCATAAAGCTCATCGACCAGAGGACAGTGGAGTGCCATAAATCTGAAGAAGTCGCAGCGTTCTGAACTTCAGTGCAAGTCGTAATTCGCCAGTCTTCACCTACCTGATATTCTAGCATGTGCAATACTTTTCAGTCATCCCCGCAACTTTTTCCAGGTCATGCTGCTATCTTCACAGCAGGAAACTTATGAGTACAGCGTGTTCATGAGAGCAAAAAGAGTCTCACAATCTCAAATCAGCGCAATGCAGTTGGTGTACAATATTACCTCCAAGTCCTGTTGATGGACATAGCAGCTTTGAGGCAATTCAATTTGCTTGCTTCTACTCACTAGCTAGCTCCAAGAAGTAGCTTTCTAGGAATGTAGCAGTAGCTAACAGCATTGGGGCAACTGCGCTGCCGGTTGGCTTCTAGCGTTTCTTGCAACAAGAGTCAAGGATGAAGCCAATGGACCCACTGACAGAAGGAATGACTGCGTGGAATGCGCAGCTATACAACCGGCGCCGGCCCAGTACTAACAATGTCAATGTTGCGCTTTACCCCCGCTTTACCTAGGCTCAACAAACATGCTAATATTGATGCTTTTCCCATATGAAGGCTCATGACCGTGACTGCCAGGTCAGCTTGATGTTAAGGCAACGTGGATGTAATGTAGGATGAATCGATCTCTTGCACTGAGATTGCGCTACTCTTACGAGGCCTTCTTCCGGATCCAATTACTAAGTTGGCCCAGGAGTCAACGTCTCGGCTGACTCATGGTTTCCAGCAAACGTTGTCCGGTCAGCTGTGCAATTGCAGCTGCCCCGTGCCCAGACGTCAGATCCTAGTATTGTAGTATACTGGAGTCTACCGTTACTGGTTCTAGAAACTCGCTGTGGTACAAACACTTGCGTAGGTACGCACCGCCGACTGGACCGGGGATTTCAACGTGGCGTCTTCTCACGTATCTGTGGAACGGCGGTTTCAACTTTGCGGTACAAACTTCACTACGCTGAGGCCCAGCCGCCCTAATCATATGTAGACAGTAGCTGGACAAGCGCGGTATGTACCTGGGGTTGGCGGGCCGGGAAAGTGGCGTGACGGTTCCTCAACTGCAGCCGTCATGAGTCGTGGGGGTCGGACCGTCGCAGGTACCAACCTGCCTAACTCCATCATGCATCTACTACGCAGAATATGCCGGTACACAATCTATACGAGTGTAGCGCGTATGCATGGTCAGCATGCTAGAAAAGCAGGGAATGGAGCTCGTTACCGTCGATTCGATGTGAGCAGCTCCTCTGAGTCGTCGATGGTATACCTTTAGGGAGCCGCTTTCTAACCGTCAGTGCAAGCTGGTGCGGCCAGCTGCGTCCAGCTGCCAGCTTGCAGCTGCCAATGAAATCTTTTGAGCTGGCACTGAGCCGAAATCTGCGTCCTGGAAAGCTTGACAAAAAGCAACTGTTGAGTACTCTGAAAACGAAAATTCAAGTATCATTCGCCGACGTTCAACGGTTTGCACTGAGCCTGCTCACACCAGGTGGCAAACTTCCAGTGCGAAGGCTTTCGAACTTGAAATCAGTACAGGTTCTCGAAATCAGCGAAAATTCCTTTCCGCGATACAGCTACTTTCCATGCCATCTAGTTGCACGGCTTTGACCTCCACTGCTTCATCTCAGCTGCTATCTACCCGCCAATCCGTTTAGACTAATAGCAGCTGCACGAGAGTGCCTGACTTTAACCTGAATGACATAATGTTCCAGCTTGTTTTTGTGCACGGTATTAAACTGAACTAGATGCAATCCAGTAGGACGCTTATGACGAATCGAAAAATGCTCAAAACGAGTCACCATGAAAATGAATACATTACCAGCTGCTAATGTTCATATTCGAGCTGACACCTCGTCTAGTTTGATGACAAATGAAACAGCAGCTTGTCAGACGCGCGTCACGATATGCATATGTAAGCAGTGGTGTTGCCGACCGTCACGGTACAGCTAAGGGCTCAGCAGCCTCCAGTATAGTCAAACCTGATTCTGCCGCGCCGTCCTCGTCAAACATGATTGAAGCTCTTCAGCAGATCATGATTGATTCTGCTTTGAGCACTCTTAATGCCCGCGGCCCAGCTTATCACACATGAGAAGCACACGGGGGCATGCGGGCCTTGTGCCCACTTCAAGATAAGGCATATGCCATGCGCCTCGACACCTGTACGAATACGTTGTAGTGGTTATACGCAATCAAAGCTTTGCAAAAACTGTTCTGAGGCCGCAGAAATTAATCAATCCAATGCACTGCAGCAACATGTCAGCTCCTCCAATTCAGCTGAGCAAGCGGGTAGAGTCAAAGTCGGAAGCAGCTCAATCCATAGATACGAATCCTCAAATCCCAATTCTCGTTCACCTCAGCACCCACTACACCCACATACATAAAGCATTAAAGGCAGCTGCCAACTCCAGCAATCCAGAGCTTTCCAACATTTTGTCGCAGTTCTCAACCCCACCGTTCCCTTTATCTCCCTTGCAACAATGGCGCGGCAATTGGTTTTGCCCTCTGTCGTAAAGCCAGCTGCGCTAGGCCCTGTTTTTGCTGCGGTGCTCCTTTTCTGCGCCCTGCTCCCCGTGCGCGCCACTTCCAGCAGGGCCCTCCTCACCAGGCCCGCTGACGTCACTCCCGACGTCAACCTCCCAGACGAGGCGGTCAGCGTGCGGAAGGCGATGTTCGACGTCACCATAGGCGATGGGACGCACCATAACCTGGCGGTGTTCGTATACGAGCTGAGTTCGCTAGACGGGGGAAGAGAGTCCCACGTATCCCATGAGTGCAAGAAGAACCAGGACGTGGCTCTGGTGAGTGGGCGATTGCGGTGGGCTTGTCGGTCTTTTCAAATCGTGTGATTCCTTGCACAAAGCTAGAGTCAAGAACTTAAGACAGAAGATTCAAAACCTCGAAGAAGATCAAAGGGAAGTTTTCCTAGTTCACTATCAGTTCAACCCTTGTCCCTCTTTGTTTGTTTTCAACATTTGTCCCTCTCCAACTAGCTCTTACCCTCCCGTCATCTTCTAGCTCTAGACACGTTTCACCTGCTGAGTATTGAAATCCCTTGTAGGTCACGCAGAATTGTTCTTGTGAAAGCGGCTTTCAGAGTTTGGGGAAGGGCCTAGCTGGCCAGTGGGGCTGAGCGCTGCATCTAGACCAGAACGGAATTTGCCATCGAATCCACGCTTGTGACGCTCGTTGCTGCCACACCTATTCAAAACCGTAGTCTTCAGGCAATACTGGTAACTTTTTATCCCGTCTGACATTGCAAAGGTGCATCGGAATCTTGTAGGGATCTCAGAACGGCAAGTATCAAGGGCTTGGCATCTCGTTGACATATAAGCGTTTGAAATGGCAGGTCCTTTTCCACGGTGCCACCTACAACCACCTGTACTGGGACACCCCCGTCAGCGTGGACAACTCCCCGCACTCGCATGCAAGGTACGTACCGTCGCTCTCTCTTTGTGAGTACCGTCACTAAGCAAACTGAAAAAGTTTTCCCGGATTCGAGACCCTGTTTCCAAGCTGATCTGCAAAATTCCACTACCTTTCGTCCGAGTCGACAAGGACACACGAGACTTTCACTTGGAAACGCGGCATCATGGTATCCTATTTCGACGCCAAACTCTTTTGCGCAGAGGTGCTGCACCAGACCAATCTTTTACAGTCGAGCAACCTTCTTATCTCCCAACCAACAAGTCCCGTCTCCCTTCGCTTAACATTGTTCCTCATTCCGGTCTTCTAATGGGAAGCCGACGTGCTTTGGCTGGGCCCTGACATCAGAATCGGATCGATCACTATCTCTGGGCCGATTTGTCGTACCGCAAGAATTCTTCGTTTTGATTGTCTTGTTTGAGTTTTTCGTTCCGTTGACGTCAGGCCTGCCCAAGCAGCTAGGGCCATTTTGTTCTCACCGCCGACATCATGGTGGGCACCCTGGAACAATAAGCTTGAGCTGGGCTTTCACATTCCGCCGGAAAGAATCCCCATTCCGTCCGCTTTGAAGAAAGCTCAGCCTCGATCCCTTCAGGTAGCTTGCGAAGCAGTGCCACTTCGTTATCAAACCGACATGTGGGCACCCCAGATCAAGAAACTCAGAACACTTTCACGTTACGCCGCAAGATAGCATGTTCTGTTTCGTTCCGCTCATCACTTTTTTCAATCAATTCTTCTGAGGTACCTCGCCAAGCAGCTTCCACTTAGTTCTTAGCGCCGACATGGTGGGCACACCGGCGTCAGAAAGCCCAGATTCATTCCCTTCAGCAGCACAAATTCATCGTCTATTCTGTTCCGTTTGAAAGAGCTCAGTTCCGTTCCGTTCAGGTACCTCGCCAAGCAGCTCGCCACCAACATGTTGAGCAATATATCCTGGAGCCAGACGCAAATCTCAGTTTATGATCATTCCCTTCTATTCGAAAGAATTCCGTTCCGTTCCGTTCAGGTACCTCGGTAAGCAGTGCTACTACGTACTCGCCGCTGACATGCGGGGCACCGAAGCTCTAAAGATCATCGCAATCCGCCGCAAAGACTCACCGTTCCGTTCCGCTTGAAAATTTCCGCTTCGCTCAGGTACCTCGCCAAGCAGTGCTACTACGTACTCGCCGCTGATCCATGCTGGGCACCGGCGAGTCAAACTTAACCCTTTCCGCTGCAAAGTATCACCGTTCCGTCTAAGGCTCCGTCCCGTTCCGTTCCGTTCAGGTACCTCGCGAAGCAGTGCTACTACGTACTCGCCGCAGACATGCTGGGCACCGGCGAGTCGGACAAACCGGACGGCTTCGCCATCGACGTTGCGGACCAGGCTCATGCCTCTGCGGACTTTATTCGGTGAGTACCGCGGAGCTGACGCGTGTCGATCAGGCAGAAAGACTGGCGCCGACTTATCTCACTTGAGCGGGCTGTGCGGCTAATCCTCATTGGGGGTCCATTAGGATCTCATTAGGACTCTAAAGCAATTTCAACAGTGTTTGCTCAGCTAAAAAGGCGGGATTGTGTTCCTCCCGCCCATTTCTATCTGAAAATTCGTTTAGTTGAGGGCGAGCGCGAGCCGATTTGCGGTATCCGCCCTAAAATTTTGGGCTTCCCTCTCATCGTGATACCTTAACCTTTTGATGCACTTTGAGACAAGCTCGGGAAGCGAAGCAAGCGCCTCAGGAAAACCAACGACGTCGGCTTTTCTACGCGCGCAGGTCCATCCAGAACAACCACAACCCCGCGCGCGCGAAGAAGGCCAAGAAGGTGATTCTCATCGGGCACAGTTTCGGCTCCATCATGAGTGACCTCATCCTGGGGACTAACCCGGGCATTGCTGACGGCTTTGTTGCGACCGGTTGGACCAACGGATACGAGCCCAACATGCCCAACTTCGAGGGGGTCTTCGGCGCCATCGATCAGCCCCCCAATACGGTGCCCTACATCACGCTGCCAAGTAAGTACATCAGATTACAGGTTTCGATTTTGGTTGGAATCTTTCAAGGGGGTCCTGAAAGGAAACAACCGCTATTCGGAACTGATTCTCTGTGGATGCGGGGACGTAGTTCTCTACCCGTTTTCGAAGATCGAGTTCTTAATCACTTGTCTTTTGCTGCTCAATTGGGTCGAGGCTTCTCTTTCCTATTCTTTCACAGACCTGCAAAATTGAACGGCAGTCTTAACCTTGGCAACCAATCCCCTTCAACTTCTCGATCTCACCTGCCTCCCATCAGTAGCGTCTGCGCCCGTTGTCTAGCTGCTACCCAGACCCTTCTGATTGGATCGATCCACGTCGATGCTTTTTCGGAGAATCAGATGACGTACCCAAACTCCAAATCGATGTTTCCCCCTCCCCCCAGCCGGCGGGCCCCCCTTCGGTGTGAACCTGCGCTCCGGGTTCTACGACGGCGTCGATCTGACCACCTTCACGGCGCCGGACCCGCACCCGACCTGGACTGACGCCATGCTGACGTACGACAGTACCAACTTGGCTGATTTCATCACCCACAAGAACGCGTTCCTCGACATCAATCCGCTGCTGGACAACCGGCGGAACAACGCCGCCAATGCGCCGGACTACATCTTCAACACCTTCCACACCCATCAGGCAAGCAGAATTGCCTTTCGGGTCAGATCCTTCCTAACAAACTGGTCAATTCATTTCGCTCCTGCCCGTTCCAATCTAGCTTGGCAAAGTTCAGCTTCCCTCATGTCTTTAGGCTTTTCATTGGTGGGATGTTTTGGATTTGGACTGGAGGTCTGATTGCAGGAGGGACAGCTCGCCGGGACGTATAAGGTTGTCAAGCAAATGCTGGCCGCGTTATCTTCGTCGCGCAGCGTGGCTTTCTGTACCTAAGTTCCCATCGTTTGAGGCCAGAGACAGACAAACTTTTAGCTCCGGGAGAGCTTCGATAAATCTCTGACAGAAGGCGGGCAGAATGATGCTTCATTCGACGTTGTAGTTTCTGGTCAACCGTCCAGGCCCGTCAGATGCTCATTTGAGATGCCTTGAATGCGCCACGATCCCATTCAAGAACTCTCGCCACAAAAAAATAAAAGATCTATGCAAGGGATTTCTTCTCATGCACAATTTACGTTCTTCCCTTCACTTTTCAGATCACGTGCCCCGTATTCATCCTCTGCGGCGAGAGCGACATCTTCGCGAACGCGGCCGGCTGCGCGGCGGGCGGCGCGTACTATCCCAACTCCGTCAGCGTGACGTCATTCGTGCAGCCCAACATCGGCCACGTGTACAACCTGCACAAGACGTGCGTGCCGGGCTGGGAGAAGATCGTGGCCTTTGTCAAGAGCATCACTTAGAAGTGACGGTTACGTGCGGGCTTACAAATTGAGCATATTGAAGGATTTCGGTTACAGTTCGTGAGAGTCAAGATAGCCAGAAATGCGTGCGTGCTTAGGAAGCACGATCTACAAAGGAGTCTGGCCGCAGTTTGTGCGAGTGTAAAGGTGCAAGATAGGCGCTTTCGAAGCGTTGTCAAATTCCTGTGCTTGCAGTGTGACATCCGGTTTGCTGAACGGTGCGTCCATCTTGCATTCGCAAACTGAGTGGCAGGCACGTCGACGCATCGCTAGCTCTAGACGCGGAAGCTGTGAGAGCGGCACGCATGCAGCTAGTGTGTATAATAATGTACAATACAACGTACTTCGGTCTTTTGAGGAGAGTGGTTGATATCAAATTGAGTGCGAAAGTTTTCAGCATGCACTGCTTGCGCTGCACTGCAGGCAGCAGGACATTGACCCGAACCACGATTGGGAGTGCGCTCCAAAATGACCAGCCCACTTTTCATTAATGATAGCGCTTGCGATCGGAAAAGAATATGATTAAGACAAGCGATTTTGGAAACCCAGGGCATGGACCATTTTGAATCCAAACACTGCATGAACCGTGCTTCCTTCCTTCCAATCAAGGGAAGTACTGCATGGGCCTCCAGATACTTGCCTTTCATGAAAGCACGCGCATTGATCAGTCGTTGAACATTTCCAATATAGTCACCGATCGACTTAGATTACAAACATATCAGAATTAGTTGCAACATACCCACCATGATGTGCTACTGGAGGATCGGAGGATCGCGCAATACACCGCTTATTGACGGCCTGACTAGGGAGCACGGTGCAGCAGTGATTTTGAAAGTATGTACATTAACATTGACCTTGATGTTGCTCGGCCAGACCCTGTCAGTGTAAAGGACCCCCTCTACAGATTTAGTAAGTCGTTCAAGCACGAAGCTGCATTTCGAAGGGAGAGCTCGACGCTTTGGTATGTTCAAGCCAAACTTAAGCTGCATACTTAAATAAGGAATACAGAACATCGATCATTAGTTCACCGTATGCTACGGGGGAAGCCGTCCCTAGCTACAGAACAATCAATAGTATTACAGGTCGGCCCAAGGTCATGTTGATGTCTCTATAGACGTTAGTGGACTATTGGTAAAACAAGTACTCTGGTGTACTAGCTCGCATACTACGGATCCAATTCAATTGATTTCCCATGATAATCTGAAGCAGCCTGTTCCAGTTGACGACGACTGAGCTCGGCCAATACATGGGCACTTCTGGAAGGCCGGATGCTCTCACTCGTACATTAGCCTCTGAAATCTCAAGCATGGGGCGCCAATTAGTTAGCTAGAATGAACGAAAAATGCCAATACTGTTGAAGATAGTGATAGTAGTGAAAAAGATAGTACGACATACCGTATGTTACACTTACACGAGTACCTACTACACCCAGATTACTTCGTTCTGTACGTACACTCTAAGGTTACGTCTGGCACATGGTGAATTCAGCGAAGCGGCTGGATCAGACATCGCTTATATATCAAGATGTTATGCAAGCTGCATACATGAGGTACATGATTCGGTGCACTGTAGATTGTGCCGTCGTCGCAGCGCCCAGGAAATGTAAACACCAAGACGGTTCTGAGCAAGGCTCCGAGCAAGTCGTGCCCAAGATCCTATTCAAAAACTTCCACGCGACATGACGCTAGCAACCCAATCGATGTAGTGAACAGTAACAGCTAGTGAACAATAAGCTGTGACGGAGACGGGTAGGGTTAGCTAGTAATAGGGGGTAATTTAGGGTGGGTACGGGTGCGGAGCGGGTAATCTTTTGGGTTGGGATTTTTATTAAGTAACCCCAAAATGCTTACGTACTGTTCACTGGGCTTGCTGTTCACTAGATTGAGAAATACGACGCCAGCGCCATTCTTGGGCTCCGAGTATCTATACGTGACTGTGGGTCTCGACTGACTGGAAGAGTCCAAGATGGCGTCACCGTACGCGTTCGGTGTACCAACCGTGTACGGTACCCGCGCGGAAAGTACCGGATATTCTCGAACCAACCGGCCGGACTCGGAAGGCCGAAGAGATCGGTAGGCCGTCCGAGTCGCATCGAATTGAAGTTGCGCACCGTACCGGGGCGGGCGGGGGCGCGGCCCGCCCGCGCAGGAGGTAACTTCGCAAGTACCATGCCTGCCGTACCAAGATAGGTACTGTAGAAACTCTGCAGTCTGGGACTAGCTAGGTCTATAAATACCATCATGATTTCAGCAGTACTTCACCAAAGCTTCATTTAGTCTCACACTCCCAGCTTTTCAGTACTCTCACCATCATCGGATCCATCCGAAGGAGGCCAATTTGAATTAAGAGAGTCCGGTCCGTTCCCCCCTCATGAGCCGCCCCAGCTAGAGCTCAACTCCAATCCAACATTACTGCCCAATCTACACTTTCCAATCCCAACCAGCGATCAGTTCCTTTCCTTTGTAACAATGGCGCGTCATTCAGACTTACAGCTCCCTTTCGGAAAGCGAGCTGCGCCGGTAGGCCCTGTTTTCGCGGTGCTGCTCGTTTTCTGCGCCCTTCTCCTGGGCCCCGCCATTTCCAGCAAGTCCCCCAAGCTCAGCAAGCCCGCTGACGTAGCCCCTGACGTCAACCTTCCGGATGAGGCGGTCAGCGAGCGCAAGGCGGTGTTTGACGTCACCATAAGCGATGGGACGCACCATAACCTAGCGGTGTTCATATACGAGCTTAGCGCGCTAGAGGGCGGAAGTGAGCCCCACGTGTCGGAGGAGTGCAAGAAGAACCAGGACGTGGCTCTGGTGAGTGGAAGAACCTCAGGCTTATATGTTGATGCCTCGAATTTGCACCCCGGGGGCCAACAATCAGAATACAAAAGCTTGAGGTTGAAAAGAAATGAGAAGGAAGAAAAGTGACTCTCAATGGGCTAAGACTGCCTTTCTGGTGCGCATATGCGCAGGTTGGCGCTGATATATATGATATTTGCTTTTAGTTTTGGGGACATTGAAGTAGCTGGTCGCGCTTTTGTGATTGGGCTGCCCTTGTTTTTGAAGAGTGACCCCGATCCTTTTCGCCCTTTAGCCCGCTTTTCTACCTGCTGGCTGGGCAAACATATGCCCAATAACACGTCAGAGACTGCTCTGGTATGTTGCTGTGCTTGACGCCTCCAGAAGGTCAAGAAAAATGTAAACCAGGCATAGAGTTTTATGGCGCCCGGGCCGCCAGTGCCCTTTAACAGCATTTCTGGTCCTCCTAAGCTGCTTCTAGTCCGCAGCTAGACAGTCGCTTGAGTCCCTTGACAGAGTCGAACAAAAAATCTTTCTAGCAACTTGGTCGGTGTTGTTTTTCAGGTTAGTTGCAGATATGAGATCTCACAAAGATACACCATGTGCGAAACAATCAGGACCCTTTCGTTTATGCGTAGCCAGCTCGGTAACAGAGCGGAAGGCTTCTATGTCAGCTCAGCTATGACCAGCTCGCTTCCTATGTGCATCATGAGCTGCTTCGAGATAATGTGTTGAGGTCGATCGAATATCCACGTTTTTCCAAGGTTCTTGACTTTTGTAGTCTTGCAGCTAAACTCCGTCACGATCACAGTGGGCTGGCAAGGCTAGCGCCTCTCATTTCATTCCTTAGGCTGTCGCCTCCAGCTGCGCTGAAAGTCTTTTTTTCTCTTTGCTACTTGGGCGATGGCCCACGAATGAAATCACTCCCCCCGGGAGAAATTTCATTAACCTCAGCTTTGACACCGGAACCTGAGAATAATGATGATTGGTTTTTCCCACTGGCAGGTCCTCTTTCACGGCGCCGCTTACAACCACAAGTACTGGGACGTACCCTTCAGCGTCGACAACTCCTCGCACTCGCTTGCAAGGTATGCATTTCCACTCTTATTGTCTCCTCTGTAAACTGTCCGAAAGATCCATATTTCAACGGCAGATATCCTACTGCCATAACGAGGTGTGAATCAGTAATCAAGCACCTCAGTCCCAGTCGACTCTTGAAACAACGTTTACTTTCGCTCAAGAGCGCTGAGCTCACTTGTTAGATTTTTGTCACGTTTTTGATAAGCAGAAAGCTAGAGGATTGTGTCGACAACACTCGAACACTTCTGTTTCGTCCCACAAGATTGAGTCCCATGATCAAGTCCCGCTCCGTTACATAAGGTTTCCATTGCGGTCTTCTCCGTCCGGCATTCCCCTCGAATCCTAGCTTTCAGGTAACAGAGGTGCTCTCGCCCGACCTCACAATGAACCTGAGCACCTAATTACTCCAATCGGATCCATCTCATCGTCAGCCCTCAAAAAAGAAATGTTCCGTTCTTGCTTGAAGAGCCCATACAATCCTCTTTGTACGTCCGTTCCGGGCTGACAGGCTCCCGTCCCGTTCCGTTCCGCTCAGGTATACTTCCTCGCTAAGCAGTGCTACTTCGTGCTCGTCGCGAACATGCTGAGCATGATCCAAGCTCCGGGCATACCATTCCGACGCACAGATTGCCCAACTGTTCCGTTCCGCTCCGTCTGAAAGAGCTCCGTTCCGTTTCGTTCAGGTACCTCGCGAAGCAGTGCTACTTCGTGCTCGCCGCGGACATGCTGGGCACCGGCGAGTCGGACAAACCGGACGGCTTTGCCATTGACGTTGCGGACCAGGCCCATGCCTCTGCGGACTTTCTCTGGTGAGTTCCGTCGAACAGATAGCCACTGGCAATTGTCAAATCAGAAATATCCTGGTACTTTGATGTTGCATCTTTTGGCATCTGCGGACATCCTCTGGTGAGTACGTACCCTCCAGACAGGCACTTAGCAGAATCAAGGCCCTGGAAGAACTTGCTTTGTTGTGCTACTTCTGATAGCCTCCGTTTAAAGGGAAACAGTCCTAATGGAAGAGATGCATCAGTATTTCGCCCTGGTCCCGGCGGAATTGGTTGCGGATTTTGGGAGCCGTTCAGGCGATTGCTGTAAAGACTACACGAGCTGCTTGGCCGAACTGAGGGCTGCTGGAGAAGTATCTGCCGAAGCTGTTTATGGATTTCCCCTAGACACCGAATTGCGCTTGCTTACTCTCAAAAATAACAAGCCTTTGAAGCGACCAAAATCTCGAGCCGTTTAACGCAGCGTTTAACGCAGGCTTCCAATTCTACAAACGACTCTCATCGTCCAACTGTTGAAGGATAATGTCTCTGCAAAAACGCCATGCACCGACGCCTCGGACGTGCGCGTGTGGGTCAATCTCTACCTTGATCCCGGCTTTCTAAGAATCCAAGAGATTGGTCTCATAGTTGCTGACGTCATCATGACGCGCGCGCAGGTCTATCCACAGCGACCACAACCCCGCGCGCGAGCGCCAGGCCGAGAAGGTGATTGTCATTGGGCACAGTTTCGGCTCCATCATGAGTCAGCTCATTCTCGGCACTAACCCGGGCATCGCCGACGGCTTCGTTGCGACCGGTTGGAGCAACGGATACGAGCCCGAAGTGCCCCACTTCGAGGACGTGTTTAACGCCGTCGACCAGCCCCCCAATTCAATGCCTTACATCACGCTGCCAAGTGAGTATAACCCACCCTATTGATTGGGCAGTCTCCTAGTGTGCTGGTGCTAAAAGACGGGCGTTTCCATTATTATCTTGAGGCCTAGGGACCATATAATCGAATGTTCAATCCCCCTAAGACCCTCATCTTTTCGATCGGCCTTCTGGCATACGAATCCACTCAAAGCAACCATTTAGCGCGCGTGGCCTTCTGAACGGCTTTTCAAAATCTCTGTTACTTTAGTATCGAGTTCCGCCCCGCACAAGCAATCAAAAATTTCACCAAAAGCTGGAATCATGCTAGCATCTTGACGATTTGTTTCAGCAAAGACGGAGAAGATAAAGCGCGTTTGGAATTCCGCGAAACTTTAACCGTCCTTCCCCTCCTCCTTTCCGTAGCCGGCGGGCCCCCCTTCGACGGCATAAACCTGCGCTCCGCTTACTACGACGGCGTCGATTCGGCAACCTTCCAGATGCCGAACCCGCACCCGACCTGGACTGACGCCATGCTGACGTACGACACCAGCAGCTTGGCGGATTACATCACCCACAAGAACGCGTTCCTCGACGCCGTTCCGCTGTTAGACAACCGGCGGAACAACGCCGCCAACGCGCCGGACTACATCTTCAACACCTTCCACACGGATCAGGCGAGTAGCAATGCTTTCCGTTCCGTTCAGATTCGCTCTTGACAAATTTTTCGCCCCTGTTCATGTTCAAGCTCCTGCGCGTTGCGGTGGTTTTCCATTGTCTTGTACTATTCTCTTGTAACTGGCCGGGATAAAACGTACCTTTCAAATTGCGCCAAACCAGACAACCTGCTGTAAAGATAAGCTGCTGCGACGCTTATTTGTGGGTCAATCGCTGTGCTTCTATCTCGAAGCCTCGAGGGAGCGCTGTTATTCTCGAAGTTCAATCGAGATGAGCACCGATATAAGGACGCACGGCGTGTTGCACTGCGGAATAGGCTGGCAGGAGTTGCAACGGTGAAACGGGGTCCGATCAAACCTTTATGTTCGACACCGAAAACATTGAAACCTTTTTGATGTGCACTGAGATGCCCCTTGATTAAAGTGCCCCTTGCCCCAACATGCATCCAAAGTTTGATCAGTCTGCCCGTCTCTCAACAGGGAAACCCTTTCAGAGCTAACTGTATACCGAACCTTTCTCTCCAGATCACGAGCCCGGTGTTCATGCTCTGCGGCGAGAACGACATCTTGGCGAACGCGGCCGGCTGCGCGGCGGGCGGCGCCTACTACCCCAACTCCGTCAGCGTGACGTCATTCGTGCAGCCCAACATCGGCCACGTGTACAACCAACACAAGACGGCCGTGCCGGGCTGGGAGAAGATCGTCGACTTTGTCAAGAGCGTCGTTCATGAGTCGATTTTGTGTACAATATAACAATGTTTAATTGTTGAGTCGATGTTGATTGCAAGTTCCTATTTGTATCGATCCGTATCCGTCAGGATATAAAAGGCAGCCCACTTTTCGGGGGTAGCTGGCTAGCAACGTCATCTTAGATATAGATTGATTTGTTTAGATTGTGTTGTGTGCCATGAAAAATCCACAAAAATCTGCTGATCGAGGTTGTTTTGCCCTCTCATTCAAAGCCAACTTTTCTGTCCACCGGCCGGCCCATGGCGCGAATGCATATGCATATGGCTTTCAACGCGTGACGCACCATACTACAAGCTACCGTCGTGGCATACATATATGAATGGTATACTGACAGGCTTATTCATGTAAGAAAGCGCGCGAGCGCGAATTTCCGGTCAGCTCTTCGCCCTGAATCGATCATTTATTTTTAAAGAAGACTGGATCCATATCTGCCGAATGCCCTCGGTGCGCATGGCGCGAACGCACTAGCGCGGCGTTCAACGTAATGTATAGTACAGTACCGGCCCGGCCTTACTATACTGAGCTATATATGAGTCACTGATACGTATACTGAGAAGCATACCGTACCGAATCGTTCATTGTAGGTATAGTAAAACAGAGCGCGCGCACGTCCCAATCATATGCAGGCGCCAGGCTTCTGTCGCGCCCATACATCTCCCTACCGATCCATCTCGCCATGCCACCGCACATGACTCAATCGCACCAAACCACGGGCATGTCAGCCACACTGCGTGCCTGACAATCCGCTCTGCTTGATGACTATCAGGACGCCTCGCTGGCAGCGCCTGAGAACCACTATCGCCAGGGCTGGTCCACCGCACTACCAGGCTGTGTAACCTGCACCTCTCCTTCTGCAATCAATCAGGGCTGCCCCACGAGCCCCTTCCACCGCGCCCGCAGCGCCTCAACTCCTGTGCTAACCGAGCACACTAACCCCAACCTCCAGCGCCTATGCGCAGCACCTGTCAGTGCCACACACCTCGCGCACAGCAGCACTGAATGCTGCAACCACAGTCCACTGACTGTGAGAGGGGCTGCCTTGTGCAGGCCCCTATTTCCCCTGCGCCTATGCTCAGCGACTTGCTGACCACCTCGCGCGCCGCTACCTCAAGCGGTAACCGCAGCACTCATTGCCGCCACCCAGTCCGCAGACTGCAACAAGGGCTGCCTTGTGCAGGCCCTTTCACCACAGCGCTCGCAGCGCTCCCCTTGGCACCTCAGTGCTAAACTCCTTCCAGGCCTGATTCACCAACTCGTGCAACCGTGATTCTTTCTTCTGTGAGGATTGACTGCGCCGCGTCCAGCGCGATCAATGCACGTCAGATCGGTTCATGAGTGTATGAATGAGGCACAAGAATTACAACCACGCCCTCGTGACGTGGAGGGAAACTAACTTGCTGGCCATCGTACAGTTTGCATAGGTTCACTGTTGCCGCCCAATCTCAAACCTTAGAGTGAACAGAAGAAAGAATGAAGCCTCTAGCTTCATTCTCTCCCCTTCTCCAACACACAGCTGTCAGGGCACAGTCTATATCACATGCCTTTACCAAACCACTAGTTAAACCACTGGGTTAACAACTAGAGCGGACATGAATCCGATGCGACACAATCTGGCATGACACTTCCATCATAAGCTTCCATCATGAATCATGAGTCAAATAATATGAGACGCTTAAGAAACTTGCAGCGTCCGTAAATCTGCTCAGCTATAATGATATACCACGAGATTCAAGCACCATCATTGCACGCGCTCGCTGGGCGGGCGGTCTGACGCGACTCTTAACAACGAATCATTCGCTCTTCTCATTTTAATTGCAAATGAATGTTGATCGGGAACCAACACAGACTAGCTTGAAGGGTTCAGGCAGATGTCAAGACTGGCGGCCGCATGCACGTGTAAGTACAATGCTGCGATGCGACCAGCCGCTTCCAAGGCCAGTAATCAGTCAATGAAGTCGATCTGGCCCCGGGAGTCAACGATGAGTAGCATCTCAACACGCAAGACCTCCGTCCATCCTGAATCCGCATTCAATATAGCTTTTTCATCGTTTGTTTCCGTTCCTTTTTTTCTATCTCCTTTTCAACCTTGCTCTGCTCCTTCTCCTGCACGACCAGCGCTCGCTCTAGCTTCTTTACTTTCCGCTTCTTCTTGTTCTTCCGAATCTGCGCCTCGTTCTTGTTCCTGCGAGTGGGAAAGCGCAGACTTTAAAATCATGAAACGGAAACGCCGTCTCGCCATTGCACTTTTGCACGACGGCCCCGAGTCTCTAAAAGCACCCCTGTGAGTCCGGCCGCAGAGCGTTACAGGGTGAAATGCCTCATGCAACACCTGAGGCAAAGGTTGAAGAGAGCAACGGAACTAAACAGCGCAATTGCCACTCCCGTTCCCTCCCGCAGCTCGACTTAAACAGTGACGGCGCTTTTGCAAGGAAAAGTACAGAACTCCAAACTTGTGGCTGTATGAGTAGCGCAAACGACTGTGCGCAAGGGCAATGATTTTGGCCTCGCTTTTCGAGGGCATTGGACCTCGTCAAGAAGCCTTCCTAGAAGCTCCCGGCGGAGCCTCTGGGCAACTTCGAACTAAACTAATCGGACCACGTGACAAAGGATCGCTGACCACTTGAAACAGGCTACACAAATCCAAAATCTGAACCGTTTCTAAACGATCAGCATCGCCTAACTCTTCGTTTTGCCCGAATCGAGGTGCATTTTTCTCTTGACCAAGCAGCCGCTCAGCAACCGTGGCAATGCTTGGATGCATACTGCCCCAGCCAACGATTTGAGACAGCAACCGAAATTCGGTCCAGGAATTCAGAATCGAGTAGTCCGCCTTGCCTCTTTCATCGAGGAAACCTTGTCACAAGGTAGCCTGGGTTTCGTTCGACCAAGCCTAAAGCTCGCAGATTCCGAAATCAGAGCAGACATGGGCTCTTACCTGCCCACCGCAAACCCCTTTCTAGTTGTGGATGCTACGACCACTCCCGCTGTTGTGGCCACCGCTTCTGTCGTGTCCATAGCTGCAATTAACCAAAATTTTACGGATTGGTTCCCTTTTGACTGAAAACAGTCGTGCTAAACGGCGCTATTCATGGCGTTCCTTGTTCTTGTGGCTGCGTCCAGAAAGTAAGACAGAGCCACGATCAAGAAAGCGGAAGCCTTTTCTTTGACTTCTTTGATTCAAGTCTTTGATTGATAGCTATGATCTCTGATTGATTCAGAGATTCAGAGATTGATTCGTTGATTCAGAGTTTGATCTTTGATTCGACATTCAATCAACACGACGTGAACGTGAAAGCAAGGCATACAACAATTTCGGGCTCGAGCATGGGCAAGAATCCTTGTGCTGAAACCTTGGGCGAGGAAGTTCGTTGGTAACTAGACAAGTCGGAGAAGGGGTTTCGAGCCATCTACCCAATAAGGTTGCGACGTACTCGAGCCAAGCGATTCGCCTCCAAAACGAAGCCTTGACGGACTTCATCGGGTTCAAAGCTGGGCCGACCAAGTTTTCCGACAAATGTCAGTGGCATACTTCAGAGGTGCCCACTCATTTGTGTTCAATCTTCAGAAATCGTATCGGTTTTATAAGCTTTTTGTTTAGTATCAAAAGGCCTAACGGCTCGTATGCATTCGCCAGTGGCTTGATGTGGAATAGGGGCGCATTTCCTTTGAACAATAGCACACCGTAGAGTGCCCTGACCAACAGTAACGAATACGTTTTTTGGCACCTGAACTTTTCCAAAAACCTTTGGCCGCAGACGGAGGTTGGCAGTGCCGTGAACGAAGCGACTCAGTCCGCTCCAAACCTAGTGCAAAAACCTCCGGTGCAACGCAAGATGCAAAGGTCCAAACACACTCAAATACAAATGCAGAAAAGAAGACCCTTCATTTTCCAGCTGTGTTAGTTCCTGCCGCTCTGTCACAACCTGCAAGAGTATCTGAATGTCAGCACACACGCTACTTTTAATCTGGAAAGAGAAGCGACGCATTCTTGCTTCGTACGGAAACGCCCAAAATGGTTATGAAACTCGTATACCTGCTTCCGCACCGCCTCCAGTCCGGTTGCTTGCATCGACCCCCTCGCTCGTGTCCATCGAGGCTGGCCCTGTGCCGCCTCTGTTTTTGCTTCGCTTTTTGCCCATAGCTTATGGCAGATGGTAACCTGGAGAAGAAAAGCAGATGGTTCTCAGAGGTGAAGCTGCTGTTCCAACATATCCAAGGAATCAAGCTAGGCACAAACTTCACTAGGAACTTTGCATCGCAGAAGCCCCCCTGAGATTTGAGGGTCCTATAGTCCGCATCAAGCTGTTCGCATGTGTTGTGACATAAGCTTTGAAAAATAACAGAAAGATTTGCATCAAGCAGTAATATAAACGCTTTTCAGTAGACCCTTAAGGTCGCCCCTTTCTTTGTATGGTCAACCCAATAATCGCACGTATCTTTGTCCAGAATTGTAAAAACTTCAAAGCACGCTGCAAAGAAACGGTGAAAAGCCTGCGACAGGTGCTCCTATCCAAAAAAGGGAGAGTAGCTTGGGGGTTGGAGTGATGCAAGGCCGGGTTTCATTTTGAGTCTGGATTTTCAGTCAGAGTGCCCAGATGTTCCGATCTTGGAACCAAGAAGCAGTTTAGGTGGATAAAATAAAAACCTCGATCCTCAATAAGTGCAACAAGCTGGAAAATGTCGACCAGATTCTCTGCAAAAGTTCTACAAGCGGCTTTCCTGGCAGGTTCAAAGTAAGCATCATATTTTCAGATAGACAAAGCCTAGCCTTTTAAAGAGACTGCGATTCTGAGCGGTGACTGCACTCACCAGGAGCTAAAACGGAATGTCAGGAAAGCCCAGCACCTATCCTTTGCAGATACACTGGGGCGGCACGGTACCAACGAACGCCCGCCTTCTTTGAGAAACAAGATGTAAAGCTGTACAAAACACTAGCTGCCGATGCCAAAGAAGCTTCTACTCGATTCAAAAATAACTAGTGGCCTAAAATTCTGCTCACAATGACTTTGCCATGTCCTGTTTCCTTTCTCTTCTTCCTCCCGCGACTCGTGTGGACCGTGTGGTGGCGTGACCAGCTGGTAACCAGGAACCATTACCACGCGTATGGAATAGCTTTATCGGATACTTCGTCGAACTCGCACATAACGTCCAAGGTCCGTTCTACGTCGATACGAAACTGTGTGTAACTACAGAAGGACGGCCTGTACTAAAAGATTAAATAGGATGCATCTTCCCCTTGGCGTCTGCACAGCAGATCGAGTCTTTTTCAAATCCCTGAAAGTTTTTCAAGTTCAACTTCAAGAAAAGCGAATTGAGAAGAAGCCTCCCTGCTGATCAAAAACAACCAGCTTCAACCAGCTGGGTGCGCCTCATAGTGGTGGCAGAAAAGATCTGAGGTCTCAAAAGACACAGGAGAATCTCTTGCAATACCTTCTCAGTGGCAGTGTAGAGCAGCCGCAGGGCGCCCGGCCTCCGAGCAGCCACACGGTGATGGAAAGGGAGAACATTGCTCGAGCACTTGTTACTTTGTGATGAGATTGCAGCTGTCTCAGATTTAAGGAGGCCAATTTGCCTTGGGTTTGGCTGTCAATCTGGCAACTAACATAAGCAACAACTAAACCGCCAGCGCAAGGTTCCCTGGAATGCACACAGACAGCATTGCGCACGACGCTGATCTAACTGAAACTCATTCACTGACTTCCAGTTCACAGAGTCAAATGGTTTACATACCAATCCTGACAGAGGGCATGTAACCACATTTCTACCAGTGCGCCCTTAGCGGCGCTTTCTCTCAATGGCTACCACTCTTCAGCGCATCGGTCAGCCGTCATTTTCCAGCCAGTCACCGTCATGTAGCTCAAGCAGCCAGGAACTAGGCGCGGCCCATCTCTCTTCGTCCTGCTATCACAGCCAAGGGCTCCGGAGGTCCTTGAGCAGAGCCGCCGATAGCTTCAGAGCAGACAAGAGCTTACGAGCCCGGGGGATAAGCAGACAAGCTGTGGCTTGCGAGGCGAGTTTGGACGGTTTGGACGAGGTCACTCTGCTGGACTATGGCGCGGGGAACGTGCGGAGTGTCCGGAATGCAATCAAACTGCTGGGGTACAAGGTCCGGGATGTCGAGAAGCCAAGTGAGTCCTCGTGTGGTTTGTTTTTTCCTGCTTCTTGTTGGGGCTGCAACTTATATGGTGCAGACCTCAAACCTTTTCAACTGTTCTTGTTAGTCAGGATCCCGTACGACCTGGGGACCTTGTAGAAACAATGTTTAGTTGCCTGCTGCGATCAGGCCCTGCATCTTTCAGAATGAAGATACTGACTTGGCTTTTAGTCTCAAGCTACTGGAACCAGCCAATCACCCTTGGCTGTCAATGTCTGCACTGCGCAGAAGCTTAGTTGTCACCGATGTCTGCAGATATGCCTCCGCACGAACCTCCTTGATATGATCCAATTGCCCTTGAACGAGAATGTCAGGGAGGAATAACAAAGAGGTGCCTTACCTTCTGTAGACAGTATTCTTGCTCCCCCCTTACGCAGGCGACATCCTCGCCGAGCGCAAGCTCATTTTCCCTGGCGTCGGTGCCTATGCCTCCGGGAGGTCCTCCCGAAGAATTCACCTCACTGCGCCTTTGACTGCGATTGTAAGGGAGATAATTAGAGAGTCTTTTCACCTCTCTGAAACATGAATCCTTTTTCTCTTCTACAGGCGACATTCTCGACGCGCGCAAGCTCATCTTCCCCGGCGTCGGCGCGTACGCCTCCGCAATGGAGGTCCTCCGGAGAAAAGATCTGATTGCCCCTGTGAAGGAGTACGTACAATCCGGCCGATCCTTCCTTGGGATCTGCCTAGGCCTACAGCTTCTGTTTGATGGGAGCGAAGAAAACGATGGAGTGGAAGGGCTGGGAATCATCCCTGGAACGGTGGCCAAGTTCGACACGGCTCTGGGGTTGCCGGTACCGCACATTGGGTGGAACGGTGCGTCGACAATTCGCACCTTCTTTTCTCTTCTCTGTTGTTTACCATCCTGTCTTTTGCTGCTTTGACTAGCCTTTTTGATGAACGTCTCTGAAAGGTGGAACTGCTGACGTGCGGACTCCCTCTATTCTGCTAAGAGTCGAAAGGTTCCATGGCCTGCTTACCTGCGCAGAGGCCTTCGAATTTCAGGTCGTCTGGCAACTTCTAGCCGATCCACAAGGAACTCGATGCTCTCTTGCGTGGCAAACTGCTTCAAGAAGTGCACACCATGAACGTCCGTCAGGCATCAGCAAATCAGACAGCCTCAAGACCTTGATATAATTCTAAAATCTAAAATTCTAGACCTTCCGTCTTTTCTCAGGCCTGAGCCAGAAGCAGGAGTCTGCAATCCTTGCCGGTGTGAATGGGCGCCACGCCTACTTTGTGCACAGTTACCGGGCCGTCGAAACGCCAGAAAACAGGGACTGGGTGTTGGCGACCAGCGAGTATGGGGGGGAGTTCGTAAGCGCTGTCAAGAAAGGCGAGGTGCGTTCCGATAATCCGTGTTTCACGGAAACAAGCAAAGCAGCACAGTCGTTTGAGGTATCCAGGCCCAGCCTTCAGTAATTACAATGTTGGATCGAGAGCGTGTTTGCTGTGAGAAAGAGTTGTGAGAGACAGAAAAGCGGAGGTCTATTCAAAGCGACGAGCGTTGACCACATCAGTCCCTTCCCTCCCGCATGTAAATGCACACCAGATGCATTTACAGGAAGGACGTCTTTGTTTTAGCGAGCATACTGCACCTCTTGCAAACCAAGATGTAGCATCCGAGGCTGGCTGTCTATTGGCCCTTCAATTACCGCGTTTCTTGTTGCCTGTGGGGTTAAATTGCGGCCAAGCCAATCCGGAATTTCTCTGGCGGGAGTGATCAAGTCCTCCCTAAGAAGGCTTTATTTTTCAAGTATCACTGCTTAAGATCAGTGGTCGAGCTAACCCGGAACCCTCAATGCAGGTCGGAGCAGTCCCGATTTTCTGGTTCAAGACTTCTGTGAAGCTCAAGAGATTCTTGTTGAGGCAAGCTAACCCGGACGCCTTTGCGCAAGTGGAAACGGTCCATGTCGGATCGGGAACAATTATGCCCAAATCACAAGCTTTTCTCAAGGTCTGAGGAATTCTGGTTAAGACTCATGGTCAAGCAGACCCGAAATCCTGTCCGCAGGTCGAAGCGGTCCAGTTTCACCCGGAGAAGAGTGGTGCAGTGGGGCTTGACATTCTGCGACGGTACCTTGGACCCAACCGCTCAGCAGCAGCAGAGGTAAGTGCATCACTTTCGTCTAATCACCAATATCAGGCCGGTCAAACAAAATTTGGGCGAAACACATTTGCATTTGGGGCAAGCGAATTTATGCGCCGTAGAGTTGACGTTCAAAGTGATTATTTCCGCGTCTGTTCCGCACGAACCCTTTTCTACTTTTCATGTCTTATCATGGCGGGCCTTTTTCAGTACGCATTGATTTTCGTCAATTGTATTCATCATAGTTAGTGTCAATTACATCACTCAAGAATCGTTGTACTCGACATGTGATTCCAGGAGTGACGGAATATGTGTGTGTATAGTATAGGCGACTTCGATTGTGGGTTGCTGAAGTACCCCGTTGACCTTTCGTGTAGAGCTAATTGTTTCGGTAGACTTATTCGCGGCAAAGATCATGAGTTCCTCGGATACGTGAACTCAGGCCGTGTGACTACCAATCGAAGGCGTAAGCTCATGTGCCGATTTTGGAAAGGTTCACAGACAGATTTCCTGAGATGGCCATTTGTAAGGTACCCATCGTCACCGGCGGACGGTTGTTGCAACTTCGAGCGGATTCAAGCTCAGATGCTAGATGCAGCTATTTGGTGGGTTTTTGACAGCTGCGTCGGCCTTCTTTTCAAGAGTGTTTTACAAAGCGTTGCAGGACGTTGAGCGGCAAGCGGAAGCTGCGAAAACGGCGCTACGGAAGCCGGCGCACGCGTTGGCCAAGCGCGTAATTGCGTGCTTGGACGTCCGAGCGAACGACAACGGGGACTTGGTCGTGACGAAGGGCGACTCGTACGACGTCCGGGAAAAGACCGACTCGCGAGAGGTGAGCTGCCACTGTTGAGAATGCGTCTTTTCAGTTTCCTAAACACGGTTAGAATCAAGGCCTGCCAACATCTTCTCTCTACAAAAACGATCCGGATGTACTCGCTGTCGTCATCTCGTCAAATCGTCGTAGTTGTCAGATCGGCGCTCGTGCTTTCGAGGGCGGGCTGGCGTCGCATACTGGCACGTTCACAGTTCAGCTAACGCGCAACGGGACGAGCTTTATCAGGGTCGATCCTTGCTTCAGGTCCCCGTTGACGCAGCCCTTTTTTCAAAGCAAAGAGATCAAAAGAAACAATGCCGAAGCAAAGGAAGATGTTGAAGAAGCGGATGTGAATCATCATTGAGTGGAAACGTATGAAGGCGGGCAATCACCCTCTCTTACTAGCTCTTCGCAGCTTCCACCGTGCATGCCTCGCCACGTGCATGCAGGGTCGTTTCTCTCTCGTCACTAGATTATAGCCCCGAAAATGGGTTTACATTTTGTAAAGGTCTGTGTCACGATCAGGAATTAGCGTTATTGCTACCAGCTGACGTTCACCAGGTCACAGGATTCGTGTCTCCGTTTCGTAGTATTCACTGCTCTGTATCGGCAATTGATCGACCGGTGGTTTGCTCATAACCCAGGTGCGTAACTTGGGCAAGCCGGTGGAGCTGGCGGGGCGCTATTTTAAGGAAGGCGCAGACGAGGTCACGTTCCTCAACATCACCGGATTCCGGGACTTTCCGCTGGCGGACATGCCCATGCTCGAGGTAAAGACCGTACAGATTTTGTCCTGTGAAGAGGAGCTTATGTACTTGCCAGTCTCCAAAGCTTTTGGGTTCGAAAGGCGCCTTCCATAGGCTTCAGACGCGGCTCCTTACTCAACGTCGAAATTCCCGGAATTTTTCGCTGGCGAATATGGCCACACTCAAGGTACTGAGAGGCAGTCCGGTCGATCTCTTTCGATTACGAGGTTACAGGTTATTGGGATATCGGCGTATATTCTTTTACGCCGATATCCCAATCGATTCTCTGATTGGTTTATTTTGCTTCGCTCTCCGCATGTCCTTGAGCGGACTTCCGAAAACGTGTTTGTGCTGCAGATGCTTGGCGGGGGTTTTCTCAAAATCACCAACATTAGAACCAGCTATCTTCTGATTCAATGTTCTGTTTGACATTGAGACAAAAACGGCCTATGCTTTTTTGCGCGTTCCACAGGTTCGGCCCCGGACGTCCGAGAACGTATTTGTGCCACTGACAGTCGCCGGGGGCATCCGCGACTTCACCGACTCCGACGAGAAGCACTACAGAGCCAAATAATTTGATGTTCTTTTTATCAATAATTCGGACCGCCATTTTCTCGTTATACTCAGGTCCTGCAGCGGACGTCCGAGAACGTGTTTGTGCCACTGACGGTCGGCGGGGGCATCCGCGACTTCACCGACTCCAACGGGAAGCACTACTCCAGCCTCGAAGTCGCTGCGGAGTACTTCCGATCGGGCGCCGACAAGATCTCCATCGGAAGCGATGCGGTCACTGCTGCGGAAGAGTATCTAAAAACGGGTGAGAAATGACTGGCTGGAATCTTGAGTTGTAGATTCCGCTGACTTGGATGTTCTAGGGCTTCTTGACCACGTTCCGTGTGTGTCCTAAATGGGGGCGATTGTGCGCGGCCGTTGGATTGTAAACAAGGCGAAAGCATAGTTCCTTTGTCTTGGGGTCCCGGAACCAGGAGAAGAGGTGACTTGTTGCGCACCGCGCAACATTTCTGGATCGCACAATTACATCTGGGCCACTCTTTTGTTTGGATAACGGCAGTGGGCAGGACTCTAACCGAGCAGATGTAAAAGTTTCACGTTAAAAGCTGGTGTCTTGAAAGCTTTTCACCGCTCCGGCCAGGAGTTACATTTCTCATACAAACGCAGGACAAGAGCGGAAGGTCCCATTTTTGTTCTATGCAGGCAAGGCAACGGACAAAATGCGCTCGAGCAGATTGCGACGTGTGCGTGGTGCGGGCCTGTGATTGCAACATTGGTCCAGTGGCGATTTGAATAATAGTGAAGCCAAAAGAAAGCAGACTCGTATAAACACTTTCCAGCTTTTGCTCTGCAGGGAAGAAGACGGGCAAAACGGCGATCGAGCAGATCTCGTACGTTTACGGCGCACAAGCGGTGGTTGTGAGCATCGACCCGCGACGGGTTTACGTGCGAGACCCGAACGAAGTGCCGTACAAAACGACGAAGCTGCGGAAGCTGGGGCCGAACGGCGAGGAGTATGCGTGGTATCAATGCACGGTAAGTGTAATTCCATTCTATGGTATGTACTTGGTCCCATAATCATTTTGCAAGTTTGACTTCGGAAAAAGAAAGTGAGAAGGTTTAAAGAGTAGCAGGAGCAGATCTCTAGTACAAGATTCAAGTACAAAACGACAAAGGTGCGGAAGCTGGGGCCGAACGAAGAAAAGAATGCGTGGAAGCAATGCTCAGTAAGTATCTCAGAGGTTCACGGTCATCTCGAAACTTTGACTTGAGAGGAAGAAAAACAGATTCTGTGAAAGTAGTCCACCGAATTAGGTTTCTTGTAGAAGGCGACCAGAAAGCTGCAAGTGGGGCTGAGACTAACAAAACGGGGCGCCTGTCCTCTGATTTCGCTTGCTTAACCCCGCTCAAGGGCGGAAACTGGTAACCGGGCACATCAACGTTGCCTTGAGTGACAAGCAGGGACGTACAGCGGCTGCCGTTGACGCTCACTATCTCAAGCGCGCAGTTTACGGCGAAATTTGGGAATGGACTCGGTACATTGCATATTTGAAACGACAGAATGGAGCGCGTGCTCTTCCTGAATTCCGCTTGCTTAACCCCCGCAGGTTAAGGGCGGTCGCGAGGGGCGGCCGATCGGCGCGTACGAGCTTGCGCAGGCGGTGGAGGCGCTGGGGGCTGGGGAGATCCTTCTCAACTGCATCGACGAAGATGGGCAAGGCGCCGGCTTTGACACCGACCTCGTGAGCGCGCTTTTGCTCTGTTTTGCTTTTTATCTTTTCTGGATGTTTACTTCGTCCTTCTCGCCGCCTTTACCTCGACTTTCTTCTGTTTTTTGCCTACTTTAGTCAGCCTCTTACCCTGCCCGTTGAAGAGAAAGAAGGACTTCGCTTCAACGCTAGCCTGAAGAGTTGGCTTTTAGCTCTTGCCATTTTATATTGTTCGCGCAATCCTTTGTGCGGTCTGATCAGGCTTCTTTGCTGCTAAAGCAAGAAACTCAGATCTGCGAGGAACCGTCCTTGCGTGTGGTAATCTGGAAGGGCTCTGCATTTCAAAGGGCTCTGCATTTCAAGATCAAATGCGGTGTGATCCAGTCAATCTGATCGCCCCATCTAACATTCACCTCCTGTTTGGTCATTCTCCTGATGGCCTGTGAGAAATTCGCAGCAAGTGCAGCATATTTTCTGCTGTGTGGTTAAAATCGCCCAGAAGCCACGCACTCAAAACGTGCACTTCAGAGGCCTGCGGCCGGGTGATAGACAGCCAAACGAGGGAGGAGAACACATAACATATAGTGTCCCTTCGTATACTGTCTGTTAGAACGATTCACGTCCTCTTTGACACTCTGCATTTGCCCCTTGTAGAAGTGAAGCTCGTCTCCGACGCGGAACTATTACGACATTCCGGGCTTCGTGTCAGCGTTTTTCTTGACACCTTTTCGCTGTTCGCTGTGCAGGTGAAGCTTGTCTCCGATGCGGTGTCAATTCCGGTCATTGCCAGCAGCGGAGCGGGCTGCCCGGAACACTTCTCTGAGGTCTTCCACAAGACGCGCGCTGCGGCTGCGCTGGCGGCCGGGATTTTCCACCGGGAAGAGGTCCCCATCCGGGCGGTAAAAGAGCACTTAGCAGAAGCGCAAGTTGAGACGCGGCTGCTATAAGCGCTTGTCAGCGCGCGGTTGCGTATGCTCTTTGGCATATTCAAACGGGGCCGGAGTAGGAAAGAGTCAGGCACAGAGCGAGCTAGGACGCGGGCGCGTTTAGGGAGCGTAGTCTTTCTGGCTTAACGATGTTCCTTTTTACGCTACGCTCCTTACTTACCTGAGAAGAACCAGATCGGAGGAATTCTCAGGCCGGGTGTTTGCGGTGTATTTCCCTGGCGCTTCTTCAACTGGCCCGCAAGCCATCCGTGCAGATTTGCCACCTCTGCTTCCCCATCATAAATACTCGCCGGTGCAAGGCATCGTACGTTGCTAACGTACGATAAAGCCGCACACACAGTTCGAAGCACAGGTCTACATCCGACTTCAAAAGTTGAGGACGACTACTACACGGCACTGGCCCGGCGTCAGATTTAGCTGGGCCGCTGAGATGAGTTGCGCTAGTAGGAACTTCTTCTAGTAGTAAGCCTAGAAGTCATGCTGGCCTGCTTTGATAGGATACCTCGGCAATCCTTCAGCGCTCGACCGGTTGTTGGTTTTTAAACGAGCCGATTACTACATGTACTAGGATTAGATTGTCCTTACGAAAGATTTGTCGATTACGATGCGAAGTTCGAGGCAAGCGTCCGCCTACGGGCGGCCAAGTACCAAGCACGCCGACCGGATGCATTTACCACAGACCCTGACTTTTGACATTGCGAAAGCTTCTTGTACGGTTGTGGTAAGTTGCAGCATCCCTTCTCCATCCAGTAAAATGTTTTCCAGAGGTATCTCTGCCCAGAGCCTTTTCTAGATGATGCCTGCGCAACGATCTAGCGCGTAATTCGTTCGAGCCGATTACTAGGACGAGGATTTGTCTTCTTATTTCTCAAGCTAGTAGCATATCGCCTGTATCAGGTGTCAGAAGCATGCCGCGCGGCCTTATCGTCGAACTAATTTAACAGAGTAAGTGCTTGCAAGCTATATAATACCTCATCGCCTGACCAGCCAGCTTCGAACTGAGACCTGTTCGGCTCGTGCATGCGGTACATCGCCGCGGCTTGCCCAAGCTTCACGGGGCTTTAAGAGGAGTGTCCACCTTCACTGGGCGATTTTCGCGTCTCGTACCGCGCCTGGTGACGTTGACGATGCGCTTCGCGCTACGCGCAGGCGCGGCTTGAAGCCGCTAGCACATGCAGGTTTGCATGGGACGTGTATCGGGCACAGCCGCAAGCATCCAGTTCTCCTGTAGATTTGATTGGTGGGTTCCTTTCCGAGATTGCCTGGAACGTGGAAAGAGAGGCCAAGTCACGGAGTGCAACGCTCTTGCTGGGTGGGCCAGCATATGCATCCCTCCTCCCGGCTCCGGCTCTGCAGTCTGTTTTCCAGAACAGCATGGCAACACAAAGAGCAGGTTGAAGAGGATAGTCTTATCAAGTTGGCCGGAGGAGCGCCCCGTTACAAACAGCTTCAAGCTTCCAACTTCTTGAAGAACGACTTTTCGATCAGCATGAGCATTAATGAGCAAGTCCGATCGAGCCCGCACGAGCAGTCCCTCATATCTTTCTGGCGCTCTCGCGCCTGAGTACTCACAGAGTAGGACACGCTGAATCAGATAAGGGGCCTATAATTTCCTCGTTGTCGGCTCAGGACTTAGCATTTCAGCATTGTAAGGAACACTGATTCTTGGCACTTCTAGACCGCTTCGTGAAGCTGCTTCGTTGTTGATTCTTCATCGCTGCAACTATGTTAAAACCGCTTTTTCGTTGGCCGGCGGCATTTCTTCTTTGCACGATATTTTCCATTCCAGCATTGTTGGGAGCACTGGCCGTAGGAGAGGAAGATTTTCCGGGGAGTGCTCTTGGGAGAAAGCTTTCGAGCGCGTCAGCTCAGCGGAGCTCCGAGCTGCTTTCTAAGGGTGAGCAGGTCCCATCGTTTTTTTGTGCTCCGTGGCTTTGATTGCAGCCAGACTTTGACCGCAGACAGGAGTTTTGTTTTAGTCTGCACAATGTCATTATTTGTCTCAGACCGCAGACCGAATTTCCATTTGCTGCGAAGGGGAAAGGAATGTGCGCGCTGCAACTTTCTCACCGCACGCACTCCCGAGCATGGCTTCTGCATATCTGGCTGGTACGAGTAGCTTGTGGACTGCTCGGTACTGTTAGAAACTCTGGCTAAAAGATGCCTATTACTTTCTTCTCGTTTGCGTTGGTTGTTGCTTTACGGCAAGCAGGATTTTGTCTCGAAGCGCTTCTACCTCAAAAGAGCTTTCTCGAACCACAAACCATCCACGGCAGCTATTGGGGTCATGGCTATTGGAATCTGTCACCAGAAGCTCTTCGGCTAAAGAACTGGCTAAAAGAACGAATCTTGTTATTCAGCAATTGTAACCCAGCATTTGCAGTCGCTTGTGTCGGAAATGATGTCAAGGTTCAGCTTGAAAGTATTCAGACTACACGTGTTCCTGTTTGATCATCATCATCATCAGGTAGTATTGAAGAATCCAGGCAATCAGTTTCTGTCCGCGTTATTATCTGCTCTCGCTGATGTCACCTTTGACTTTGCGTGATGGAGATAAGAGTCCTTTTTTCGTCTTCCGCCCGTAACATAGATACGAGGATATTTGGGCAGGGGGGGGGTGCAATTCTTAGGGTCCACTTGTAGTGCAACAGATCTTGAGAACACTTCTTCAACAGCATTTTCCTGTTTCGGGCGACCAGCGCAACAGTGTAAAGTTGAGCTGGTCGCCAAGTATCTGCCCCCTAGATAGCAGGGGGCTTGACGCTTGCGAAAGTCCACATTTTAACGGTTTGGGGTTTCTAACTATTCCTACAGCTTATAATGACGCTGCCCAGACGCGTCTTTCGTCCCGGAAGCCCAATCAATGTCCCGGTCGCTCGTTCTTCTCTGTCGGACACAGAGCCGACTTGAAAATGCCTGGATCTTCCGAGGATCCAATCGCTTTTCTACTCCTGTCAAACGCAGGGCAAGACGGCGACCAGCAGAGCCCATCGACCGCGAAAGGGTCGCCAGTCAACCGGGGACTCAAAGACGGCGACCTCAATGCGCCCAAAAACGCAACAGAGCCGAAACCTGTGCTGCCCACCAGCGTCGCTTTCCCCGGGAGCCCAACAACTGCCTCGAGGGATCCCCCCAGAAGCTCAACGACTTTCTCGGGGAATCCCCTCGGAAGCCCAACAACTCTCTTAGGAAGTCCCCCCAGAAGCCCAGCGACCTCTGTGGGGGATCCCTCCGGAAGCCCAACGACATTCTTGGGGGATCCCTCCGGCCCCTCCTTCCACCCCCTCAGACACGTGCACGCCTCGCACCTCGAGAGCGGTGCCCCGGGCCTTTTCTCACCACGGGGCCACGTGACCACGACCGGCAGACGGGTAATCACCATAGCGTATTTGCACGCGCTGCTGGAGCGGGACGCGCGCAGGTGGGAGGGTTTGGTGACATCAACGGAGGCCCCGGTGACGTCAGCACGACCGGGAAGGCGGTTGGAGGCGGCGAACGGGACCGTGGATTTGGCGCTGAATGGGAGTATTGAGACGAACGGGTGAGCAGACTCGATCTCCAACCGAAGTGCGAACCCGGATCTTATAGTCACTGGTTGTGATGCTGATGAAGGCTTTCACTTCGTGCTTGGACTGGTCAGCACTCACAGGTTTTGAGTCCATGTCATCTGCACACAAGTCGAACTTGGCCCCCATCCGCAGCGTCTCATTTACGTATGTCAAATTCAGAAAGTGCTTTTCAGCACGACCTCATATCGCAAGTCCAAGCATATTGATTGCAATTGCAATGAACCACAGAGATAGGTTCGTACTATGCTCAATAGCTGCTCCCGCATCGGGTAGGTTTAAAGTTCCACATGACTATTGGGTGGACTTCATTTACTTCATTCAAGTCGTACCCGATGGATCACCGACCGAAACTTGAGACTCGCTAAAGTCTGAGCTCACAGTTCCCAAGCTCATTTGGAAGCAAAATTATGTAAGGGGCTCCCGCTGAATTACGACCTAGTCTCCTTATTGTAGCTTTTCTCGGAGGATTTCAGGTGACCAACAGGCGATGTGTGAATCTGGCTTCTTAATCCGCTCGCATCCTTGTTCACAGAGCACGACCTGATGTTGTGCTCAGCAGTCATCCCTAATCTTCTCTGCGCTCCTGCTCTTGCCAGGCTGTATACGACAACCATTGGGATCGGCACGCCGCCACAGAACGTCAGCGTTCAGATTGACACCGGTGAGAAACCATCCTTTTTACCCCGTAAGCTCATCCAGAACGTGATCGTAAGAGCTCAGCTTCGCAATAGCGAAGTAACCCGAGAACGGCACTTTGGCAAAGTTTTCTTCCTGCTCCTGTCGTCTAAACGTCGTGAGTCCGGTCGAGTCGTGAGTTTGGGATCACGAGTAGGCCTGCTTTCTCTGAAGCAAAGCTTTTACAAAGCTTCCAACGAGAATGTTTCGCTAGACCGATACCACTTCGCGGCTTGTTCGCAACGCCGAGATGGTTTAAGATCTATATAGGCAGCAGGTTTCGCAGAAATCGAGTAGGCGCGTTCGGAGCAATGGCAAAGAGAGCTTTGGGCTAAACGCCGGAGTCAAAAACTCGTGAAGACAAAGCGGAGCATTAAAGATACAAGTTTGTACAGTTGCGAAAGCTCTGTTTTTCGACTCCCGATCTGTTTCGTCCGCAGGTTCGGACCTTCTCTGGACGCAGTGCGCGCCGTGTGACAACTGCACAATTAGCCCTCAGGTTAGGGCGTCCTTCACCCTCGGGTTACGCGTCCTTGACCCTCTGGTTAGGCGTCCCTAACCGTCAGGTCACGTGTCCTCAATCCTCAGTCTAGGCGTCCTTGGCCCCAGGCTAGGTCTCCCAACCCTCAGTCTTGGCTTTGACCCCAGGCTATGTTATCTTAACCCTCAGGTCTCGCGTCCTCAACTCTCCGTTTTGGCGTCCTTAATCCTCATGGTTAGGCGTGATTTACCTTCAAATTGGTAGTAACCATCGGGACGTTTCCTTCCCTTGCCCCGTCCGTCGCTGGGACCTTGTCATGCGCATCATTATCTAACCATCACGCTCCAGTGTTTCGGCGCTCAAACCTCAGTCAAAGCGTCACCTTTGCCGTCTGCACAAAGCGCCCCATTGCATGCTTCTTCGCTTTGGGGTCCCTGGTTTAGTGTCAGACCCTTCTCCCAATCGGGCTGCTTCAAGCGCTGCACCCTGAACAGACCATTACTTGAATGTGATTGTTTTGTCTGTTACTTCGCTTCCCAAAAGACTATGGTCCGTCACCCCGGTTGTAGCCGATCCGCTCCTTTTTGCTGAGTATATATACGTTCCTGCCAAGCCCAATCGCGTTCTCCCTTGGTACGCCTTCTCACTTGTTCGTTCTTACGTTACCTACCCCAGTCGCACACTTTCCCAACCGGCTGCGTTTTGGTACTGGAGCTTTGCTCAGGGCATATCGACCGGTCGTCGCCTTCGGGAGCGTTCCGTACGACTCTCGCTTTTTAAATTTTTCTTCGGTGCTTGTTTCATCCACCATTTTCTTCCGGTCACTTTCAGAGACCCCGACATCACATCTGTTTGCGCAGTCCCTGCCAACCTGTCGTCAACCTTCGTGACTCCCGCTGGTTCGGCACTTTCTGTTAGTTGGCTGACGTCTTTCTCCGCTCCCTCTAATAAAGGCTGGATCGTGGAAACCCTGAATCCCCTAGACTCTCAGAAGGGCCACGTCAGCACTTTCTCCGGCAGCTCCCCCCGGTTGATCCCAACCGGTCTTCCACCTTCTCGAGCTTTCAACGCGACTCGCGCTGCCTTCATGCTTTACCGGCCAATTCCGCCTCTGTCGATCTCCTGTCTACCTTTCGGTGATTCCCAACCGGAATTCGACCTTCGTGCCAGGGTTTGACGCCTTTGGTCACGGCCTGTAACCTGCCGACAAGAAAATCCCCTCTTTTTTCCAGCGCGCAGCTTCTGCCGCTGTATCCTGGTTATAAAAACCCCTTTTCTTTGACCGCAGCGTCCCCCAGTTCGTAACCTGGTTACAAGACAACCCTTCTTCTTGACCGCAGCTTCCGCCCGCCTGTAACCTGGTTACAGGAAAGTTTTTTTTCTTAGCCGCAGCTACTGTTGACAACCTGATTCTGGTATACCTTTCTTTCTAACCGCAGCTCCCCCCGGTTGATCCCAACCGATCGTCCCCCTTCGCGAGCTTTTCCTGCGACTCTTGCTTCTTCGAAAGTTGGTCTCCGTTTACTAAAAAACCTTTTAACTTCATTCTGAGAAAGTTCCAAAGGTCGTTGTGTGAAGTTTTAAACCCTGACAGATTTACAGTTCCGAAATTCTCAAAACTTACGCGAGCATATCTCCCGCAGCTGCCCCCAATTGATCCCAATGGGTCGTCCACCTTCGCGAGCCTCCCGTGCGAATCTCTTCAACAGTTGCTCTTAGCGAACTCACGCCTATTTATCCTTGGAAAGTTCCAAGCCTCACAAGGTCTTAAACACCAAAACTGACGTCAGCATTTCCCCCGCAGCTGCCCCCGGTTGATCCCAACCGGTCGTCCACCTTCGCGAGCCTCCCGTGCGACTCCCGCTGCACCGCGCTCAACGCGACTGCCCAGGGGAGCCTCGGGTGCGCGAACGTGAGCGGTAACGGCAGCGGTAACGCTCAGCCGGACTGCGGGTATATCATTATGTACGGCGACATGTCCGCGTCCGCGGGGGTGATCGTCGGGGACATGCTGACGTTGCCCAACGCGACTGGGAACGTCAGCATTGAGGCGTCGGCAATCTTTGGGTGAGTTTCGGAGAAGGCTCTTTCGTTTTTCAAAAGCTGCTGAGTGATTTGACTCGTTCGTAGTTCTCCTCCGCTTCAGGTCCTTCCGGTTCCGGTCCCGGTCCTAGTCCTGTTGTGGAGTTTTGTCATCCAGCAGATCCTAGCTGTCTTGCCTTGCTGCCACGTCAGCTACACTCCTGCTTTGGCTGACGTTCGCGTTTTCGATCGAGGTTTCGTCCTCGACTCCAATCGCCGGTCTCTGGTTGTAACACTTGCTCTCTCATCACCCGCTCTCGATCTTTATATTGTCATCGTTCCATGTTTGCGTTTTCACCATTCTGCTTGGGCTTGGAATAAGCGCGCACTAAAGCCAATGAATGGGTTCAAATCTTTCTCTTACCCGTCCAAAGCGCTTGCATGTGCGACTCAGCGGAGACTTCAAACCTGATTATCTCCGGACTGACAGACTGAATACGGCACTTTACAACCAGAATGTGTGACCAAAAGGCATTCAAATTGCACTTCATCTTATTCTGAGCTATTCAACCTAACATTGCAGGTGCGACTTAGCCGAGACGCTTAAGGTTATCACCCCTGGAATGAACGGTCTCACGGGCTTGGGGCGCGGCCCGCTTTCCTTCCCGTCCCAGCTTTACACTCATGAATGCGCGAGCAAAGACTTGAGGGAAAACTGGGTTTAACTTTCCCTCTGAGCTAACCAAGGAAATATTTTTGCAGGTGTCCCGGAATGAACGGTCTCATGGGCTTGGGGCGCGACCCGCGTTCGATCCCCTCCCAGCTTTGCACGCATGAACGGGCGACCAAATTCTTTGAGGGAAATCAGGTGTTGTTTTTCTTCTGAGCTCATAAGCCAAACAGCTTTGCAGGTGCGACGTCGCCGAGACGCCAAACCTGATCATCCCTGGAATGAATGGTCTCATGGGCCCAGGGCGCGGTCCGCTTTCAATTCCGTCCCAGCTTTACACCCTGAGATGCGCGACCAAAATCTTGGGGGAATTGATGCTTCAGTTAATTTCTTCGTTTGAGTCGACCAAGCAACCGAACCTTTTTGCAGGTGCGACTTAGCCGAGACGCCGAACCTGATCATCCCCGGAATGAACGGTTTGATGGGCCTAGGACGCGGTCCGCTTTCAATTCCCTCCCAGCTTTACGTCCAAAACGCGACGGCAGTGGACGCCTTTTCGGTCTGCCTGGCAGGGGTCGAAGGGGGTGGGGGTCTCATTTTTGGAAACACGACCCCCCCGGTGCCGCTGAACTACACGGATCTGATCGCGCCGAAAAAGATGTGAGTGCCAGCAGAAACAATTCTGAAGAATTTCGTCTCCATTCCAGAGGTGAAACAAGCTCTCTGTTTTGGAAAGAGGACCCCTCAAAGGCCGCTGAGGTGCTGCGCTTAACGCGCCAGGAAAAAAACGTGAACGGTGACAAAGTTATGATCTTTTCAGTACAGAGGCTGTAGGGTAAAGGAAGTAGTCTACTGACCAAGCGTGAACCTTTTACAGTTTCCTTGTGATCATGCTTGTGCCCAGAAAAAGGACGTCACACATGTAGCTCACCTGGCGACCAAAAAGCCCGCGTTCGAGTAACGCCGCCTTGCTTGGTGCTAAGACGGAGACCAGAGCTTTGCCCGTCTTTCTGCTAGTCGCAACGCGCCACGTGTTTCTTACGGAGCTTCTACACCATCTTTCCAGACGACGTCGTTGTCAACGATAAGAAGCTGAAGCCGCGTCTGTAGTGCTCCTGTAACGCCTCCATCATTGCATCTTTGGAGACCGCTAAACCTTCACGTATGTCAATTTCTACAGCGTGTTCTTAGACGACGCTGTGATTTCGACGTGACAAGAATAAACCTGCAACTATTGTGCTCGAGCAACGCCTTGCTGGATCGATGTCATCGGGCCACGTGTCACTTCCCTACTTTCTAGACCGTTTCCTCAAATAACGCCTTTGTCCACGAGACGAGGCTCAAGCTGTGTTCTTGCGTCTGAGCACCGCGACATCCCGCTTTTCTGCAGACGGCCGATCTCAATCCGCCACGTGTCTCTTTTGCAGCTTCTACTACAGCGCGCCGCTGGAAGACGTCTTCGTCAATGAGACGAGGCTCATATCAGCCGCTTCTGCGCCTGATCAACACATATTCCTGGACACGACTAATCGCAACCTGCCACGTGTTTCTCTTGCAGCTTCTACAGCGTTTGGTGGACAACAATCCTGTCAACGGGACGAGGCTCGATCCGCCGTTCCTGCGACTGAACAATGCGCCAGCTAATCGCAGCCTGCCACGTGTTTCTCTTGCAGCTTCTACAGCGTTTCGTTGGATGACATTCTTGTCAATGAAACGAGGCTCGATCTGCCGCTCCTGCGCCTGATTAACACGTTCCTGGACACGGGATCGACGGCCATCTCGCTTCCGTACAACGTGCAACAGGCATTCCGTGACGAGGTGCGAAATCTGAGCGGATACACTTACCGTATGATCTATCCTGGAAACCTTGTCATTCCGAACCCTCCGCGTCCTGGATCGCATCTCCGTTCGATGCAATGAAGGATAAGCTCAGTGCTGGAAAACAATGCGGTCCCGTTCTGAATCCGGTTTTTCTTAGGTTGAGGGTTTACCGGTTTCGAATCAGATCAAGAAGCGTCTGGGTTGCTGCTGCGAGTGGCGCTTTCCGGCAATTCAGGTCCGCTTCTTGGACTCCACACGTCGAAACGACTCTGGCAAACCCGTGATGTTCGAAAGTCAAGGGATATGTAGGGGGAAATGGGTGGTCGGACTCTTGTGTCGGGGTTCAAAAAGGTTGTGAGCTTCAAAATCGGGACACTGAAAGACGAGCGCTTTGACGTTGTATATTTTTCGCAGATGCTGGCCCAAGTTTCGCTTCCGCTCCTGAACCGCGTCTTCTCCGAGAACCTCGTCGGCTCCGGAGCGACCTGCTTCCAGCTGCCCCCTTCCGCGTAAGCTCCGTTCCGTTTCCGTTCCGGCTCTCTCTTGGGCGCCTCATCCGACACAATCAAACAGATTACCTTCCTGTATTGGACTTACCCCTATCTCGCTTCCCACCTCCATCGCTTTATCGCAAAGGTCCTTTCACCAGGCGCACGGATTTGAAGCGCGTTCTGAACTCAACGTGCGCTATGGCCCATTCAGACATGTGGCGTCTTTTACCGATGGCTGACGTCGTAAGCACTTCAGCGCCCTGGTCTCTTATACATGTGTTCGAGAACACGTCTAGTAGCGAAAACGCGGCCCAACTGTACAGTTTGCGGAGTGGATTATATCCCTCTTAACTCCGGTCGAGCCTGTAGAGCGGCTTCTACATTTCCGTACTCGTCAGCACGCCTTCATCTGCTTCGAAGTTCGAAAGATGTAGCTTCCGCACTTTTCACTACTTCTATCGGTGGCTCCGCTGTGTGACATTATCATGACGTCGGGTTGATTTCTTGCTGCCTCAGACTATCGGACGGCGTCCTGAACGCGAGCGCCTTCTTCCCGACCGTCCGATTCGACCTCACGGGTGCGCCGCTGCTGCTGCAGCCGGACGATTACGTCATCTTCGCGGAGAGTCAGGCAGGCCGTCGCACCCAGTCGCAATGCTGACGTCACCTTGCTTCGATCAGTTCATTGCGAGAGTCTGGACAAGGAGGGCTTGGGCTCCCGTTACCGGAAGCCCGTCTTGTCGTTCTATCAATCAATCGACGGCCCAGATTTGCTTGCCTGACGTAATTTCACCGTTGATGAAAGCGGAGGTCGGAATCGGCGCCCATGTGCTTCACACTCGGGCTCTGGCAGATGACTAGCAAGCTACAACACCAAACTCAGAAAACGAGCGTGGATTTTAGTAGTGATCGAACAAGCAGGCGGATTCAAGGGGTGCTGCCGGTGCCAACCTTTGACCTGGAAAGGGTTTGAGAAAAGGATGTCTTCATATTTTCCTTCGTATCAGCTGGTAACGCTCAAAGAAGCGTTGAGAGGGCACAACCTGTCGCGACCAAACGAGAGTCTACAAGGGCCAAGCGGCCTTGGTCGCTTCCATAGGAATTCTAACAGAAGGATACGCTATGGTGCAGGACGGGTCCATTTTGATCGGCTGCCCGCTTATGCTGAGCCAGGGCGCGCGCCAATCCTCCCTGAACAGCGTCATCATCATCGGAGGTGAGATTCTTCGCTCGACACAAGTTTGCGGTGGTCAGAAGGTTCTTAATCATCGACGCTTTTGCTGTTGATTTTTGACGTGAATTTCTGTGCTTCAACCAAGTTACCTGGTCGAGCAATCCCTGGCAAGCTGAATGAAAAATCAATTCGGAGGTGTTGAGGTGGGCTCTGTGCCAGAAGGGGCGAAACGCAATTCAGAAGTGGCACGCCATGTTCGGAAAGTTCGCGTCAGTGTATTCTGTGTTTTCTTGCGCTTATTCTGAGGCCACAATCACTTGACGGCTCAAGAAAAGACTCAACCAGCGCAGGCAAAGTCAGTCCAAAGTAGAGGATCGAAAAAGGACGTATACTTCGCAGCCGTCACTTTGCTTATTCTGTTTCCGTCTAAATGCTCGCTATCGGGCGAAAAGTCCAACTCACTTTACCATCGAAGCATCCTTTTCAAGAAAGGTTTGGGAAAGCTTTTTAGCTTGACCGCCAGCTGCAGCAGCGCCGTCTCAACGGCTATAAGTGCGCACGAGTCGCTGACGTTAGAACCCCCCTTAGTCCGTAGGAATATCATAGTAGATAAGGGTCCCTTTCAATCCCAGAAGTGAGTCGTTTTGTGGTCCAGAGCCAGAGACTCGAGATCGGGGGCTTGCTGCATTACTTGGTTGTCCGCTTTTAAGAGCAAAATGGTTTTCAAACGGGCTCAAGAAGGGCTTGCTTCTGCGCCAGGAATTGCTCGTAAGTTTGGTGACCAACAGCCAAACTTCCTTAACCATCTGCTAACCAGTGGAGTCAATGCCTCGCGCGCAGATGCCGGCATGCGGAACCACTACTTCGTCTTCGACCGGCAGGCCGACCGAGTGGGCCTCGCGCCGATCAACTGTGAGTTTCGAAGCCTCGACGTCGAATCCTTCCTACTCCGACTACTCTGCCTCCAATTCGACGAGCACTTAAAAAGGTTCTCAGTGATTGTATCGGCAGGTCTGGGCAGGAAGAGTTCTGGGTTTGCTTCCATTGACGCGTTCGCGACAACCGATGGGACTCCCTCAGAACCATATACTGATTGTAGATGCTTTACTTGTTTCATTCTATTCAGCAAAAAGGACGAATGGTTTAACTGGTAGAGTCCTGGAGAGCTCGGCCCTATGCTTATCATTCGAGTTTCCTGAGACGCCCTGCTTGGTTGCAATAATCCGAAGGCTCGTGCAAACGAGCACGCACCAAAGAGAAGAACGATCTGGTTGAGAAATGATAAAGAAAGGCCTTACGCCATACTTTCTTTCTTTTAGGAGAAGCTTCATCAACAAAGTCCACTTAAATTGGCAAATGAATTGACTTCCGGACACATAACATACATTAATCGGTAGATATGTCGCCAGTAGGTACTTCAAGAGAGCGCCTGATGCTTCCCGCTGAGATCCCCTGAACCTTCGGTGCTTGTCAGGTACCACTTTGGCGCCCCGCAACGCATCGGCGCCAGTGTCGCAAGCTTTCATCCCTGGTCTCTCGCAACCCTCGACTGCGACTCCGCTTGACTAGGTGCCAAGGAAAACGTGCGATCTCTCGGCCGGGGCCAAGAATGAAGATGCGTGATCGACTCAGACGGTTGGTGCGGACATCATGCCTGGATTTTCGGACAGTATAGTAGTCGCGCCGCCACTAGTTTGTATTGCAGAGGCTTGTCCCGGCATATTGTTGCAACCATGACCGCAAGGGATTTTTCTTTTCAACACTACACTTGACGGCGCAGCCATCCGATGGCCTTCACGGCTGGGTTCAGTAGCCTCGTGCGCAATCAATCCGAACTTCGTTATTGAACCGTCGTCAGTTGCGACATGGACGTACATGAATGACCGCCGCGCCCGACCGAATGCCTGAACCGTCTGTCGCACAATACCAACTTAGGTGGTCGATGTCAGTGTACCTATGAGTCCGACCGGCCGGGCCTAAGTGATACTATCAAAGCCTATATATGCAGCCTGGTGTATCATGCAAACCATTAGTAAGTTATATCTTAGTAGCTCACTGAACTGCTGCACGACGCGATCGTGGCAACCAGCTCTTGCCAGGCTGCATGCCTGAGCGCTGCGCCTTCAGTTCATTGTGCATCAGTGGGCCGCCGGCCGGCGCGGCTGGCCCTAATTTGACGCTTAATCAGATTCCGCTTTATATACTAGCGCATCAGTGCAGCGCCGTCATGGGTGATCCATGAATCAATGTACCGTACCGTTGTACGTAGGGATTGCATTGCACCAAAAGCTAGCTCAGTGGCTAGCTAGCTAGTTTGATTGGGTCCTCATGTCGATCATAATGATCCGACGTACACGTACAGGCCACTTCCACAAGCAACCTATGGTGGGTATCGGCGGTCTCGATCGCGCGACGGTCCGGTCACAAATTTGAATCACCGGTGTGTCGCGTCGCGACAATTACTGTACGCGGTACTGACGATCGTGCAGACCGGTACTTGAGAATCCGGTCCGAGTTCATGAATTAGAATCTGTCTGACATTCCGATCGTCAGAAACTTCCGGAGTTTCCGGCGGTACGGTACCGATCAAGTCTGACCGTACGTGAAATTTGAAAATCATGGTTTCGATCGGAAGTTCCGACTCGAACCACCCTAGAGTACCGCGGTACCTAACTTGAAAGGAGAGTGCAGAAGATGGAAACGGGAGTGTAGGGAATGGCGCTTTTTAGAAGCAAGCAATGGCGGCCAATTTGCAGCCACGATGGTGCTTCTTCCGATTTGTCCTCAACATAACAAGATGTTGGAGCTTCGAAGGAGCCTTCATGACGCTCTCCCAACATTTTTTTCTGCTTGTCAGAGGTTTTTATAAGCCTGCATATGGCTCTTCTTTGCGTGCCAATTTGATGCTCCTCTCAAAGTGTAAAACCTGACACTGTTTAAGAATCTCCTCACACTTACTTACGGCCCGGCAAAATTCTCTGAGTATTTGTACCGCCCGAGTAACATAAACCTGAGTAGCCGTGACGCGAACCGCCGGTAACACTGACGATATTCGATACGCGCTAAATCGATTTTGTGGCGGCCGGAGTCGGAATCGACTCGGCCGGTACCCACCATAGGTAGCTTGTGTTCTGGCACTTCATCGTATAAAGGCCGCACACGGCCTAGCTGGCCCGCCGGCTTATACAATTATGATATAAAGTCTAGACTCGATTATAAATCGGCACTACAGAGCTCAACTTTATAACTGACATCACGACAAGGCTTTCAATTATGCACGTACGCTACATGACATGCACAAGCCTGCAGGGCATGCGCCGGGTGCATGAATCCGACAAAGATGGCATACTAAAGGACGTCAAACTCTTCCTGGCAAGAATCATGCTATAGCACAACGCTAGTGGGAGCAGGACCAGCGTGCCTGTGGGCGCACCGAGTGCTGGCCTTTGAGTCTCAGCCCATCAGCAAAGATTCCATGAAGCGGATCATTGCCGCAGTACGTCCAGGCCAGGTACTGTGCGACAATCGCACATGAAATCTAATCTGAGGACACATTGCATGTTCGTTGTCAACGTTTTAAAAGAATCGGGCAAAACTGCAAAAAAAAGTTGGAGGCGGCCTCAAGCCTGTCTTAAACATGATCGCAAGTGGAAGTCGGGCCTAATAATATCCGCAATGATTGATGACTCACAGCTCGTAAAAGTACCACTTTGTACAGCTAGCTTTACGACATGATGCCTTTGCACCACAGCGCTTGTTATTTTCTGCCTGCTCTGTGCTATTCCCTGCTGATGCTATGCGACTTTGACTGCTGATGCAGATCCGTCTGATCGTCATTAGAGCCCTCCTTTGAAGCCCATCTTTCGAGTCGTTCTCATTGAACCTAGAAGTTAGCGATTTTGCGGCCGGGCAACGCCCGGTCTCTACAACCTGTTTGCTTAGTTTTCAACCAACTGTAGAGACGCTGGTTCAAATCAAATCCGCGCGGTTCTCGGTAAAATAAGGCGATAGTTCCAGATCTGTAACCGCTTCCCCAAAGGCAAGGGCACAGCCACCCTCCCCGTTTGCTTGAAACCAAACCGTTCGTACAAACCCTGCGCCGCCTTCTGAAACTCCGTAGTCCCCAACTTTATCTCTCCATACCCATGCTCTTCGCAGAAGGCTAACACAACCTCCAGCAAGCGCTTGCCAACCCCAAGCCCCTGGTAACTCGAATCCACCGACATGCTGCGAAGAATCGCCACGTCCCTGGCGCGAGTGACTTCTTCCACAGCAACACACCCTATGATCCTACCCATGAACACCGCGACCCACAGGTTGTTCCGCCCTGGCCTGACGTAGTTGTTCGGAATGTCCTTGAGCTTGTGCACGACCGTCTTGCTCAAATCTCTGCTCACGACTCGATTTAGGGCCCAAAACGACAGCGCAGGCAGGATGATCACTCCCGCTAGGGTCAACATCCAGCCTGCGCACACTTGCAGCACAGCAAGAACGACTAAAAGACTAGCCACATAGGAGGGGTTGTACCACAGGACTCGTGCGGCGAGCTGCCAGCCTAATGTGCTCCACAGGTTTGTTTTGACTAGGTTCTTTACATCCTTCTCCTCCCCCGCTTTGATTGGGCGTATGACGAGGCCGGTGGACCCTTCGGTCATCCTTTCCCGTCCGACGCTTCGTCCCAGCCTGGAGAGACGCACACATCCATCAGCTATGGTTTTGACTTCTTGTGTCGCATTCTTTGACTACGATCAGATCATGGTTCCGTGCATCTTTGATGTTGTAATTGTTATTTTGAGATTAGGCTCAGGTCATCCTCTCATCATCTTTGTTGTCATAAAATGGCTGAAGAAACCTGTTGTTTCTAAATTGTTGTTGGTGGTAAGTTTGTGACGCCTCGTATCTGAAATGGGCAACAAGAGACAAAGTGCCTTACAGCTCCTGATGGCGACCTCAGCAAGGCCCATTAGGACGTTCCTATTTCAACCACACAGTGTGTACTCAAAAGTATATACAGTATGGACTGTACTACACAAACAAAGCCGAGCTGCCAATCAGGCGAAGACACAGACCAGACGTAGATGTGCACAGGAGATCCTTTGACAGAACAGAACCACCACCGACTTGCACCAAAAAAATCAGATCCTTTGAACTTTAGCATCCAGTACGAGAAGCAGGTAGAAGAGCACGAACCACAGGATCTGAGAGAGAATAGAAGTTTGACCACCCTTCAAGGGAAGTCCCTACAGAAGCTGAGAACGTGCAGAAACCAATGGCTGGGACCAGCACCCATGTCTATGAAAGGCATGACAAGGATGAGGATTTGAACCATAGAACCAGCAGCTCTTGTTCAATGTGTAAAGAACTGAAGTAACAGCTAGATGACACACAAAATACCATCCCGCACCGAACCACAGAGAATCTGTACCAGCTACCAGTTTCTTCCCTGTCAAACATCATCTGTTTGCCCTCAGCAGACCAAGCGTCACCACAAAGATAGCTGCAGACTGGCGGTCCCAATCTTATATCTGAACAGATAGATCCAGACAATGCGCTCTTCCCCACAACATAGAAACTGTCCTTTCTTAGCAGGAGAAAGGTTTCCCAAAACCTGCGAATCTTACCTGTGTGTCCCAGACGCCGGAGTCTAGAACGGACTGGGACGAAGCTCCTCCTCCCCGCCCGACGCAAGCGGGAAACATCTGGTGCAAGGATGTTTTCTGCTGCCTTTGCTCTGCTTCTTCTGCTGCCTTGCGCTCTGGAGAAACTTGAGGTCAGGTTTGACTTTCAGCGACGAGCTTCTGGCAGGAGGCCATTTCAGATTTCCTCCTGTCACTGTCAGTGTCACGGTCAGCTGAGTTTCTAGAATCCCGAGCCTGCTCTGACAACAACTGTTGACATCAGTGTGATTGAGCTCAGCACGGGGCGCATTGATGCCAGCCAATTGATGCCTCTGCAATGTCAGCATTGGGCGAACATCATGTACCGACCTTGCTTAGAAACCGCAAGCAGCCCTAAGAAAATACTCGTGTAGCTGCACCAGTAAAAACCTGTACTCCAACATACAGTGTCAAGGAATGTAGGATAATATGAAAGATAGTCGGTTTGACACCACCGCTATACACCGGCAAATGGTTACGATATTGCCTTTTCCTGAGTGCAGACCTGGGCTACGGCCTATGACCTTCCAATTCCCATAGGTAGGATCTCTGACATATGGTTTCTTTTCAGTGTACCCAATCTTAGTCACAAGTAGAATCCCTTGTGACAGTCGATGCTGAGGAAACGACGAAAATTGACGGCTTGAAAGTGTTTCGGCAATCTGCTTATTGAGGGTACATTTTGCATCTTGCGCACGTAAGTCCGCTCCGGCCGGCGGGCAGCTCGGAGCCTCAGGCTGTGACAATCGAATGATTGTTTACAACCAGATCTTCGGGCACGAGGGAGGATCTGTCAGAAAAAACTATGGATGGATGTGAACCGCCGATCCGCCCATCGACGGCGTTGACGGAATCACATAGAAAGTTTGGTGCTCGTCATCATGGCGTCAGCAGACGCCAAGCCGAGCGCAGGTGTCGCTTCTCGCGGCCGCCGAACCTTCGTACCGCGGCCGGCCTCGTGAGTCGTGACCAATACCGGTACCTCAATATAGCCGGTTCTCAGACAAGGTGTCAACGCTCTTTGATTTGGCAGAGGTGTTTTGGGCCTGTTGGCAGTGACGGGTGCGGCCGCTGTGACGCCGTTCTTCTAGCTGGAGAAGCACATTCAGGGCGGCAAAATTTTGAAGGCGGCCTTCAAGGCATGCAAGGAAACCTAGGTGTACTGTAGCTAAGCCTAACTCAGTAACTGCCCTAAGTACACGCAAGCAAGGTGGCAAGGTAGACTGGGCAAGGCCCAAGGGCAAGTAGATTCTGCCCGTGCAGAAAGTGGAGTTGTGTTGCCAGCTTTGTGGCTGAGCTGATTGGGATCCACTCATTGCCGTTGTTTGCTGGGGCGCAACGCGGTTGCAGGGGCTGATGGCTGCCGCTCAGGTCGTGCAAAGCCTCCGGCGGCACTTCGATATCATCCAGGACAATGAGGACAATGCAGATGTCCTCACAGAAAACTTCATGGCCGTTGCGTCGCTGATCCCTCGCTACTGGGAGGAAGCCCTGAAGTTGAAAGCTACCAAAGAGTTGAAGGAGTCCATGAAGAGGTTTCACTGGTGCTGGATTGAGCTGCCGGAGTTTCCCCTGAGGCGGCTTGTCCCCACCGCCGCAAAAGCGCTGCAAATGCACCCAAAGAACCGAGGGTTGGTCACGATTCTAGCGGACCTGTTCGAGGACGTTTGCAAGCAGGTAATGCCGAATAAGCAGGAAGCGCTGAAGGCGGGTGTTTTGGCGGGATTTCTAGAAGCAGTCTTGCAAGTTGTTGTTGTGGGGCCTGCCGGCTTCTCTTTGCTCAGACAAGAGGAAGCCGAACTCATTGAGGGCTGCCTTCGAGCTGCCGAGATGGTCTCAATCACTCCGACCAACGGGTTCTACGACACTCCCCTCAAGGTCAAAAATGAATTCTTCGCACTCGGGAAAGCGGCCTGGAGCGACACTGAGCGACTGAGCGCGCTCCTGGAAAGGGTCCCCTGGCCGACAGAGTTCCCCAGCAGGGAGGGAGTGAACGAGCCCCTTCAGTTGCTGGCGTTTCTGCTGAGCTATCTACCGGGGCTGTCTATCGGCACCAAGCACTGCGTACAACTGCTCAAGAATTTGTCCGAGGGGTGGGAGGCGACGCTGCCGGTGAAGGACAACCCCGCATTTTTAGAGTGAGTGATGTCAGCAATTTTACAATTTTCAAACAGAATTGTGCCAGTGCACAGGGTGATGATGTCATTGTTGTGAAACACCAATAAGAGGGTGGGAGGCGACTGCTGTCGGTGCAGGACAAACCCGCATTCTTAGAGTGAGTGATGTCAGCGATCCTATGATTATCAGGAACAGAGTTGTACTGTACATAATGGTGGCGTTGCAACTCTGGTGAACATTAGTTGGAAGAATAAGAGGCGCCGCTGCCAGTACCTGGTGATTTCCCGTTCTGAGATTGCATGACAGGATCCTTTCGATGCTGGTCAGAATCTGAAAGGAAGTCAGCGACCCGCGCAATGAGCTTAACAAGTGAAAGGCTTGGTGAACTCTGACTTTCTTGACCGAAGTATTCATCTTGTCAGTCTTTCTGAAGCAGAAGCCACAGTCACATCTGTGTTTGATATCCTTCCCGGGGCGCGTAGGCGATCGAACAACAAGCCTTATGACGCGTTTTAAGTCAGACACGCAGGCCTTCACAGCATTCGTTTACCTTTGAGATTTGTGATTCTGTCCATCAAAGCTTTAACCTTCTTCAGGTTGGTACAGAAGCAACTACACAACTTGCGCACCATGCGGTCTGCCGATAAGTGACGTGGAATGGCCAACCTCATTCAATGTAACCACAACTTTTGTACTCTTCGCTTCCTAAACCATCCGAGGGCTGCTTGCAATCAGCTTTCCTAACCCTCCCCAGGTTAAGCAGCACCACATAGACATTTGGCTCGAGGAGCTGTCTGGGCTAACTGCTAACCAAGCGTTTGCTTCTCTGACCCTGCCCAACTTTTGAAACTGAGCATAAGCAACTTGCACAAGGAGCTGTCGGATAAGAAGCAGCGGTGGAGCAGAGAGGGCCTTGTCGTGGTACGGTGGAGGCGGTGCCGTTTTAGCATTTTGAGAATTAATCACAGCTTATGTCCCTAACTCATGGGCAGATCCTTGCGGCGGCTCGTAAGCGACCTGCATAAGGAGCTGGCTGACGAGAAGCCGTGGAGGGCCTAGTCTGTAGTTCGGTCGACGCGGTCCTGATTCAGCATTTTCAGGGTTAACCGCAGCTTATCTCTTGAAACTGTTTGCAGCTCCTTGCGGCAGCGCATGAGCGACCTGCATAGGAGCTTCTGACAAGAGGCAGCGGAGTGCCTCGTCAAGGGTTCAATCGATGCAGGTGCCGGTTATCCGTTCTGAGGCCTAACCGCAGCTTATGTCCCCAATCCGCGCGCAGGTTTTTGCGGCGACGCATAAGCGACCTGCACAAGGAGTTGTCTGACGAGAAGCAGCGGTGGAGCAGAGAGGGCATTGTCATAGGCATGGTCGACCTAGTGCTTTTCCAGCAAAGGATCTTACTGCTGGAAGAGATTCGTTTACTCGTCGACCGCACGCTGGACCCGTCGCTCAGGGACACAACCATCCCCTACAAACACACGTGAGTGGAAGCTTTCCAGTTCAGTTAACTTTTGGGTTTCAAAGATTCTGGTGAATCAGTGGATCCAGGGTCTTCTTAAGACCCTCTGGCTTGTTTGTTTGAGCACCGAGGAATCGTCGCATCAGAAATCGTCACCCCTCCTGATGCGAGTATTCAAGGATTCATCTACGTGTGCCCCGATTTGAAACTTTCAAGCTGACCGCGTCGTATTGCAGATTCAACACCCAGTCGGGGATTATCATCAAGTACGCCACATGAGTCTGGGACATCTTATTTCCCACCTCTGAAACCACCTCTGAAACCTCTGAAACCTCCTTTCAAGTGGGTCTTTAAGGGAGGACTTTGCAGACTTCCCCCCCTCTTCCCTCCTGTCTTACACGAAAGCTTTCTTCTTCAGAACAAAGGTTGACTCCGTTCTCCTTCCAAGAGACCAACCGCCACCGGATGGTGATTACTTTAAAATGTATGAAGGCGGTGAACAAGGTCACTGGCAAATCTGTGCAAATGCTTCGATCCTGACTTGGGCCAATTTAAAGCACATAGATCTTCCTGCACGGCGAGCTCCCTGCGTTGTTCTGCAAGACCAAAATTAACCTGGCTGTCATCATCCAAACGTTCTTGAAATCGCCAATTCTTCTGCGGTGGGATCTTCTTGCACAAAAGGCTGACCGCATCCTTCCGCGAGACCACCAACCACCCGGCCGTCATCACCCACACATTCTTTGAAAACGTTTGAGAGCGCTTAATGGCAATTTAAACTGTTGAACCTCCAATCCGCGGCGTTTGGTGCAGAGAGATCCTCTGCACAAACGGCTGACCCCGAAATTTTGCGAGACTAGCTACTACCCGGCCGTCATCACCCACAAGTACCTGAATGCCTTCGAGGGCGTTGAGACATACTCTTATCTGTAGTTGCTATTTCGTTTACACATGCAAAGATTGAATGTGTATTTCGCGCCACTCTTTCTGCAGCGAGATCTTCTTGCACGAACTGATGACCGCATCCTTCCGCCAGACCAGCAACCACCCGGCCGTCATCACCCAAATCTTTTTCATCGCCTTTGAACGCGTCGAAAGCGATTCAGTGGAGGGTCTACGGACGTCGGTTGTTGAGAGTCTGATTTCACTTATTCTCTGCAGCGAATGTTTTTGCACGAAGGGCTGACCGCGAACTTCCGCGAGACCAGCAATCACCCGGCCGTCATCACCCACGCGTTCCCCAAAGCGTTTGAGAGGGCTTCAAACCGGGTTATCTAAATTGCACAACTCTTGAATTTAAAATATGCGCCGTTTTACTGCAGCAAGATCTTCCTGCACGAAGGGCTGACCGCGGATTTCCGCGAGACAAGCAACCACCCGGCGGTCATCACCCACAAGTATTTGACGGCGAGTCCAACTTTTGTCTGTATTTCTCGGGATATTCGCAGAGGTCTCTTTGTGTATTGAGAATCTTGCTCTCTCTTTCTGGCAGCCAGATCTTCCTGCACGAAGGGCCGACCGCATCGTTCCTCAGCACCAACAAGCACCCGGCAATGATCACCCACACATTCTTTAAAACGTTTGAGAGCGCTTCAAACCGCAGTATCTAATGGGCGCAACTCTTGAATTTAAGATATGCGCCGTTTTTCTGCAGCGAGATCTTTTTGCACGAAGGGCTGACTGCGAACTTCCGCGAGACCAGCAACCACCCGACCGTCATCACCCACAAGTACCTTACGGACACCAACAACGAGCGCGGCATCGCGCGGCGGCGGAGCCACGAGCTCGCGAAGAAGCTGAAGAAGAAGCAGAAGGCGCCGCAGACGTGCGCGCGGTGCAACGTGGAGTGGCGGAACCTGGACCCGGACGTTGAAAGATATAAGAAGTGCGGGCAGTGCGCCCGGGTGCATTACTGCGGGCCGGAGGTGAGCTTTGTTCACAACCGTTCCGATGTTCACAGCTATTCTTTGTGACATTTAGATTGGAGAGTGGAAACTGCTTACGGCGTAAAAGCACCCAGTGCATCTTTGCCGGAGTCGGGTATGTTGAACAAAGCCTCTTACGATAGGACTTGTTTGGTACTTGTCAGAGGGCTGGGAGCGTAATCTGAACGGACTTAATCACGTCAACAGCAGAGCGGCAACAGACTTAGTGTGGCTTGTTATTGTACAAGAGTTGGGGGATCCAAGATGGTACATGCATCGCGCGCAGTTCTGTAAATTGATCGAGCGCACCCTTACTTGAGGATCCGAGTAACCAAGTCGAAAGCGCCCTCGCCTTCATTGTTTGCTACAGTCTTCCTAGTTGGTTTGTGAGCGTCCTGACCTAACTTGACGCGCGGAAGGAACAGCGTTGGTCTGCTGTTCTGTCGTGGTGCTCGATCGCGTGCTCCTTCTGATTCGCCGAAGTCCAGTATTTCTTAAAGGTTCCGTGCAGTTCTGCCCGGGTCACCACTTGGTTCTGCAGGTTCAGCCGGCAGATCGCAGCCCGAGTTTACAATCTTGAGCGAGCCGATTGGAATTCTTTTGAACCGTTGAGCTCGTCCTGGCCATACTTCCTGGAAAATGGCACAGGGCAGGACCGACTGATTGTTGGCTGCGAGAACACGTAAAACGGCCAACTCCAACGCTGCCCTTCATTCACGAAGTCAGTTGCTTCCGTGCAGTGCCAAAAGCTGGATTGGCCGGAGCACAAAAAGGAGTGCCGTAAGGAGGCGGCGTTGAGCCCACGAGCGGCCTCCACAGAGACCGACTGATGCACGAAGAACACGGTTGGGTCGGGCCGTGCTCGTATGCTTATGGACGTTTGACTTTGCGCGGCACTACGGGTCGAGTTCGTGTATACAGGCCAGTTAGAAATAAGTAGTGCTTAGGCGTAAAGCGGCAGCTTTGTCTTGATAAGAAACACCCTGAGGGGTTGCGGGTGTAACTTACACTACATCGCATCATTTGATGTACAGTTGCTTCGTTATGAGGGACTCTTGAGATTGCTCAAGGATCGTCCTTTCCGGATGGTGGTGAACCGCGTCGCATGTAAGAACAACCCTTTTGCAGAACGCGGCTGTGCAATAAGATGCGCTGCCATCAAGAATTTATGTGCCTTTGCTTTACAATTTGTTCGAGTCAATGCCAAGTTGAGCCTCAGGCGTGTCAAGTCCAGCTCGATTTACTCGGTTAGATCAGAGAATTGAGACGGTCGGGGCCAGCCGCCAAGTAAGGTTGGAGCATAATTGTGGCGACTTCAATCATGACAAGATGCGTCTGCGGCACCGTCCGTAACAGGTGGCAAGTTGTGAGTCCGGTCGCTCTTGAAGTACGTCAGGTTGTAATGATTTTTATGCATGTAGCTCAACATACAATGTACGGTACAAGCTTGAGTGCACGACTCATGGCGAACAATCATATCAGGCCCAAGCTTCGGAATTCAAGTGCACTCAGTGCCAGTGCATGGTCCGAAATCATTGCACATTCAACGACTCAGCTCAAAGCGTGTGCATGCGGACTGAGATCGAACCCTCGCAGATCTATTGAAGTTTGTAAACGTACACATAATCGTATACGCACCGAGTCCAGGCAAGTTGGGTCCAATTGTTCCATTAAGTACCTGCCGACGTAGGTGCCTTTATTTCCGAAGTTCTATAGCTTCTTGAGCTGATTCCTAGCTGTCGACAATTTACTGCACACGTGACTGATGCATCATGGCATGCAAGATAATACACACTGACATCATGGCGCATGGTCTGGCAACAAGTTTAAGGCTGCGCAGCCAATTCGTAAGCTACTAGTTGTCTGTGCATGAAGTACCGTCGTTAGTACAGGCCCGCCGAAGTACATGCATACAAAGTATATAGCTAGGAGATGCGAACAATTAGCGCCTACTTGTTTGCATATCCACCGTCGGATCGGGCGTTCGAGTCAAGCAATGATCCATCACGGTTATTCAGAGCGCTTTTATAACCATCATTTCACAAACTCAGAAGCCTGCCAGACGGGCTGCAGATGGAGTGACTAGGCCACGGCTCTGAGACTCCAACTCGAGACTAGACTTCAAAAGGGACGGCCGCGCTTGTCAAGAAGGCGCGTACTTATCAAAACGTGTGCCTTAAGATCCAAGGTCTTCTGACCTTAAGCCGGATAACTGCGTTCAATCTGGTTCTTCAAGTCCTCTGCAATTCTTCGGCACTTTTGTCTGAGCTCTTCGTCTGCCTTCTCCTGTTTCTCCTTCATTATCCTGATTTGTTCTCTTGCTTCTTCTTGCTCGGGGGCAGATCTTCGACCATCAATTTCCACACCTCATCCGACATACGGGATTCAAGCTCCTCGCGGTTATACGCCCTGAACAACTCCTCCTCAGTCCAGATTGCTCGTTCCCATACCTTCTCCGTTGACGGGGCAGGTTCACTGGGCTCCTGTTTCCTCAATTCCTCCGCAATTTTTCTGCATTTTTGTCTAAGCTCTTCGTCTGCCTTTTCCTCTTTCTCCTTCATTATCCTGATTCGTTCTCTTGCTTCTTCTTGCTGCTGGCCCGGGGGCAGATGTTCGACCATCGCTTCCCACTCCTCGTCCGACATACGGTATTCAAGCTCCTCACGGTTATAGGCCCTGAACAACTCCTCCTCGTCCAGATTGCTCGCTCCCATACCTTCTCTGTTGACTTAGGCTTATCAAGACTATAACGTAAGTCCTTGTCCAAGTCTTTGGCGGAAGGCCCTTCAGCTGAAGACTCGTCGTCCGACTTTGAACTACAGCAGCGCCAGTGGACGCAGCTACGAGTCCACCTTTTTGGAACCGACGTGTTTACAACTGCAGCTCGTCTATTACAGGAATTGTAAGCCAAGGGAGGGCTTTGACTTGGCCAGATAAGTGGCGCCACCCTCATGAGAGCGCTGCTGCTCATGAGGTCCTCCCAAATATTCACTCTTCTCTGTGTGTGACCTGTGGCTCACTGGCTAAAAGAAAACTAGTCCAAGCTGGGAGCTGGACAAACTGTACTTTGAAGCTGGTAATGTGCACTTGCGTACCAACCAAGCACCGCGTTGTTAAAGTCGGCCCTTGCCTGTGCCTCACTGATTTGATCAACTATGTATCTGTGTCAACAACCACGAAAGATGAGAAGAGACGCGGATGCCTCAATCTAGACCTTGCTCCTTCATCCGTGAAGCATGGACTGTTTGTCCAGGTCTGGAAACTTGTGGTGCTCTTCAGAACATGCATCAGCAGATCCCAAGCTTCTGTCAATTCAGTCAGATGAAGGGAATTACATTCAGTCCTCAAACCCAGCTTCCTTTGTAGCCTCGTCGGCTTCAGCAGTCACATTGATTCTGCACCATGCCATAGGCAACTTCCAGATTCAAACGCTACCTTACTTCTAAGTTAGCAACATGAGGCTTCAGTGCAAAGGTTTAACTGACTGTTGCAGAGCTTCCCGCAAGCAGAAGCCCCTGAAAGGCAACAGTTACTTGAACAAAAACTCAGAGCTGATCATTGAACAAACATGAACAGAAGTAATGAACAGTGATCATTTGCAGAACGATGTGTGCTTGAAGTACACTACTAATGCTCTGAAGAAGGCAATGGAAAGCAGCTAAATGAAGCAGATAGAAGTGTGTAGTACGTGTACACACCCTTGTCGAGCAGTTGAATGTCAAAGCAATTCAAGTCAGCATTTAGAGACCGTTCTGTAAAAGCCAACTTCTAGCAAAAAGGAAAATGCTTTTGTAAGCACTGATACTTTATGTTTGCCAGCAGACTTACTCGTATCCAGCACGGCAGCCTCGCTGCAATCCTCCAAGTTGCCAAAGCGCTAGACCAGCAGGCCAGCGCAGAGAGTTGTCTCAGCACTTCTGCATTCGAGGAACCACTCTGCAGGCAGCATTGCGAAGTACTTGAGAAAGCTGAAGATTAAGCAGTAAGTGCAGAAGATTAAGCAGTAAGCCGCCTTTTCACAAAGTCCAGCTCAGACTTTTGAGCTGGCAAACAGCGCTAGTACCACAGTTGAGGCGCTGATCAATAGCAACCTTGGGGACCTTGAGATTGGTCGCCAGAGGTGCCGGGCGAATTGCACCGGTGTTGAAAGTTCGGTGACCCGCTTTGGACCAAAGGAATCTGGGCTGGTTCGACACTGCATAAAAAAGCGGCTGCCGTTTCCTTGAAATGACCTGCTCGTTGGCGACCGCCGTCGTCGCTCTGTAGACTCTCCGACCAGCATCTTTTCGACCAGAACTTCAAGTTCAAGCTATCTAGAGTTTGGTCAAGGCCCAGGACGCTTTCGATCATCGACCCTGTGGGTTTGAGCGGCATGGCCTTGGCAAACCCCACCAAGAACCGGCCTCCCTTATACAAGTTATAGGAAGCTGAAAGGAAAGAGACAAGCTGATTGGCATTGGAGAAAGGGCAATCAGCTAGCTTCGCACCAGTCAGTTGCCGCTAGTTCTCTCCTCCCTCTGCGCAACCAATAAGTCCTATAGCAGCATCACATAGTTTCTCAATTGTCCTCCATGCACGACGTTCTGCATTTTCCTGCATTATGGATTGGAACGGCAAACCACCCGATCATGAGACGGCCGATGTCGAGGCGCCCCCCCCCAAGCGCAAGCACTACGTGCTCGTAGTCCACGGAACGTTTAACGCGCCGAAACAGGGGCCTGGAGGGGAGTTTCTAGACCTGCATCAGAAATGGTGGGCCCCAGGCGGAGCCACGAGAAGCGGGCTCCCATTCTGCGAGAAGTTGAGAGAAGCGCTCGACAAGAATGTTACGCAAGGGCGCGGGGGGATCCCTGGGGATGCAGTCTGGGGGGACATTTCTGATCCAGATATTGAGGAGGTCACTGAGCCCTTCTTTTGGGCGGCGAAGAACTCGGATGCAAGCCGAGAAGAAGGCGCGCAAAAACTGGCGGAGCGGATTATGAAGATCAGAAAAGCGCAGCCGGGGGCGCTTGTGCATTTGATCGCGCACAGCCACGGCGGAAACGTCGTGCTGAGGGCGGTTGAAATTATTCTTGGTGAGATCGGGGAGGAGGGCGTCAAGCAGGTCTTTGTTGGTGTAAAGAAGCCCTCATGTTGGAGGTGGCTCTGCAGTAGCTCCCGCACGGCGGCAGCAAATCGAATGGCGGCGATTTCGGACGGTCCGAAAACGGGCGTTGTTGCCGAGTTTCTGGAAGGGTTTGGGGGTGAACTAGCGGAGCAACTGAGCCCCCTCGACCAGGATGATCTCGTGCGAATGCACTACCCGTCTCTCTCCGACGCAAACCCCTTGGGGCGGTTAGTCTTCCTCGGAACCCCCTTCCTGACCAAACGCGAGACGCCGAACCCGGAATCGACGATTGCAGCGCTTTGGTTTGCTACAATCATGCTGACGAGTTGGGGGATCAGTCTCAGCATTACTGGCTGGAATGACAGCAGAGCGTGGCACATTGTCGGCTATCTCTGTGTGGTCCTCGGGTTCTGCATGGCAATCTTCCTGGACACGTTTCAGGTAAGCTCTGGAACCTGTTATGGCATTCCCGTGCCAACCTTGTCAAGACATTCTTTTGTTGGGTTTCTACGGAGAACGCACATGAAAAGCGCTGAATGGTCATTGTGTTCTGTAAAGAGTTCCGAGTTAGCGCAGCTGCCTGGTGTCTTGATTAGTTTGGCAAGCCGCAAAAGTCCAAGGAGCACGTTGCGGTTCTCTTCTGAGCGGAGAGCTCTGAGAACATTTAGAAACTGCTAGGGTGTGCAATCGGAACGTCTTGTCAAAGGGGCACTTACAAGGTCTGGTGGACAAAGAAGCTCATGTGAAACATTTGGATCAGGAGACTGTTCGCTTCTCGAGGATCAGAGACTGGTTGAAACCAGAAGAAAGGGCGAGAAGAAGCATCTCCGTCGGTGTTGATAGGGCCCTGTCGAATCCACCCGTTTGACAAGCCAGTGCCTCTTTGGACAAAGTCAGAGTCACTAAAAAGGGCTGTAAACTGCTGCTTGGTAACCGTGCTAATATGAGGAAGCGGCGCACTCCTGATATCCCTCAGTCAAGATTGAAAAAGCACCCCTTTATGGAGAATTTTGGATTTTGACCTCCCTCTCTATGCTGCTGTTGAAGTGACCAGTGTGCACAGAGACAACTAGAGGGGCGGTTTGTCCTAAGCTGTTGTTGAAATGACCAATGGCACCGAGACAACTAGAGAGGGGGCAAACCAAAATCAGATGATCTCTCGTTTGCAGGGGAAGATCGACCCACTCAAACCTTACCGGCCCAACGCGCACGTCGCGGGAAACATTTACCATCTGACGAAACAGCCATGGTCTGCCGAGATGGCGGTCCTCGTTGTGCATTCCGGAATTCTGGACGAAGCAAACTTCGCCCTCCGGAGCACGGCACCGCTCGTAAGGGTCGATGCCTTTTCGTTCTACTTTCTGCCCTTTCTTTCCTTTTCCCCAGCTTGTGACAGCTTTTCGTTCTTTCCTTTCCTCGGATTTTGAACCGGACAGAAATGCAAGCGCGGCTGGTTTGATCAGCCTCCCAGACTTGCTGCAAACCCGACCTTTCTTACCCGTTTTGATTTCTTCGAATGGTGCACAGCATCTAAGGACTAGTGATTTTGAAGCAGTGAAGGCTCGAAGTCCAGTTATTCGGTTCGGCCATCAAGTGTTGAAAGCTTCTCGCTATCAAGACCTCTTGTTTCTCCCCTCCTTTTCGCATCAGACACTCTCAGCGGCTGATCTGTGCATCAAGGACGGCTTCGATCCATCTTGACTAAATCCCGCTCCGCATGCGAAAAGCAAACGTTTGAAGACGAACCCTTCGTCGTTACATGTCCTTTAACAAGTCGGAGGAACTTCGATCTTCGAAGCAAGCATGTCTTCATTACAGCTTCTTGTATGTTGGTGAGCTCGATCCAATCGTGGGTGAGATTGGCACAAATTGAAGCTGCACGTAATGGAACAGAAGGACCAGAATCTGAAATTTGAGTTCTTATTTCACAGCGGATACGTCCGTCAGTGCTGCCTCCTGAGTTCTCAGAAGTCTGCCCTTATTGGAAGTGGTTTATTAACGACCAGTCAGAAACCTTGTCGCACAACGACAAGGTTTCGAAGTCGTTGTGCGCAAAGCTTGGGGCTCTCAGACGTCAGTCACGTGGAAGGCAAGTGCGCAAAGCTTGGGGCTCTCCTAATCTTCTCATAGCGTACGCCTTGGTTGTGAGACTCTGGTAAACTACGGTGAGCTATAATCACTCGGGCACGATTCAGGCACTGAACGCTTTCGTGCTGTTTCGCTGCACATGCGGGCCTACATGGTCTGGGGTCGCCTAAGCTTCAACTCGCACCCCTTGAAAAGCCTCCGTTTCAACCAAAATGAGGCGTTAACTTGGAAAAGATGGTCGTAAAGAGCTCGGGTTAAGCGGTAACCTAGCTCTTCGTTTTCTTTTCTCGTGCAAGCCTACATCGGTTTGAAGTCGCTAAGAGCTTCAACCTGCAATTGTGAAAGCTCTCCATCTCGAACATCACGTCGACCAAAATCGATCGCTAATACTGCGGTTAGAAATCTGGTTGAGGTTTAAATCCCTTTTTCGCGTTCTCTCCAGGTGCGGGCATACAGTGTCCCCGAGGTTGCCCAGAGCTTCAACCTGCAGCCCTGGAAGAACCTCCAGTTCGACCACCATCTCGACCGAAAACCAACTCGCCAACGTTCTGGTCAAAACTTAGTCGAGCACTAACCCTCTTTTCCTGGTCGTCTCTAGGTGCGTGCCTACATTGTCCCCGAAAGCGCCCAGAGCTTCAACCTGCAGCCTTGGAAGAGCCTCCGTTCAATCAGGGTTGATAACATAGAAAGCTCGAGTAAAAGGAATAATTCAGCTTTCTCTCCGTCTCTCAGGTGCGTGCGTACATTGTGCCCGAAGTCGCCCAAAGCTTCAACTTGCAACCTTGGAAGACCCTCCCGGCCGACATCCGCCGGGCGACCACGCTTCGCCACTTGCCGGTCCCGACCAACTGCTGCCTGCCCTACAAGCGAAAAGCGCCCATCTTCAATTTTGAAATCATGGTCTTGACGATCCTGATCGCGATCCTCTCGTTTTTCCTGCGCCTCGTGCTGCTTCCCGTGGTTTACTTGGCGAAGCGGTTTCTGATAAGCGGCCTCCAAAAAGTTTTGGTACACGTGGTGTTGGGCACGGGGAGCGCCGAGAAGGGCGTGTCTAGTGCTCGGGTGACCGTTTCCGAGACGCTAAGACTGGAGCAGCTAGTGGAGAACGGGCCCGGGGGGTCTGTTCCTGAGGGAAATCGACCCCCCGAGAGAAAATCTCCGGTCGTGCACTGGAACGTGCACAACTTGATTCTGAACCACGACACGGCGTTCGGGACCCGCAGCCAGAAAGCGCCCCGGTTCGATTTTCTAATAGAGCCTCAGAGGCTCACGCCAGCCGGTTCGGTTGGAGAAGCGGGGATTAGGGAGGCGGGGCGCGACTCGGATAATTCTGTCGTCGGGACTCTGCTGAAAGCGGGGTGTTTTGACGGGTTGGAAGAGTCCGAAACGCAAGAGCTTATGCTCATTGCCCAGATGCTGGAGGAGAGGCAGAAGGAGATTACCGGCCAAGTGGAGGTGCGCCATAGCTTATACTACTCCAAATTGGAGATAGTGGAGGCGATGGCCGAATTCTTGCAGGCAGGGGCGGGGGATAGTCTGCACGCGATGCTCGCGGGCTTCGACCAAAGCTTGAAAAAGGCGGGCAAGCATTGACCGCTACGGTGTAACTTTGCATAGACCGCCGTTTTTGATAGAGGAAGTCAGGAATTGTTCATAAGCTGAGCTTATCTGCTTGTGCCACACTCGATGGGATTGAGTAGGCAAAGGTCGCGCATGGTTGACTGCGAAGCAGCCGCCGACGTAATATAGTAGTAATAAACGTCTTCCATTGTTATTCAAGCTTTGCTTAAGATTCATGAAAGCAGATTGTGTTAAGAACCGTTTGTACCATTGACAGCGCGTATATACGGAGTGTTACCTGATCATTTTCAAACTCGCTTGTTCCGGAGGGAGGTGCCAGTCGAGCGAATTCCATTGGCGTTTTGACCGGCTTGCAGTCACTCACTCAAAGCAGCATGTGGCAAAACCGTGGCAAAACCGTCGTGACGGGTCTGCACTAAGCTTGGAACTTGAATGATGTTATGCAAACGCCAATATTAAGTTCCAGCCCAGTCCGCGCGCTTAAGTTCATGCTGAGTATGTACACGTTATCAAGTACTGAATAGGCGCGCATGGCCGCCTTGCATGCATGGGCCGCGCGGCACGCCAACGGATGCATGCATCATCCACTCAGACTGTATAGGCGCTATATATAGCGCATGCATGTTTCAAGGTTGGCGCGCAGTCATTTGCATTGCAAGTAGCTATAGTCACGAATGCATGTGCTTCCGACGAGTCGATCACCCGGTGGCAGCCTGCAATTTGATGATCTTCAAAGCCGACGGTGACTCCTGTGTCGGCCGCGTTGGACAGATTGTATACTATGATAGCGGGCCATAGGCGGCCACTCATGCAATGACCGTCTAGGATCATGGGAATCACCGGGGGCATGGTAGTACTGATAGCATGATGATGATACCAACAGTTTGCAACAGAAAACACCAGCACGTGGCGCTTGCAACTGACGGACGTCCGATGGGCACTGCATCGTGCAAACTCGAGAACTCGGAGTACTAATACTACTACCGTGGCAGCAACAACCTCACTGCATTCCTCCGGGATTCCTCCACGTTAATGTCAAAGAGTTCAAAGCCCCAGATCCAAACAGGCCAACGCATAAAGTGCTCCCTTGTGCATTCAAGGGGTTTCCTCTGATAACACTGCAGATCACTGAGGGGTCACTGAGAAAGCTGAATGAGCTGCAGAAAAGCAAGACTACAGTGGCGCCCCAGTGGCGAGAGACGGCTGGCACCTTCCTAGCTATTAGGCTTCAAGCTGGCACCGAGCTGGCACCAGCATCAAAGCACCATCATGTGATCGACTCATTGGCATTGGCATGGGCCGGGCATGGGCCTGGCCATGGCCCATATGGCCATGCAATGCAGGCGCCGAGGGACCTGGAGATTGGACGACTTGGTCGCCAGAACTGCCGGACGAGCCGTACCGGTTCAATCTCCGGGCACCCGGAAGGAAGCTCTGACTGGTTTGTTTAGATTAAACAACTGGCTGCCGATCCTTCGATGGACCTGCTCCCTGGCGACTGCCGTCATTCAATCAGGATCTCGCGTTGAGCACTCAAGACTACATCGTATAGTACATGTACTACCTAGTAGTCTTAGATCGGGTTGACAAGAGAGTCTGCCTGTCGAGGCCCAGGGCGTTTTGCATGAACTTACATATTCACTTTTTTGCGCTGCATGCATGGGCTTTGAGCAGTCCAGCTGAAAGGAAGCTGAAGGGAAAGAGAAAAGCTAGATGGCATTGGAGAAAGTGCGATCAGCTCGGTTCGCACCAGTCAGTTCTCGTAGCTTTCCGCACTCTCTGCGCAGCAAGATAATCTCATAGCTGCCTCACATCTGTCCTTCACATGACGTTCTAAAGGGTTTCTCTGCATTTTCCCTTGCATTATGGACTGGACCGGCAAGCCACCCAACCATGAGACACCCGATGTCGAAGCGCCCCCCCCAAAGCGCAAGCACTACGTGCTCGTCATCCACGGAACGTTCAATGCGCCAAAACAGGGGCCTGGAGGGGAGTTTCTTGACCTCCATCAGAAATGGTGGGCGCCCGGAGGAGCTACGAGAAGCGGGCTCCCATTCTGCGAGAAGCTGACAGAAGCGCTGGAGAGGAGTGTTTTGCAAGGGCGGGGAGGGATCCCTGGGGACGCGGTCTGGGGGGACATCTCCGATCCCGAGATTGAGGGAATTACAGAGCCCTTCTTTTGGGAGGCGAAAAACTCGGATGCGAGCCGAGAGGAAGGCGCGCAGAAGCTGGCGGAAAGGATTATGAAAATCAGAAAAGCGCAGCCAGGGGCGCTCGTGCATCTGATCGCGCACAGCCACGGGGGAAACGTCGTGCTGCGTGCGGTTGAGATTGTTCTCGGCGAGATCGGGGAGGAGGGCGTTGAGCATATCTTCGGTGGTGTGCAAAAGCCCTCCTGTTGGAAGCGGCTATGCCGCAGCTCTCGCACGGCGGCGGCAAACCGCATGGCGGCGATATCGGACGGTCCGAAAACGGGCGTTGTTGCCGAGTTTGTGGAACGGTTTGGGGGTGAACTGGCGGAGCAACCGAGCCCCCTCGACCAGGACGATCTTGTGCGAATGCACTACCCGTCTCTCTCCGATGCAAACCCCCTGGGGCGGTTGGTCTTCCTTGGAACCCCCTTCCTGACCAAACGCGAGACGCCGAACCCGGAAGCTACAATCGCGGCGCTCTGGTTTGCCGCGACCATTTTGACGAGTTGGGGGATCAGTCTCAGCATTAATGGCTGGAACGGGAGCAGAGCGTGGCACATTGTCGGCAACGTCTGTGTTGTCCTCGGGTTCTGCATGGCCATCTATCTGGACATGTTCCGGGTAAGCTTCCGAACTTGCACCGTGTGTCAACTTAGCATTGTTAATACATTGTTGTGCTGGAGGATTTGTTGTCAAATTACACGGAGAATGAGAGTTGAGTGCAGAAAGGGGACAATGTTCCAGAAGCTCTTCAGACAGCGCAGCTACCTGGGATGTCTTTTTCTGGTTTTAGGAGCTGCGGGAGTCCAGAAAGCACGATGCAGACTTGTTCTGAGCGGAAAGCTCTGAGAAGTGTCAGAGACCGCTTCTGATCCGAGCGGTTGGAATATTTTGTCAAAGGGGCACTTCTAAGGTCTGGTAAGCCAATTATCTGCAAAATAACCCATAGCAGAAGGATCCTTTTGATATGAAACATGAGAGGAAACGAGACGAAGCGCGTCTCTGAAGTGCTGGCAGGCCCTTGAGAATGAAATCTTGCCCAATCTTGCCCGGTTTGCCAAGCCAGTGCTTTTTAAGCATTGCCAGAGTCACAAAGAGGGAGGAAATTCTACTGCTTGGTAGCTGCGCTTATCAAAGTTGGACCTGTATTGTCCTTGTTTACCGGTCCAGATTGGAAAGGAACTCTTTGTGCATGAGAATCCTTCTCTATATGCTGATGCTATAACGACCAATGCCACGCACACTACTAAAGAATGCAAACATCAGAATGAAAAGCTTCATCTTCTGCACGGGAAGATTGACCCACTCACATTTCACCGGCCCACCGCGCGCACCCCAGAAAGTATCTATCATATGACAACTAGAAAAGGAGAAGAATCGGAACGAAGTAGCTTCTCCTTTTGCAGGGGAAGATTGACCCACTCAAACCTCACCGGCCCACACGCCAAGAAACATACCATCTGACAACTAGAGGTGGAAACATCAGGACTAAGAAGATTCTTCTTTGCAGGGGAAGACCTTTCCGCTCAAACCTCAACGGCCCAACAGGCACGTTGCGGGAAACATTCATCATCTGGCAACTAGAGGCGGGAACATCAAAACTGAGAAGGTATTTTTTCACAGGGAAAGATTGACCCGCTCAAACCTCATCGGCCCAGTGCACACTGGCCGGAACATTTACCATCTGACTACGAGAGACGGAAAACATCAAAATGAAAAAGATTCCCACAGTGCTCAGAAACAATCACCATCTGGCAGCTAGAGAAGGCAAAGAACAAAAAGAGACTCTTCTCTCTTTCGCAGGGGAAGATTGACCCGCTCAAACCGCACCGCCCTGATGCGCATGTTGCCGGAAACATCTACCATTTGACGAAGCAGCCGTGGTCTGCCGAAATGGCGGTCCTCGTTGTCCACTCCGGGATTTTGGACGAAGCAAACTTTGCCCTCCGGAGCACGGCACCGCTAGTAAGGTTTGATGCCTTTTCGTTCTTGTTTCTTTTGGTGCTTTCCTTTCCCCAAACTGGGAAATATTCTCGTTCTTTCCTTTTCCGGATTGGGAAACGGAAATGTTATGCAAGCGCGGCTGGTTTGAGAAGGTTGCCAGACTTGCTGCAAACTCAACTTTTCCTATCGGTGTTAAATCTCAATAATGGTTCACAGTATCCATGTGGTATGGACTACCGATTCTTGAAGCAGTGAGGCTCCAAGTCCTGCCAATTGGTTCGGCCATCCAAGTTTCTTTAGGGCTTCTTGCTACCAAGACCTCTTTTCTTTTTCCTTCTTTCTGCATCGGGCTCTCCTAGCGGCTGACCTGTTTATCGAGACGGCTGTCATCTTGACTGCACACATGTCACACATTTGAACAGAAAAGCAGACGTGGAAACGAGCCCTTCCCTTCTCACAAGGCCTTTTGAAAAGGACGGGGGAACCTCGAAGCATGTTCTTTTACCAACAGCTTCTTATATGTTGGTGAGCTCGATCAATTGTGGGTTAGGTCGACACAGCTTGAAGCCGCACGTGATTGACGCGAAAGATCAGAACCTGTATCCTACTTTCATTTTGAGAGCGGATTCCTTCATCAATTCAGCCTCCTGAGTTCTGAGAATATCTGCTCTCATGAAGAGTAGTTTATCAACGACCGCACAAAGACAAAGACATACGGTTTCAGAAGCAAGTCCTATTCAAGGCAGCGAGCAAAGCAAGGGGCTCTCCTCTTCGCCTCTCGGTGTTCTTCATGGGATTCTGGTACTTCACAACGAGCAATAGCCACTTGGGCCTGGTCTATGTTAACCACTGAACGCCTTCGTACTCTTTCGCTTCATACGCGGGCCTACATGGTTTGGGGTCGCCTAAGCTCCAACTCGTACCCCTTGAAAAGCTTCCGTTTCATCAGGATGAAGCGTCAACTTGGAAAACATTGTCGTAAAGAGCTCCGGTTAAGCCTAACCTAGATTTTTTCTCTCTTGCAACGTGCGTGCCCGGAGATTCAACTTGCAACTCTAGAAGCTATCCATCTCGACGACCGAAATAATTGATAACTCGCTAACATTGCGTTTTGGAACCTGGTCGAGTATTGACCACTCTAGCGCGTTCTCTCCAAGTGCGTGCATACATCATTCCGAGGTCGCCCAGAGCTTCAAATTTCAACCCTGGAATAGTCTCCATCTCAATCGGAGTGCACCGGTAACTCGCTGGTATTTTGGTAAACAATACGGTTAAGCACTAACCACGTTTTTGTTTGTTTGTTAGGTTCGTGCGTACATCGTTCCCGAGGTCGCCCAGAGCTTCAATCTGCAGCCCTGGAAGAGCCTCCCGGCCGACATCCGCCGGGCGACCAGGCTCCGCGACGTGCCGGTCCCGACGAACTGCTGCCTCCCTCACAAGCGCAAAGCGCAAAGCGCAAAGCACAAAGCGCTCATCTTCAATCTTGAGATCATGGTCTTGACGATCTGGATCGCGATCGTCTCATTCCTCCTGCGCCTCGTGCTGCTACCCGTGGTCTACGTGGCGAAGCGGTTTTTAATAAGCGGCCTCCAAAAGGTTTTGGTACACGTGGTGTTGGGCACCGGAAGCGCCGAGAAGGGCGTGTCCTCTGCCCAGGTGACCGTCTCCGAGACGTTGAAACTGGAGCAGCTGGTGGAGAAAGTGCCCGGGGGGTCTGTCCTGGAGGGGAACCGACCCCCCGAGGGGAAAACCCCGGTCGTGCACTGGAACGTGCACAACTTGATTCTGAACAACGACACGGCGTTCGGGACTCCGAGCCAAAAAGAGCCCCGCTTCGATTTCTTGCTGGAGCCTCAGCGGTTGGCGCCGGCTGGTTCGCTTGGAGAAGCTGGTACTGGGCAACCGGGGCTCAACTCGGATAACTCGGTGACTGGAACGCTACTAAAAGCGGGGTGTTTTGACGGGTTGGAGGAGTCGGAGATGCAAGAGCTTTTGCTCATTGCGCAGATGCTGGAGGAGAGGCAAAAGGAGATCACCGGCCAAGTAGAGGTGCGCCATAGCTTATACTACTCCAAATTGGAGATACTGGAGGCCATGGCCGAGTTTTTGCAGGCGGGGGCGGGTAATAACCTGCACGCGATGCTCACGGGCTTTGACAAGAGTTCACAAAATGCGGGCAAGCATTGACCGTTGTGTAACTATGCATAGACTGCCGTTTTTGATAGGTTAAGTTACAAATTGTATGTAAGCTGAGCGTATCTGCTTGTGCCACATGCACTCGATGGGATATTAAAACAAAGGCCATGCATGGTTGACTGCGAAGCAGCCACCGATGTAATATACTAACAGTAATCACCATTGCTGAGCTTTGCTTGAAAACCATAAAGGCCAAATGTGTTAAGGTAGACCAATTGTACTCGTTGACAGTTGAGCCTCCGAGTATGACAAAAATTTGCTTACTAGCTCGCGTTTTACCTCCGCTCAACTTCAAGTTGTTTTCGCTTGTTCCGAAGTTCCTGTCCGGGCGAGGTGTGAATAGTTGCGGCCGGGCTCTGATTGGCGTCTTGCCCGGCCTGCGTTGGCGTATCATTCCGACGTACGTGACGACTTCGTCAGCACGCCATGCGAAAGGCAAATACTTGGCAATCGGCCGCGCTTTTGAAGTAAGTACCATGAATATTGACTCCACCTGTGGCATGCCGCGCATTTAAACTGCATGCCGTGTTCGCATTGAATGAGGCGCAGTCACTTGAAGCCATATATAGGCTATAATTTAATAAGCGAACTTGACTTAACGTACCCGGCTCAGCTAGCTACTTGGCCTGCATGATGTTATACCGCCCGGGCAGACGGATTGATATAGCAGGTAGCTAGGCCGGGCGGCCACTGCATGAGCTAGTTGGTGGCATGGTTATACAATCATGCAGCATCGAACGTGTACAGAGCGACGTTCACGTACAAAATGTAACATTTAACATGTCACCGGCGCTTGCACAACCGAACGGCAGGACAGTTTGTGGACCGTACAAACTGAAATATCTCAAACGTGCACATGGGCTTGCATGAGCGCGAGATCAAATGCAGTCGAAGTTGTCCGGTCCAACAGAGTCTGCTCTTCCATGGTTCTCGATTGCGTGAACTCATTTGATTTCAAAATCATTCATCTTTGAACTGGCAGTCATTGAGTCAGTCATTGAGTCAGGGACCCAACGTAATCACCCAATCGGATTGGACACTTGAGACGAGTCTGCCATCACCCATGCCGCCCAATGCGGAAAGAATACTGCAAATGGAAGTCGGTCGAAAGTAAAGGACACGCTGATGCGGGCCGAATTGTGTATCAAGTAGGGTCCGCAGATCGGTCTTTGCGGAAGCTAACGCCTCCGGCTGCTGACGCGTTAGCAGCCCGGTTGCTCCCGAAGTCGCGCCGATTCGAAGCCCTGGCGATGCGGCTCCCGAACTGTATAAGAGCCGTTCATATGAGTTCAAGCTGAAGCTCATTCGAGTTCAATTCTTCATGATCTTCCATGTGAAATCGCGAATGACAAGATCCGCACGTGAAGCAGCCTGCACATATATACTACGCGAACAAATACGCCCCTCGCATTGAGGCCATGAACAACAGGGCGGTATATCTGCGGAAGCCAACCGACTCATCGCTTCTTTGTTATGACCTTCGAGGCCCGTTGCGAGCCTTCCCAGGCCACCTCACCCATGCAAACCCGACTCTCTCACCCCACTTCTCTCCCCACTTCTCTCCAAGCAAAACGTAGCACGTTCGTCCATTTTACTTACGATGCCCACCGGTGGAGCACCACGGGGGACAAGCAACAGCCCATCGGCCTTCGCTTGATTGCCTACTTAGTCACTTCGCTGCTATCTGCTTCTAAAGTTCTTCAAACCGATACGTGCAAGACAACTTTTACATTTTGGGCAGTGTGAATCTTCAGCCGGCGGGGTACCGCCTGACCGTCTTCCCGTCGATGAAAATGGAACAAGACTCCGTAAGCGGGTGTGCGAACTGGCGCGTCTGAAGGGCCTACCTGTACTGTCCGCTTGCGAAGCGCCGCGGCAACTCGGATACCCAGCCGTCGGAGACAGCTTTCTGCTACCAAAAGCCTCACCGAACGGTAATCAGATACCTTCACGTTCGTGCAATCTGGTCTTCTACGAGGTTACCTGTATCGCCCATTCGATGAAAAGCCTTGCAGCGGCCCTGATACCGAACCGGCGCGGCACCGCTCGAATGAGCTTTTACGGTATCTACGTCAAGATTCCGCAAAACAGAATCTTCGAAGGACTTCTTCAGTCTGCGTTGACGTAAGTCGCGCCCTTTCGAAAGTCATACCTGTATTGCCCGTTTGGGAAGCGCGGCGGCAGCCCTGATGCCCAAACGTCGGGCGACTGCTCGAAGCAGCTTCTTGTCGCCTACCCCGGACGGCAGGCGAGGGTCCGCTACGGTCCAAAGGGGGAGCGAAAGGAGGAGCGACATCACGTCCTCGTCGAGGAACGGAAAGCGGGCCTGCAGCGAAAATGGAAAGCAAATCTGTAATGGAGACGGAAAGGGGTCTGCGACGAAAATGAAAAAATGGACCAGCAACGGACGAGCTGGCGAAGGTCCGCTACGATCCAAAGGGGAAGCAAGAGGAGGGGTGACATCACGCCCTCGTCGAGGAACGGAAAGCAGGGCTGCAACGGAAGCGGGGTGGGGGTCTGTGATCGAGCGGAAAGCGGGCCTGCAGCGGAAGATTGCCTAAGGTCCGCTACGATCCAGGGGGATAGCGAGAGAAGGAGCGACATCACGTCCTCGTCGAGAAACGGAAAGCGGGCCTGCAACGAAAACGGAACATGAGTATGCAACAGAACTGGAAACCAGGCCTGCGATGAACGGCTGGCGAAGTCCCGCCACGATCCAAAGGGTGTAAGGAGCAAGAGGAGGAGCGACATCACGTCCTCGTCGAGGAACGGGAAGCGGGCCTGCAATGGAAACGGAATGGGGGTCTGCAACGGACCGGAAAGCGGGCCTGGAACGGAAAAGAAAAGCAGGCCTACAATGGAAGGCTGCTGAAGGTACGGGACGATTCAGAGAGGCAGCGGAGGGAGGGGAAGGGGGCCTGAAACGAAGCGGAAAGCGGGCCTGCAACGGAACAGAAAGCGGGCCTAGAACGGAAACAAAAAGCGGGCCTGCAACGGACGGTTGTCGAAGATCCACTACAAATTTAAAGGGGAGGAAGATGAGGAGTGACATTACGTTCTTGTCGAGGAACGAAAAGCGGGTCTGCAACGGAACCGGAAAGCGGGTTGGCAAAGGCGTCGGCAACTATGACAATTGTTCGGAGTTGAGTTTATTCGTATGTGGTTCTGACCGGTCTTACATTGGAAGCTATGAACGTCTATGCGGATCTCTAAACCGAGGAGAAGTGACGCAGATTTGAGGAGAGTTTATTGCGCCTGCGAACAGACTGTATCAATGATTCAGATCTGAGAATGCTAAGGTGTGGTCGGGCAATTGGTCGAGGGAAACGCACGAGATCGACAAGTGAAAGGTGAAGACAAGGGGCGAGAAAGAGAGGAGCCCCACGAAAGATGAGAAGAAAATGTGTCAAAACGACATTGTCCTCTCACGCAAGACGTCTTGATTCATTGCGCTTGCAGCGACAGCATCGTGGCTGCTTGCGACGGTTTTTCTGATTCCCGCTTCACTTTTCGGTCTCACACTTCCAGACCATCGGAATGAAAAGCAGTCCATGAAGGCGCTGAGGAAGAAAGCGCCATCTTTGTCTGCCTCAAAAAAGAAAGCCGGGCTTCTCAACAATGAGCACTTCTCTTTCCAGACTGTTTATTGTCTTCATCGTGTTCTTTCCATTCGAAAATATTCGTTGTTCGCATAACATGAACCATCTAGTCAACAACTGGAACGAACTCCTCAACAGAAACCCGTGTCTTCAGCCATAGCGTCCCCAACCGAAACCCTGACTTTGAACGCGAAACTCAAAAAGGGTTTAGTACCTCCTTCCCGTGGTCAGCTATGCACCGGTCGTCCCGCCCGAGGTTACGCTGCCACAGCCGCAGGACGTCTAAGCGCATCTCGGCATCCAAACGCTGCCACCTGTCAAGCATAACTCGGGTTATTCAGGACTTGGACTTGGTACTTTTACGCGATTGATCATGAAGCGCCTTAGTCCCCTTAAGGCGAGAAAAGTTGGGAAGATAACCAACCGAGATTCTGAGGATCATTCCAAAGCGAACGCACTTGAGAACGGGACAAACCGCTGTTAGATGCGAATAGAAAGATCAATAGAGAGGCAAGCGAAGCCGGACCCTTGAGCCGATTCTAGGGTTCGGACGGTTTAGAGACCGCAAAGCAACCAAAAGGATGCAGCAGCAAAAACGAACAGGATGCTTTCATAATGACCAAAGAAGGACCCTTCAAGGCTTCCGCCCCGCGAAGCTCTCGGAAAAGCTCGTCTTCCAAGGGGAACCACAAAGCTGATGAGACGGAAGCAGGGAGAAAGAGGAAAACGCAACTGGCGTGGGCTGAAGAAAGTCAAACAAGCTCCAAGCTTGAACAGGATTCGAAATGTTTGACGACGTACGTTTTTAGCTTCCGGCAATCTTCCAAAACTAATCAACGTCTCCAAACTTGGTTTCTGCACGTTCAAACGAGATCTGCTCTCACTCTCGCTCCAAAACAAGGTCCTTCGTCCTGGAAGCGTTTCAGATGTCCTTACCCTCCTTCCCGAAACTTGGTGCGATGCCGGCCGTACCCGGCACACTGCTCGTCGGCCCCACTGCCCACCAGCAACACGCGCGCGGAACTCGTGTACGGATTTTCAGCCGTCCGATGAGGATCGTCCGACCGTCCGATGTCACAGCCGTCCTCACCACCCGACCGTCGCCCATGCGACCTCCTCAACTGCCCAGCTTCGATATGCCGCCAATCATCCGCTCGTCGGTCACCACTGTCTTCCGCCCCGTCAGATTGGCTCTCTGCTTTTCTGCTTTGACCTTCCGCTGCTCTTAATACGGTGCACTCTGGACCAATTCGAGTCTCTTCTCTGGATTCTAACCTGTTTGACGGTTCCGCACCTTGCAGGTTACTGCTCCGACCGTCCGAAGTCCTGGGTTGAGCGCGCTCCGCACAGTCCAATTGCTCGTCCAAACTGTTCGATGATTGCAAACGTTTACAATCAGACTCTGAAGCGGCTTCTACCGCGACGAAGCCGCGGCCGCGTGCGGCGAGCCAGAGCGCGGCGCCGATATTGAGGTCCATGTAGGTTTGGGAGGGGCAGATTAGCGAAAGAAGACGTGGGCGGTGCAAGTCGACTTCTGCTAGGGACGAGTCGACGCGGATCAGCCGCCACCTGTCACGATGAATTGGAGTCAGATCTCACCAAACTTGCAGAAGAGACTTTGATTGAAGATTGGGAAGGCAGTGAGGGAAACAGTTACGTGTAGGTGTGGAGGGGCCGATTAGGACCAGAAGACGTGGACGGTCCGACTTCTGCGAGGGACGAGATCACCTCAATCCGCTACTTGTCACAGGAGATCCACAATAACGTTTACAAAATCGCAGGGAGAAGGCTTTGGAACACTTGAAGGCACTGACGCAAAAGCGAGCCAGTAGAAGGCCCGTGTAAAATTAGGAGGGGTGGTTCAGGGTGAGAAGGCGGGGACTTTGCGATTCAATTTTTCAAGATAGACGAGTCGACTGTCAAAGGTGTTCCAAGTTGTAGGTTCACTCATGTCGCACATAGATGAATATTGAATCTCTGCACGGAGAGGAGAATCTAACCTGGAATACTGAGAAAGTAGGACTGGAACGGGGCAAATGACGTTCGCGAGGTGCGAGCGGTGCAGATGGTTTACGGAATAGCAAAACGAGAAGGATAGAGTTACGCAAGGGTGAGAAGGCCAACGAAGCGAGAAACAAACTGGAAACGGGTCAACGGGCTCTCAAAAGTCGCACATTTCGGAGCGAGAGCACGATTCGAATTTCCTTCGGGGACTTTTTCGCACATTCTTTTTGCTTCTGTTTTAAGGAATCCAAAACCTTCTCGTTCAGAACCTCAGTTATAGTTCCTTTCCCTCACCAAGACTTGCTCGTCCCTCACCTTCGACCAGGAAAGAGCGTCTTCAATTCCTTTAAGCCCGCAATCGCCGACAGCCGGTCCGGCGACGTCCCCCCATCGAAACACACGTTGATCAGGTCGATGGTCGCCCCTTCGGTGACGTGTCTACCGACCAGCGCCGCCAGAATCATGGAGTCTAGCCCGCCCGAAAAGAGAACTGCCATGTCAGCAGGGCGCCCTGGTCGGCCCGAGCTGACGTCAGCAGTCTCGAACGAAGATGCGGACTGCGTAGCAGAAGTGCTGCCGATGGGTCCGTTGCTTGGCGGGCTGCCAGATGCATTGTTTCCTTGGACGTTGCATAACCCGTTGGTCAACCGATCTAACCCGTTGCTTGACTTATTGCTAAAACCGTTGTCTGACCAGTTCCTTAACTCGCCGCTGCTTCTGTCTCTTCCGTAGCAACCAGACTCGTCTCGTTTCCGGATACCGGTGACTCGCTTTGCGACCGCCTGGCTGAGCGCCTCCAATAGCCGTTCCACCGCATCTTCGAACTCATCGTGCTTCGGTTTAACCCCACGCTGTTTGCAAGTGTCTGCCGCCCCTCTCCACTGGCGTGCTTCTGCCCCTCCCCCTTGCTGCCCATCTTTTGGCAACCCCTCTCCCACGCCCCCTCCCCATCTCTCAGCCCCTCTTTCTACCACCTCCCCTTCCGGGCCCCTTTCTGCCACTGTCCGGAACCCCCCTCCGACAGCAATTTCTACTACATTGCCTCGATCTGATCTTTCAACCTCCGAACTCCCCTCAGCGGAGTCCCCATTTGCCATTGCTTCTTCTGATCGCACCCTTTCCTCACCGTCCGTGTGCTGCTCCCTTCCGCTTCCGTTTGCGAGCTCCGCCCGTCCAGCCCCTTCTGCGGCTTCCGACTTTCTCCCGGCGCCACCGCAAATTTCATAACTGACGTCAGCACACCCGCTGACGTCATCCGGCGGCTCAACCCGGTCCCTCCGCCACCGGGACAGCCGCGCCACTTGGGGGTCCGACCAGGCGTGCCTGGCGTGGGCCCCGTTTTCGGGCCGGTAGCTGTGAACGCCAGCCGGAACGTCCACCCAGAAGTCGAACAGGGCCTCCTCTTCCGGGCCGCCCCTCCCGGCACCGGACGCGTCTCTCCCGCTTTCCCTTCCGTTTCCATTCCGTTCCTTTCCCAGATCATCGGCGACTGAAAACCGTCCGGCTTCCAAATCTACGTTTGCCTGCCGCTGGAGTTTCTCGTCACTTCCGTCGGTCGTCGCAGTCGGACACTTGGAGCTGGGATCAATCGCGCCTGCCTGCACTGCGCTTAAACGGCTTGTTCCTTCCTCGTTTATGAAGGACTCTCCCCCGCTGACTTCTTCCTTCAGTTTCAAGTCGCTTAACCCCTCATCAAACTCGTTCACAAGCTCTTGACCGTTCTCTACAACAGACTCCACCGAACGTCTCTTCGTAACCGCAACAGATGACACGATGAACCGCCCGTCTAGTTCGTCCGGTAGATGCGCGACCAGGCTGCGCCGTCCGACGAAGTCCCGCCCGTACCAAAGCGTTCGAATTGCCGCCTGCCAGTACGCCAACGCCCAGGGGCCTCTCAGTTCGGACAGAATGCGGACAACGGGCGGTCGATGACATTGGGAGCACTTCGCCCCTGGTTCCGAACCCGAGTATTCGCCATTGCTGGGGTCATTGAGAGGGGGGCTGGCATCAAGGGAAGGGGTGGTGACGTCACTGAGCGGGTTCGTGACGTCAGTAGGGGGGCAAGCACAGGCAACCCGCAGCGCCTCGAGCAGCTTCTGTCCGTCGTTCTCGTTCGGGGCCACGTGAAGACCGCCAAAGATCTCGCCTGCGAAGGTTTTGGAGGTATTGTAAACTGGTCGGTCCCATCTGAACCGTGAACGTAACAGATGATGAATCGAAAGTCAACGCATATCCACTTCATAGAAGGATTTTTAAACCACAGGACCCCTTTGTATGATGTCAGACGCTGCATTAGCCTCTGACGAACCGCGCTGTTATACTTTGGCCCAGCCGCTAGATTGCTTGCAATTAACGGTTCCCGGGTACCAAAACATTCGTACTGAAAAAGAAGCATTCCTTTCCCCTCGAGGGAAAGCTGTCATGCGAGTCTGTAAAGACATGAGGATTTTTCGGGAACGTTCTTCATATCACAGGGAAGGGCTACTTTCTATTCCTTGTGTGATGCAGTTGGGAATGCTTGACACATTTCGGATCTGCTCTTTCATTCAATCAGCCAACGCCGCACTGGGATAACATTGCACTCAGCTGGATCACTTTTTTTGATCCCTCACCGTTGAACACAAGCACGTTCCCACACCCGTCCTCCAGGGGTTGGCTCACAACTTCCGCCCCCCGCAGCTGCAACTCCGCCCCTATGAAATGGAGTGTTGAGTCGCTGGGCTTGGTCGTACCACCGGGTGTGGAGGTGCTGACGTCAGCGAGAGGGATGCTGAGGTGGCACACTCCATCTGGGCCCCTCCTCTGAAGCTCCTGTGCCAGATCCTCGATTGAGGGGCCAATATTACAGGCGGCCTGCAGAGGCAAGCCTGCCAGGTTTAGGCTGCTCACAGTTGAATAGAATGCGCAGCAATATAGACAGTCGAAAGTGGGAAAAGAGTCTAAGTTTAGGTTTAATCATTGGAAGCCAGCACCGCTTTGGCTGAGTTTCATTGGTCCACCGCTAAAAGCAAGCATGCAAGTCCCCAGGTGAAAGGACTGGCCCTGCTTTTCCTGACAGGGCTCTGGCCTATTAGATTAAACAGAATCCGTTAGAAGTAACTCGAAGAAGGGGGACCACAGTGGATGTGAACTTTATAGCAGTTTGGCTACTGTCGTGGACAGCTAGGATGAGCAGAAAGCTGGATATGTCCCACAGCTTGTGACTCTAGGTTTTGACTCGTGACCACCAGTTTGAAGAACTCATGGCTTCAGCTATCTTTCTTTCTCATCCAGAGAGATTTCTAAGGACGAATGTTCAGTCCACAACACATGATCTTTCTGGTTTTCATCGATGGAAGCTTCTGCAAACTGTAATATTACGCAAACTATGTAATTGTGAAAAAGAGTACACTAAGCTTCATTTGCCATACAGCACGCCTTAGAAGCATTACGACACCTCAACAAATTAGAATTCACGTCAACAGATCGAGGGCCTATCAGAAGTCACCACGAGAACACAAACTCACCTCCCTTGTCTCACCATCGCTTCTTTGCGCCCCTTCAAGGCCAATTGACGCTCTTGACTCCTCTTCGCTTACATCATCAGTGTCTTCGCCAAGTCGCCCATGGTCACATTCCTCCTGATAGCTCAAAAAGGCAGCACCGCAGGCCGAGCACCGGACGTGCGCATATTTCAGAACAAATGCAATGCCACACATTTCCAGAGATCCCCTGCAGTGAATGAAGCTTCTTTTCGTAGCTGTGGTCAAGTACTGGCCGCCTCCACGCAAGGCAGAGCTCAGAACATCTTGTGGACTTCTAAAGCGGCTTGGCTAGGATGCTCATGAGCACACTGAGCAGGTAAGTTATGTTTGGCAGAACCATTTGTATGCTATTTTTCACAAACTGGGGCGATCGATGGTGGTGCACCATGAATGTTTAGCGCTAAGCTAGGATAGAGAACCTTGACAACCTTTTCGTATGCAAGACTTTCTTTCAGATGAGTTGAAGAGAGAAAGCTTCTTGGGCAAAACGTCCATACAAGCAGCTGAAAGACCCAGGGCCAAGGCTAGTGGATTCTCAGATCCTCTCCGCATTCATTGGAGCCAGAAAATGGAAATCTCTGCTGAAATCTGGCAAGCACTGTTCAAAGCAGAATCACAGGATCTTCCACAAGATAATTTTCATCTTTTGGCGACCATGCAAAACTTAGTGTCACGAGAGCGTACGTCGGTCACCGTTTCCCGGGCAAACAACTTTCCGCTCCTCGCGGGAGAATCTCCGGAATGCAGTCCGGCCCCGGGAGACAATCAGTTTTGAGGCAGCGGGAAAGAAATCGCAAATCTCTTGAGATTTTAGGAACGTGGTATTAAAGTAGTCCTGACAGTTGCATGAATGAACCCAATGAATACATTGCTTTGTCCTTAAATGTCTAGGGTGAAAGCTGTGAAGCAAGGAAGGAGCTCTTTGCGGCATGGCGCTAAAAAGTTGTGCCTACCGTACAAGAGACAGTGAATCTGGAATATTTGCAGCGAAGGTGCAATGACATCCATGCAAGCCATACCCGAGCTTTTCTTGTAAAGACATTGCCAATGGGAGACTACGGCTCTGGTGAGCATGCCCCGTTGCATCCTTGTGCTGTTTGCACCCCAGCTATGTCGCTGCATTGTGTTACTCTACTTGCTTCCTTGTTGGAGTCTCAAGGCCCGCGAACTTGCTATTCCATTTTGCTGAGCTTCTGAAGCAAGTATGGTCATGCCCTTCATGGTTGCCAAGTAATGTAGTAGCTGCAATAGCAACCTGGAAACCAACATTTGGTGCCAAAGTCGCGGCAGACTTCTTCTGACAAGACAGGACAAAAGTCCTAACCTTTGGTGGCACCAAAAAAGAAGGTGGACAAAATGTATACCGCCAGACTTAAGCTCGAATCTCTACAGTTTCTCACAGTCTTCTCAAGACTGAGACTTTGTCGCGCTTTGTCGGCACCTTCACAAACCAAGCCTTATGATTCCCAGCGGTTTGATTTGCTTTTCACAGGTTCAACAAACATCGTAATTTGTTGAACAATGCTGGCACTGGGGCGTATCAGCAACTGTTGGGCGAAACTCCCAAGCGGTGTTTTTCTCAGCAACTTTATTGAATGAACCGCCCTCGGAGCATCACCGTTGCTTTTCTGAACAACGCTGGCACTGCAACAATATTGTAGGAGCTGTTGACAGAGTACTCCAGCATTGTTCCTCTCAGCCTTTCTCTGGTAGGATATTCGCCCATCGTCATGGACTTGTATGAACAATGCCGGCACTGCGGCACATTTGGAGCAATTCCTTGGAAAGTTGACTCTAGAAAATTTTCAACCAGCCTTTCTGTTGTGAATCTGTTCTGTGAAACCCACCCACGCAGTGTTACAGGGCCCGTGAATTGTGCCATACCACCATCAGTAATCACTTTCAAGACATTCCTTGGAGAGAGTTTGCGACAATCACACCAACATTGGGTGGGGCTGGGAGGAGAAGAAGAACAACAGTGGCTTTCAAACCGTGGCATTTTACAATGTGCATTGACAAGGTGCTCTGCCGTTGTAATACATCCCAAATCATTCCATCCTTGCCGTCTACTGATCTAACTCAGTGTGGCCCAAGAGCCACCGCCGTACTCCCGGGTGCTTCTGGTAGAGTCAACCCCTGCAGGACCTTCTTTTCTGCCTTACAAACAGCAACTCAGGCTTCCTTTCCCCCTTCAGATGCCAAAGGTGCTTCCGCCCGGCTGCTTTCTCAGGCGTGGGAACATCTACGACTGGCTGAACGAGCACCCCTCAGGTTCCCATCCTGGGACGCCATTCTGGTGACGGCCGCCAGCAATGCACAGGTAGTTCTCGCCCCCATGTCTAGTTCTCTGCTTTCAAAAAGAAGACTGGTGTCACACCTTCACCAGGCAATTCCGTATGTCATGTAGATTTCGGAACCATGTTGAAGCCAAAGTGCACATAAATGCTGTAAAAGAATGAACATGTCATCTGCAGCGTCTGGACATATGCCACTTTTTAGCAATAGTCAGGCTAATGTCCCTTTGGTATCTTCCCACAGGCCGCCCTGTATCAGCAGCAACTAGAGGCGGCCCGCTACTTCGGTCGCATTGCGGAGGGCACCCTCGTGCTCGCCGTTCCTGACCCCCAGGGCAAGCGGATTGGCTCCGGAGGTGCGACGCTCTCAGCCCTCAGAGTTTTGGCAGACCAACTAAGCAGCCAAATTGATAACCCAGCTCCTTCACACCGGAAAAGTGTTGGTCAATCCCAAAGCAGTGGGGGTGCGACTCCCACAGGAACTGAAACCGTTGGCGAGACGGGGGGGGTGCCTGTCAGTGGAATTGTAGACCCGCGGATCGAGGGTGCGCTCGAGGTTTTGGCGGGGTTCAGGGTTTTGCTCGTCCATGGGGGGGGCGACTCGAAGCGGGTTCCGTGGGCAAACCCAATCGGGAAACCGTTCATTCCGCTGCCGTTCCTGGTGGCGAGGGACAGCGACGAGCCGGTTCCCACACTGTTCGACCATATTCTGGCAGTGGCCGCTCCAGCGCTAGGGGCTATGCAGGGAGGGGGAGTGCTTATAATGACAGGTGAGGCACACTTTGACCTGCAACAAGCTGACCAATCGGCGGCTTAGTTGATGGTCTGCATATAGTCTGCACATCGTCTTATGGGTTGTTGCCAACGTTTGGGAACGGGTGTGGAGATTTTGCCACCTTCGAAACGAGTCTCAAGAGGTAGGAGCACAGGTGAAGAGATTTGATCTGTTATGCTCGATCAAAGGTCACCCATGATGGGACCATAGAATAGGATCGACGAGGGTGCTTCGACTATCGGTCCTTCCCTCGTTTGTGTAATTTTCTAGTCCTGTGCAATAAGGTCTTCGGTCTCGGAAGGGTCTCGAGAGCTGTTTCGATTGGGCTGAAGACCCAGAGCAAAAGGTGACTCAGCCTTCTGCATACACTGCGGCGATTTACGGCCTCTGTTCTTGACTCCGTTTACACCTACTCAACCATTCCTTGACAATGATCGAAGAAGTACGAGTCAACGTGTTAGGGCCGTATGTGCCTTCCTTGAAGGTAGCATTGAGTTCGAAAAGCTTGCATCGGCTGTAATTTGACTGCAAAATCTCCCTCTAGAGCGAACATTTGATCGACCAACTTTTGTGAAGTAACTTTCGCAAGTCGTGCACAGCAGTGGCTGCGCAAGCATTGAGAAGTGTGAATTATCCCTCTTGCAGGGGACGTCCTGCCGATCTTCGACTCAAAGTTCCTGTTCACACCGGACGACGGTGCATGCATCGTCACCACCCTAGCCTCGCTCGACGTCGCCTCCAGGCACGGCGTCTTGGTCTCCGAGGGGGGGTCCAGATCGCCCCAAAACCAGGGGGGAGGAAACGACGAAAAGCGAGCTCCAACGAGTGCAAACCAGTCCGACTTGAAGAGGAATCGAAGTTCTGACTCCATTCTGGACCCGCAAGCGCCCGTGAGCGTGAAACCGCTCAACCTCATGTCCCTTCCCCCCATCGCTTCCATTGCGAAACCGACCCCAATCGCGGCGCACCCCCTGTTTAGCAGCCCCCCCCCCTCTCCCCATGCCGCAGAACGAAGCTCGTCGCCTAAGATCCTATCCCCCCGAACCGTTTGCCCCCCCCTGGGTCTGACCCGTTCACGTCTCCCCGCACATATAGACTTTCCAGCCGGTCGCCCCCGCCCCTTCCGACTGTTCCGGAGGCCCCCGTCGTGACCCAATTGGAGCAAATTGCTGACAGGGCGACCCAGCCAGAGTCCCCGAGGGCTGCCCGGTCGCCTGCAAACACGTCCAAGCCGCCGCTGTACCCTCCCCCCCGTATGGTGCAACCGCTGTCCGTCTCGAGCCTCCTCTCACTCCAACAGGCGAAGCCGTACTACTCCGCTGAGTCCTCCTCAGCCGGGGGGGAGCTTTCCCCGCCTTTGCAGCCCCTGAAAAACCCCCTTGAAAGAGCGCCGGCCAGTCACGCGCCGCCAGCTGTCGAGCCGAGAGGTCTCGTGACAAATCTGCTTCAAAAGCCGAACGCCCTAGAGTTGGAAGAAGCGGGAGCGCTCGTGGGGGGTGGAGCTGCGCTTTTGGACACAGGCATTTTCGCGGTGAAAGGGGGGGCGTGGCGGGACTTGCTGACGTTGATGGCGCTGCGGCCGAATCCAGTGGAGGCGTTGCTGACGTCGGGCGAGGAGATGAGCTTGTACGAGGAGATGGCGGGTGAGGGTTGGTTTGAAGATACGGGAAATAATCGAAGAGGCTTTTCTGCTACTGTGTCAGGGGTCTTCGGAGCGAAGTAGAGCGGATGAGGGAACAGGTGTCCAATGACACCGTTGTAGAGGGCTTCGGAGAACCTGTCCCACTAAGGACCGGTAGCGAAAAGAAGGGCACGGGGTCACACATTTGCTGCGGCGCTCCGCTCATCATACGGTCTGTCTGTAATTGGAGCGCCAAGTGGGAGGACGCCTTCGTAGTGTCGCTGCGTGCCAATAGCATCTTTTGTATTGTCTTGTTTTTAGAAACAAGGCACAAGTCGACCGTGCGAACAGGGCGGCTCCATCAGCCCATTCCGACCGTCTAGGCATCTGCGATCCATTGACGAGTTGCAGGTCTAAAATAAATCTGTCCTGGCGGTCTGAAGATTGTTTCTGCAGAGCAACGTCAAGAGTATGCACTAGCATCTTCGAAATCACGAACCCCACCTTGGAACATTAGCTCAACCTAAGCACGCTCATCCCTTTGCGCTCATCCCTTCTTGCAGGTGCGTGGGTTCCGGCTAGACATTCCTGGCTCCAGTCTCGGCCGTTAGGCCCGCTTTTGACGGAATACCTGGGCCGCAGCCGCCTCTGGTACCACTTTGCGCCCGAGCTCGAGTTCCTGCACTTCGGAACCACGTCCGAAGTTTTGGACCACCTGGCATCCGGCTGGCCAATGGCGGACCGCCAGCTCAGCAACGTCAGGGTGAGTGACGGCTCCTGCATAGGGCAAGTTTTAGTCTGATACTTGCCAATCTCTTCCGGCTGTTTATCAGCGAATTTCTGCTTTGGCACCACGTCCGAAGTTTTGGACCATCTGGCATCCGGCTGGCCAATGGCGGACCGCCAGTTCAGCAACGTCTGGGTGAGTGGGGGCTCCAGTATACGGCGAGTATAACTTCTGTACATTTGCAGATTGTTTCCGGCTGTTTATTAGCGATACTTGACTTCGAGATCATGTCTGAGACCACCTGGCGTCCGGCTGGCCAATGGCGGACCGCCAGCTCAGCAACGTCAGGGTAAGTGGCCGCTCCATTACAGCGCAGATATTCTTCTGTATATCTGCAAATTGTTGACTGTTGTTTACCAGTTACGTTCCACGCTTCAAACACACGTCCGAAGTTTGGGACATCTGGCATCCGGCTGGCCAATGGCGGACCGCCAGCTCAGCAATGCCAGGGTAAGTGGCGGCCTTCAGTGCTTTCAAGTCTCGGATTGTTTGCAGACCATTTCCGACATCATAGGAACTGTTATCTCACCTTCTCGACTTCGTTGCAGCCCTCTCTTTGCACAATTTGCCCCTAGCTCCTTCACCTATCTCCTGCGATCTGTCTCTCACCAGTGTTCATGTGCCACCTCCAACTATCAACCACAGATGCTTTTGATTCCCTCAACAGCTCAAAGATGGTCTACAGAAACAATCCTATCAGCTTTTTCGGCAAGCCTTTTTTCAACATCCCAGGCGCTTGCTAAGCTCACCACAGAAGTTCTGTAGGGCCGCCATGACTGCCTTCAAAGCGAAGTTGCATCTCGTCCACTGCCGTTTGTGGTTTTGTTCCGGTCTGAATTCCGTCCCGGTTCCGCTCTGCAGGGTGACGTGGGCCTCAACACAGTCGTCATCGGCAGCACCGTCGACGTCATGGCCTCCATAGGAGATGGCGGCCTTATCTGCGATAGCAAGCTGGGCGCTCAGACAACCGTCGGCTCTCGCTGCGTCATCTTTGGGCTTGATACTTACCACGCCCACCTCAGCAAGACGTCATCAACCCTAGCTATTCCCAGTCATTTGTGCGTTTGGGTGGTGCCGCTCTTGGGGGGAAGCCAGGTCACGGTTTGCTGCGGGGTTGACGATAATCCGAAGGAGGGTTATCGGGAACCGGGTTCGAGCAAGGCGACGTTTTGCGGGGTTCCGTTGGGCGATTGGTTGCAAGCGCGAGGTGTGTCTTCAGCTGAGCTATGGCCCGGCTTCGGGAGCGTCGGCGTTTTAGAAACGGGATCCGGCTCGCCCGCGAATAACGGTGCCCAAGATACTCATTCTCAGTCGGCTGTGGCCGGTAGCGACCGGCAGCCGGCAAATAAAAGCACGCAGATTGATTCCAAACCCGCTCCTCCGGATCAGACGCCAGTAATCAAGGAGCGAAACCTTTGGAATGCAAGCTTATACCCGGTCGAAGAGAGGGGGGCGGTCTTAGACTGGGTCCCCTGGTTCATTGGTCGGGCAATGACGTCAGAAACGCGTCAGCAGTGGAGGGGCGCCCAACGGCTGAGCCTGGCGCAGATCCACCGTCGGATCGACTTTGCGGCGCTTGATCGGACGGTCAGGATCGGAAGGGGGGAACTGGCGCTCGGGATTTTGCAGCGGGATGTACAAGGGCTTCTTCAGCGGAACGTCGCAGCTCTCAGCGAGCAGATTTTGTGGGGTTTCAACACACAGTCTGCGGATAGTCCGGAAAGCAGTGTGAACGCGCCCAGCGGCCGACCGTTTGCGAACGTGTTGGCATCTGATTGGGCGCCAGGGCTGGCCGAGAGGCTGGAAGCGAACATCAGGGAGCCGATTTACACTGTGCCTCGCAGCCGACTGCACATGGCGCGCGCGGATTTGCTGCGGGCAGGGGGACACGTGGCAGAAGCAGATCAAGCGGAGGAGGACGCTTGGCGGGCGGTGGCTTCGGAAACGGCGACGGGGGTCGGGATCGCTGCGGAAAGCACCCCCCCGGATGATTTGCCGCATCATTCGGAAGCCGGTCAGCGGCCCGGAATCCGGGAGCAGGGGTTGGCCCTACAAGAAGCCACGCTGAGCCTTTTAACACAGTCTCCGGCTGGTGTGAACGGGCACCTCGGTCCGGTGGGGGAAGTTTATAGGGTCGAGCTCCCGGTGAGATTGGACATCGCAGGGGGGTGGAGTGACACTCCTCCCTGGAGTCTGGAACGCGTGGGGAGGGTTTTGAACATCGCCGCAGACTTGGAAGGCCGCCCGCCAGTGGGGGTGGAAGTCGAAGTGACAGGAGGGGGGGGTGTTTCGATACAAGATGACGAGGGTAGGGAGTGTAAAGTCGAAGATTTGACGTTGCTTGACGCTCCGCTGGCGATCGACGACCCGTTTGCAGTTGCCAAGGCGGCGCTGGTAGTGACCGGGTTTGGGTCGAGGGACCTACTAGGTGAGATACTCGAAGACATAGCGAGTCGTTCAATATTGCTGACTGGATGGATGGTAAAATATATGGCAACAAAGTTCTATCCGCTTCTTTTTGAAGTTGTCTAACAAAAGGGTCTCCATCAGCTTTTCGATTTGATCTGTACGAACCGTGCTTGTGAAAAGTTCTTCACTTCTCTTGGCCTCCAACAACAGTGTTCCAAAAGATTATCAAAGTCGGGAGTGCTCTAAACGCTGATGTCAAGAGTCGCTCTGGTTCAAGTCTGCATGCGCACCGACAATCCGAAGCAGCTGCCTCGCACGACAATTTTGGAAAACTTGGCCCCAGAAAAGATACAGCGAGGAATTGTAAGTCGGCCAGTTGTCCTCACTTGTCCTTCTTCATATTCCACTTCTAGCTTCTGATCACAGCTGCCTGTACGCTCACCAACGCGAACCCAGGAAGGCTCGAGATCTCGTGAAGAAGTCCTCACGAGATCCGCAGACCGTTACCATCAAGAGGTGTGAAGACCCTCAAGAATCAGAACCACCACAATCTGCAGGGCCTGAGCGCAGCCTGCGCATCTCGACGCGTATGGAAGTGCCAAGTGGCAGTGGTCGTGGGCCCTTTAGAATTCGACCTCCAGCCGTGTGTTGGGGGTTATTACTCTTTAAAGACGCCAGATCAAAGCACCAAGAAGTACAAGGATTACAAAAATCCTGAAGTATCAGAATCTCGTCGTTTCATCAGGACCTGAGCGCGGCCTGCGCATCTCAACGTGGGCGGACGTGCCACGTGGCAGCGGGCTGGGGACCTCCAGCATACTCGCGGCGGCCCTCGTGAGGGGCCTGCTGCGCGCGCAAGGGGCGTCCGACTCCAACGAAGACGTCTCGCACAAGGTGCTCGTGTTGGAGCAATTGATGGGCACGGGAGGCGGATGGCAGGACCAGGTGAAAACTCGAATCTGTTATTTCTCGCCTTTGAATTCTTGGATTCTTTCGAGCTTGTAAGGTCACTGAGAGTTTGATCTTTGTGGGAGATCGACTCCAACTAAGAGTCCCGCACAAGGTGCTGGTGTTGGAGCAATTGATGGCACGGGAGGCGGATGGCAGGACCAGGTGACAGATCGACTCTAAAGTATTGCGTTGAGAACGCCTGGCATTGTTTTCTTGTTTGTCCACAAGATGCTGTTATGAGGTCAAGCGGTACGAGACCAAGCGAGCGCGTGCGTTCGCGATGTTTCAACAGCTTACTATGTCAAAGTCAAAGGATGCCAAACTTTGAAACGATTGGAGCTGCGTGCCAAGTCTATGTTGATTCTGTTTCGTGACTGGCTGCGATTTGGTCTGCGTAAAGTTTTGAGCAGTGTCCCCTCGTAATCCGCTACACTGCTGCTTACCCCCCAGTTTACCCCCCAGTACTTTCGTCATTTTTCAGGAGAACAACAACCTGCTCAAAGATTCGTCGAGGATTGTTGATTCCCACTGGATTTTCACCATGCAAACCTGCGTATAGATTGGGGCGCTCTGGCCTGGCACCAAAATTAGATTCCGTGAACGAGCCTCTCTTCTGATTCAGGATCTTTGGACCAGTATACCCGCTTCAGTCATCTTGAGAGCGACCGAATGTAAGACATTCCTTGAAATTGCTACAAGCTACCTATCAAAAGGGCTGATTTAATAGAGTCTGCATTGCAGGTCGGCGCCCTTTGGCCCGGCGCCAAATGCACGACTAGTCTCCCCTCCGCCCGCTACACTACTTACGAACCATCATTGCTGTCCACCCCTCTTCAAGAAAGAAAAGAATCTGTTATATCTTACCCAAAGTGGTGATTACTACCGAAAACATAGACCGAAAGACCAAAGCAACTCTTGGCGCAGGTGGGCGCGCTTTGGCCCGGTGCTAAATGCACGACCAGTCTCCCCTCGCGCCCGCTGCGTCTGGTCGTGGAGGAAGTGCCGCTGCTCCCCGCGCTGCGGCACGAGTTGGAGTCGCGCCTGGTGCTCGTTTTCACCGGGAAGGTCCGGCTGGCCAGGAACGTGTTGCAGAAGGTGGTGGGCAGGTGAGAATAGGCTCCTTGTTAGTTCACTCTCTGGTTTCGGAAGGATGATTCAGAAGGGATTTTTTAAAATTCTGGGTGCTCGTTTTCACCGGAAAAGTCCGGCTGGCCAGGAACGTGTTGCAGAAGGTGGTGGGCAGGTGAGAATAAGCCCCTTCGTTCAGTGCTTTCGCTTTTGAAGGACGTACTAGGGAATACGGGTGCACGTAATCACCGAACAATTTCGACTGGCCAGGCACATGTTGCAGAAGGTGGTGGGCAGGTGAAAATAAGCTTATCGTTCGTCAATCTTTGCTTTCGAAGGATGAGAAAGAAAGATAGGTTAGACAGAACAATCCGGGGATTGTTATCCGCTTGTTTTCACCAGGAAAAGTCGGCTGGCCAGGAACGTGTCGCAGAATGTGGTGGGCAGGTGAGAATAAGCTCTCCCTTTGTCGGAACTTGTTTGTCGAGACATTTGAATCGGTTGAATGTGTCGAAGTTAATCTCTTTCGCTGATCTCAGAGGAAGTCACGCCATAAACGATGGTAAGGTACGGCTGGCCAGGAGCGTTGTTGCAGATTCGTGGGCAGGTGAGAATACGCTCGTCGTTAGTCATGAATGTACATTGCCTTTACTTAGTTGAATCCATTAGAGAAAAGGGATTTTAAGGATCAGGTGCTTGTTCCCACCGGAAAAGGTCTGGCTGGCCAGGAACGTGTTGTGGAAGGTGGTGGGCAGGTGAGAATACGCCCCTCGTCCATTTGTTCTTCGGTTTTTGAAGGAGGTATCATTGGTTGGGTGCTTGTTTTCACCGGGAGGGTTCGGATGGCCAAGAATGTGTCGCAGAAGGGCAGGTGAGAACAACCCCTCCGTCCGTTTATTTTTGCTCCTCCAAGATGACTGGACAGGAAAGGGGGAGAGAGTAAATGCGGATACGCACCAGCAAGGTTCGCCTAGCCACGAACATTCAGCAGAAGGTCGAGGGACACCCTAGGACTAGTAAGCTTTAGGAAGGTAAGATCAGCCTGGGACGGGAAGGGTTGGTCTGGGTTTTAGGGTGGGTTCGGGTGCGGAGCGGGTAACTTCTATAGCGTCACATTTAAGGGTTTGGTTGACCTTACTATTCCTAAAGCTTGCTATTCCTAATGCTTACTATTCCTAAAGTGTCGCGTCATCAGCAGAAGGTGGTCATGAGGTGAGAGTAAGCTCTTTGTTTGTTCATTCTTTGCTTTCGAAGCATGAACCAGGAAGAAAAGCGGGAGGTTACTTTGTTCTCGTCTTCTTCCTGTCGGATAGCCACGACCGTTTATTCGAAGGCGGTGGGCAGATCTAAACAAGCTCTTGAATTCAGAAGCTGCTCGTCCTGAAGCAAGGTAGTCAGATTCGTGTGGTGCTCTTTGATACCAGAGGTTCGGCAAACCGGAACGCGTTGAAGAGAGTGTTGGGCAGATACAATTGTGCTCCCAAGTTTTCCTGGGATAGTGTTTTAGGAACCGAGATAGGAACTGAGATAGGAACCGAACTTGGCGGTTTTTTGTAGGACCGCAAGTACATCCGCAAAATGTAACGAGGAGAGGAGGAGAAGCCCGTCTGGAGTTGCATTGTTTTCGGATAAGAACGTCCGACGTTGCGTGGTGCTCGATCCTTCTGTCAAATGTCGTCGCAATTCGTTCCTCGCTGTCTTTGGACGTTGAGTCCTGCTGATCGATGGTCGTTTCTCGTCAGGTATTTGCGGCGAGACGCGCGAGCAATCGCCAGCGTGCGGCGCCTAACAGAGCTCGCAACGGCGGGCCAAAAGGCCCTTGCGACTGGGGACTTGACTGCGTTGGGGGCGGTGATGTCGGAAACCTGGGGTCTGCATCAAGAACTGGACCCTCACTGCAGTAACCCGGATGTGGAGCGGTGAGCTCGGTTCTGCTTTGCTGTTCTCATACTTTTTGGTCTTTAGACCTAGTCTTTAAGCTTTAACTTGCAAAAACCTATGGCATGTTCCAGCTTTTCGGGGATCGGGCCTTCACTGGAGCGGGCCTCGGGCGCGTGGTTTTTGACGATTTTATGGCTAAAGCAATCCCCGCCAAGTTGACGGCGTCACTCTTGAAAAGTGTCGATGTTATGACGTCGTCGTCGACATTCGGCCTGGCGCGCCATTTGAGAGATTACATACGATCCCGGACTTTGGTGCTCTCACTTTACCCTCATCGCAGACGAGTCGTGCTTCCTGCCCTCCTTAAAGACTACTATATCACTTTCTGGTACGTGTTGAGGGCACTCGATGTTCCGGGGTTAGTTCTACGCACCCTTGGCTCGGCCAGTAAGAAAGTTTGGGCTTGGAAACCGCATGTACCGGGTTTCACCCTTTCAGGTTGGAAGCGGAAGCGAAAGGTCTTGGTTCAGAAGCCGTCTGCGTTTGCCTTTCCGCACGGTGCCCGGGTATGCTTCTTATGCGACACGACCCAACGGACGATGCTCTTTTAGTGCTCATAATCCCACACGAATTCAAGGACACAGCCGACGAGCAGCGAGGAACGTGCTGAGCCGAGTATTCAATTCGCAAATTTTAAACAGGGCCGAAGCGCAGAAATCTACGTGCTGACTCAAGGGAGGTCGAAGGCACTTTCTCAAACCAGAACTTAATCGGCTGCCAATGCAGGTTGTTCTCCTTGGTGGACCACTTGAGCGTTGGGCACAAGTTGCTGGGGGCAGGAGGGGGCGGCTTTGCGCTGATCCTTGCGAAAGACGTGCATGCCGCAGCAGAGATGAGAGCAATGCTTGACGAGTTTGGACCACCCGCGAAAGTGCACTCGTGGTCTTTGGGGTAGAGGCTGAAAGTGGATCCGGCCAGCGGCACCTCCGAGCCCTCTGCTCTACCACTGTCGCATGCAACCGCCGAGGATCGTCTCTTTCTTCTTATAAGATGCTGGCCTATAAACACTACACTACACACCATTGGGATATTCCTGACACGCTTTGCGAGCACGGCATCATGCTGAATAAGACCGAGTCCGGCCTTGGGCTGCCCACGAGTCTCCTTCGGTGCACCTGCGCGCTGCCAACTTGAGTCTGCAATGCTGGATCCGACACTGCCACACTCCTTCTGATTGTGCATTTACAAGATGTGCATTTTCGACTCAGCCTCGTCATAGGCTTGGCGTAGATAAATGAATGCTTTGATCGATAGGGAATGCCATGCTCAATCTCAAAGCAGCGTGCAGCGCTTTATTCAATTCAATGATTGTTGTCCATCGTCAAGTCCATAATGTGCAACCGTGCTAGCTCATTCACCGTTACGAAGATTCCCATGCGTCACTGCATGAGCTCCAACCGCTGAGCCTCCGTCGTACTCGAGCTGGCCGCCATGTACGCACAATACCAATTGGACTCGGAGATCATCATATGGCATGCAGTGCGCTGAATCACACGTTCATTGCGCCCGCCCCGCTGCGCGCGACTCAGCATGCAGGCCCGTGAGTCGCATGAGCGTAGGTATATGTGTCGCGCTAAACCTCATCTGGCCTATCCATCTCGGCTACTCTATGTCAACGGGCGTGTCGCGGCCGCACCGCCCCATGTTATGTTAGCCTCCGCTCGCAGCACACCACAGAACTCAGAGCCGCATGCGTTTCCCCATTCACACTTCACATGTCATACCACACATGGTAACCGAGTTGAGACTGACTTCTGCCCATCGTACGGTTTGCATGAGCTCAAGAATGCCGCCCCATATCAGACTTTTGACTGCACAAAAGAAAGAATGAAGCCTAGCTTCACTTCTTTCTTCTTCACTGTCTCACATGGTGCACTGGGCTACAGCCTAGCCTGGTCTGGGATTTCTGCCTACTCTAGTCAGTCACCACTCACCAGCAAGTGCCGGACATGATTCCGACTCGACACAATCCAGCCCGACATATGCTCGTTGCATTGCATATACGACTAGCAAACAATGCCTTCTGAGCTCGATCATTCCAATTCAATGTTGTAAGTTACGTAATCCTAGGCTATAACTCCAGGCTAACCTAAGAAGTTAGTAGTAGTAAGTAGGTAGTAGCTGCCGGCCGGGCCCGGTCTAGCTAGCTACGTTTAAATACAATGGACCCGCAAGTTGTTGTAAGACTAGGTTTGGTACGTGCGCCAGGCCCCAACTTACTAAGCTTACGCTTGATTTGACTTGGTAAGATAATGATAGCCAGCCGAGCCTAGCCTGCTAGATTCAAAACTGAAACATCGATCCCTTATAAGTATGCCATGCATGGAAGCCTATGCCAGCCCAATGGTGGCTACGGCGTTTGCATGAGTAAAGAGAATATTAGATACCATGCAATGTTTGCCTGGCAATGATGGGTACGTATCCGGTCATGCAGCCAGACGTACGGTGACTGACTCAAACATGAAACATGCGCACTAGCACGAATTCTGTACGATCCGTATGAATGGATTGGCATACAAATCGTACAACCATGACAGCGGCCGAGGTCTTCAATATGATTCAATTAGCCGCACGAACCTCAAGAGTCTGACGAGGCACCGCAGGCCGCGCAGAATACCATGCGGTGCTGCAGCCAAAAGGTAATGAGTTCTTATCGGATAGACAACATATGACGCCGGCCGCATTTTAGTGACTACAATGGCATGCGCAAGATCGGAACCCAGCCTAGTACAGCTATGAACAACAAGGCAAATCACCGTCTTGCCAAGTCAATTGTCGAGAAGTCCTGACCGTCCGACAAAGACACAACCAACTGTCCCACCTTTCACTGATTCCCAACGCTCCAGGTTCCTTATGGTTTGTCAATCATTAAGTGGCCCAACAATGGGGTAATGAGCCAGACTGAGGGACGTCCAAACCTCTTGAAGAAAAGAGCAATGAAAGGCAAGATTAAGGTTGTCTACCATATGACCGTGGCTACGCCACCAGATGGGTTAGGCGGTCCATCAAACGGAAAACTTGCGCGAGCCAGTGCCTAACCAGACTCAGACCTGTGACCCCTATCCGCGGGAGCTCACTGTCGAACTGCGTGCATGCATTAGCTTGGACACCTAGCCTACGACAGCGTTCTAAGAACGCCTTCGAAATTGGAAGTCTCCATCCGCACCTCCTACAACCAACCGGACGGCTCAGGCCAACGAATGCGGCGCTATGTGGAACCTCTGTTTTCCAACCCATAGCGCACCATCAAATGGACTAGTCTGTCGCGGGTCAAGGGCTGCATCAAGCAACGGGCTCTACCGTGAGACGTCATCTCCCTTCGACTGAACCTCTACATGATCCACCTACTAAATGGAAGCCAGCAATGTGCGGTGTTGAGCAGACCAGCACGCAATATCTAATTAGCTTTTGCAACAGTCCCAGCCGCTTTGCGAGGAGGCGCTTTGGGACTAAACACGTTTCCCTCCCCCTTCCCAAGCTGCTCCTTTTTCCAGCCAAGTCGCACAAGCAGATGCACTAGCTTGTCACGGGAGAGCGGCTGTAAAGACGAGATGGGCTTTCAGCAAAGCAACGTTCCCCGCCATACAACATTTCCGCCGAGCACGCATATCGAGCCCAAACGTCTGCGACTAGCATGAACCCAAAAAGGCCAGCACGCAACTCGTGGTCCGCATGATCAAGCTCTTCTAGAGCCCCATACCAGGACTTGGTTTCTTACTCGCGATCCTTTTAAGAACTCGGCATGCTAAAAAGACTCCCCACCGCTGGGGCATGCTTTGTAAATGACAACGCAACAATGAGGCACGAGTGCCCATGATTCCAGGCAAGCCTGCTGGATCACGTCAAGAAATGTATATGCTTACAACCGAGAAAGCTCGAAGCAGGCACAGCGTGGGTCAGGTTGAGATCGGCACGAGATTTCGCACGACGAAAAGCTCTCGCAGCAAGCTTAGGGGATGCCGTTTGGAACGACCTCAAAGTCCAGAAGGGGATCCCACATGAATAAAGTGATTAGACTGGGAAGCCGTCCGACGAAAGGATGCTGCGTCGGACTTAAGTCTTTGAGGAAGTGAAAGGGCGCTCGTTTCAGATTGAAGATCCATAATCTGGTGTTCCAAACCGATTTCAGCAAAAGTGTGAAGGGGCCCTCACCTTGGTTTGAAACTCGTCCACCCCGGCCTTGAAAAAGAGCTCCCGGTCGGACTTGAGCGCATTCCCAGTGAGCGCGATAATGGGCGTTTTCACACCCATCTGGCGGAGAAGCCGCGTCGCCTCGTGACCGTCCTGAAACGAGCGGAACGGATACAAATTGTGAGCGGACTCAGCCTGAGCGGACCCATTTCAAAGCGAAGTCAGCCTGAGCAGGCGCGGACCGGCTCTCCTCGTGGCCGTCCTGTGACGAACGGAAACGGACTCTGTTTGAGCGGACTCGGCTTGAGCGGAACCAGGCTTTGAAACGAACTCAGCCTGAACGGCATAATCCCGAATCCAAATCATTCTATGGAGGGCTCAGATCTGGTGCCAAGGTCCTAGCAAAACCGCCGTTTGTACTAAAACATCGTTCGCGTGGTCAAAGCTTGAAAGCCATGGACGGGACCGGGGAAAAAGATACGAGCAAAGGACTCACACGATGATAGAAAGACTGTCACGAATAAGAAAAGGTAAGATTCACGAAGAGAGTTAGGAAGCAAGAGAGGGAAATGATAGAGGAGACACCCCAAGACCCTGGATCGCTACAATTCTGAGATGATTACGAAACCCTGACTCGCTGAATCTCTGAACCCGACAAAGAACAGAAGCCTCAAAATATTTAGGGTTTTAGGGTTTTAGGATTTTAGGGTTTTAGGGTTCTAAAAAGCACGTACCATCACGGGCATTTCCTTGTCCATGAGAATGAGGTCGTAGTTGCGCCCCTGCTTGAGCAGATCCACCGCGACCTTGCCGTTCTCTGCCTCGTCGCACAGCAGGCCCAAGTTCTGCAGCACCTTGCGCATGATGATCTGCACGGAGCATACGATATGAGTGTCGGAAGGATAGGCTATAAGCGTTTGAGGGGCCGTTACGACGACGTGCTATAGTTTACCCTCAATCTCGCAGAGTCTTGATGAAGCTTTGTGTGCTGGCCTCAAAAGCTCAGCGCCGTTGGGCGCTATGGCATGTCGGAAAGCTGGTTGAATTCTACATAACCAGCGAACACACGTCCGCTGTACTAAGCTTCCCGGTTTCAGGCTACATGGGACACCCGTGGTTTTGGTAAAACCCTGCTTAGAATTGCACTTCGCCTCACCTCCCAACACTGAATACAAGGGAATATGGGAAAAGGAACGCCCAGAGACGGACAAGAGAACATATCGGACGGAAAGTGCCCAAAGACGCAACTCGCCGGTTTGAATACCTTCTACCAAAGCACCTTGCGTTCTGCGTGACCTCTCTACGATAGAACCTAGGAACCCCTACCTGAGTAGAACGAAAATCCACAATGAGGTAAGCACGCCCAAAGACTGATAGTTGTCACTCACCCTGTTGATCTCGGTGTCTTCGACGAGCAGCACCTTGCGCTTGCTGTCGTTTGCGTCTTTCTCCGCCTGCGTCTTTTCCTGATCGCTCTCTTCCTTCTCGACGCTCAGCTGCCGCCGCAGCTCCGACATCTGCTCCAAGTCACCTCGCAAGCTCCCGCTCAAAGACCGGCTGATCGCTTGATGCAGCGCCCGACCGACTGCCGAGGTTTTTGTCTGCATCAGGATTCGTGTATCAAGAATCTGAAGGTTTCTGGAAATGTTCCGACTTCAGAAGTTCGATTTGAGAGGGATCGTCGCTTATGGCGTTTGTTTCAAGTCGCCGCGCAAGCTCCCACTCAGCGACCCGCTGATCGCTTGATGTAGCGTTCGCCCGACCGCCGACGTATTTGTCTGCATCAAGATTTCATGGTGTCAGAAGTGTGAAAAGCTACAAGTTTTCAGATGTAATTATTAAAGCCGTAGCTCCTGGCACAGCCCCGCAAGCAGCCGCCCGGCGATCGGCTGACGATTTGATGCAGCGCCCGCCCGACCGCCGACGTTTTTGTCTGCACCAAGGTTCGTGTTTCGAAAGTCTGGAGGTTTACGAAACTTGAAGATGTTAGGAATTCGGAATTTTGTGTTTGAGATCGTCGCTTCTGGCGTTTGTTCCAGATCGACGGGCAAGCTCCCGCTCAGCGACCGGCTGATCGCTGAATGCAGCGCGCGCCCGACCGCCAAAACTTTTGCCTGCAAGGATTGAGGGTAATCTGCAAATATCATCTTGCGCATTACAATCGTAGCTTCTGATGCTTGCTTGAAGTCGCCACGAAAGCTCCCGCTCAGCGACCGGCCGACGGTTTGATGCAGCGCACGCCCACCTGCCGACGTCTTTCCTTACGCAAGGGACGTGAACTCCAATGAAATATCCATCTGGTGTCCGAAAAGTAGCACTTGACCTGATATGCGAATTGAAAACCAAACGTCTGCTTCGCATAGCCCCAAGTTCCCGCTCAAAGTCTCAAATGGAGTCGACCCTCTCGTAATTTGGCACAGCACGCAGAATCGTCCATTTCGGCCGCTGGATAACAGACTGGAAGCAATTGGCACTTACAGTTCATCAATCCTCAACCCTCGAGACGTCAGCGTGCACCAAATCTCCTGCTTTGACAGGCAAATGACATCTAACGTTCTGAGTCGCGAGTGGAGAATAAAGGCCCCCATGTGAATTAACATACGGAAAGTCAACAATCTTCCCGGATATAGCTGTAAAGGCCCCCATGTGTACTGACGTACGGACGATTAACAAACCTCCCCACAACACGCTGTAAATTAGAGCAGAATACACTCTGCGCATGGCCCTACCTGCGTTCCCCCGCTGAGCTTCTTCGCAAGCTTCTCGGTGAACGCGCGGTGGACCTCGTTCTGCGCGTCCATCCCCTGAGGCGGGGTCGCAGGAGGGCCCGCCTCGCTACTCCCGGGATCGGACGTTTTCTCGACGTCCGAGCTCGCGAGGGAGGCTGTCGAGTCGTTGGCGGTCTCGTCCTCGGCCACGAGCGGAAACGGAACGGAGAACCAGAAGCAGTTGCCGTTGGGCGTCTGGGTATCAACGCCAATGGAGCCCCCGACCTGTGACAAGAGATATGATACGGAGTTCAATCTCTGGCCAGTGTGGTTGTTAGTAAGTGTTAGCTGTGTTGATGTCGGTTGATATGTTGGTCGGAGTCGGCTTGAGTTCGGCAGGATGGGCGACCGAGCGGGCGTGGTTTACTGGAAGGAGGTCGCCGACATAAGTGGTAGGCCGTCAGCTTTGTGGATATCGGCCTGTAAGAAGAAAAGACCTGCAAAAACGAAAACGCAAGGCTCCAGGTGCTCGAATATGCAGCGGATTCCGGCCGGAACGGGTCCAAAGCGGACACGGACGGCCGTGCCGTAGCTGATTTCAGGCAGTTGCTAGATCATGCCAGCAAAACGCGGCTGCTACTAAGAAATCTGACCGGTGCTTCTTGCTGGTTTTGTTGGGAGGTTTCTTGCGAAGATTCTTCATGGTCCCTGGATGTATGTTGGGAGTAAACGCCAATGGAGCCCCCAACCTGATCCAGAAAGGGCCAGGATGAACAAGCCCGGCGTGCAGTCATTGCCATCTTAACGATGGAAACTTTAAACTCATCGGCTCATTTCAGAGTGGCAAACTCGATGACGCAGATGTTTGAACACGTAACCAAACCAAAGACCCACCTTCCGTAGGACGATGCAAATTGCTTGACCAACGAAGAACGCTGGACTGCGCTCAGCTGACTTCAAAGCTCTCGGGAGAGCTTCAATGGGCCCGACTTGAACCGGCCAAAGACGAGCTACGACTTCAAGAGCCTCGCCTTCTCCTTTTGCAAAAGCAAGATCGACGCAGCAAAGAGCATTCCACGAGGTGCATCTTCGAGCACTCTACAGCAAGCAAGCTCGTCGCAGATTCTGACACTTCGAAAGTATACGGGAGAATTCAGGTCTTCTTACCTGACGGACGAAGCGCTTGGCAAGGCTGAGGCCCAGTGTCGAGACGCCTGCGCGCTGCATGCACCCCGTGGCAATACGCGAGTATGGCTCGAAGAGCTTCTCCTGTAAGGATTGGGCAGAACCGAGTATGGTATGGCTCGCGAGTCAACCAGCACGGAGCAAAGAAGCTCTCCCTTCAAGACTCAAGGAAAGGGACAGGGTACACTAGAAGGGCTTTCCGGATCAGGTTGTCCTGCAGTTACAATCCTGCTACTAGTAGGGCCGATAAGGCAGGACGTATGCTTGACCAGAAAGTGATTCCCAAGAAGTTCGTTAAGATAAGGAGGGGCGTTTGAAGCAGTGCCAAACCAACAGGGCCATGTCGACAGTGTCTCAGATTTCAGCACTGGAATGAACTACTTTGCAACCTCATAGCAACCGCGCAATAGGAATCGAACCCCAGACCCATTTGGATCCACCCTTGAGCTGCGAGGCTTGGTCTCAAAGCCCGTACCTGCTCCTCCTCGGTTATGGCTGGCCCCGTGTCCTTGACACTGATCCTGATCGTCGCAAACCCAACAATCGGCAGTTGCGCCAGGCTCTTGGAGGACTGCATCCGCCCGCTCCCGCTCGGGCTCAAACTCTCGTGCGACGACTCCAACGGATTCTTCTCCTTTTCCGGCGGAAGCTCCGTCACCTCCACTTCGAACGACCGTTTCTGCTCGTGCGCCCTCCGCGCCTCCTGCACCTTTCTCCGGGGGGTCGGCCGCCTGCCCCGATCACCCTCGAGCTCCCCCCCCTTGAGCTGCAGAATCGTCTCGTTCAGCCCCTTGCGCCGCTGCTTCCGGATCTCCTTCTGCATCTCGTCCTTCGTCTTCCCGTCCCGCACCTCTAGTTGCCCCCCTTCGTCGCCCTCAGCGCTCAGCTGGGGCGTGATCCCCCCGGAGCTCATCCTCCTCTCGATGCCCGCCGCAAGTGACGCAGGGTTAATGGCGTCCCGCGACAGCTTCACCCCCCCAATCCGATCCTGGAGTCCGTATGCGCCCGACCAGCCGGAATATCCGGAGGCAAGCGCAGCCGCAATATCTGCGGTGAGGTCGGGAGGGGTTGTGGCCGAATCGAGGCTGGTCCTACGGGACCGGCCTTTGGAGGGAGAGCTGGTCGTGGCGAGATCGAGGGTCGGATCCGCTTTTGGTGTCATGGGTGGCATTGCTGGGAGGCTCTCGTGGCGATTGACACCGCTGCCGGTGCTGCTGGTGATGCTGGGTATGCGGGCCATCTCGAAGGGGCCTGGAGGTAACGAGGATGCTAAACGGCAGTGAATGTGGGTACGATGGTTCGAGGGGACGAGTCGGCAAGTGAAATCGACGCAAAAGATTGAACGCGCGGGCCACCCTACCAACACTGAAAGAGCATATTTCTGATGAAATGATGGAACATCTGGGCGATCCAAGGCGTTTCAAGGCTTTTAGCGGTAGATAGAATTCCTGCATATGACTGGAAAGACCTACAGCAGCACAGGAGCAATCTAGGCGTCCGCTTCACGAGTCACACAACAGCCTTAGGACTGTGTCTGACAGACATCCACCCCAATACAGGCCAAAACGGACTGCAACTCAAGGCTACTTGACAGGCTTCGATCTTACCTACAGTCCGAGCAATGACCAGATGCTTCCTCGGAATACTCTATAAACAGAACAGAAGCAAACATACGCAGGCTCAAGTGGTCTCCGAGCACCTCTCTCCGAACACAAAGCGGATAGACAACATCGGAAGCCGACGAGTCCAAATACTGGTGCAAAGGTGCATCCAGATTTGCACTTTGGAAGTCACCACAACGAAAAGTGGACCTTTCATAACATCCAAATCTCCTCTCTACGCGCCTTTCCAAAGCTAACCGGGGCCAAAGTACAATCAACTGGCAAGCCACCCCAGATCCCATTAAACTCGCTGACATGGCTCTCTTACCTGCGGGTGATGGTGCGGACAAGGACCCCCCAGGCGTCTTCAGAGAGCCTCCCAACGCGTCTCCTGCGCCTGCCGAGTCTCCTGCACCCGACGTCTCTCCTGGAATTTGCAACTGCGTGGGCTTGTTCGCCTCCATTCGGGGACTTCGTTTCTCCATTAGCGAAGCCTCGGGTGCGTTGTCTTCTTCCCTGGGGCTCGTTTGGGCTGCAGAGTCACTCCCCCCCGGCTCTGAATCCGCCCCTCCCGACTCCACGTCATCCGAGTCGACCCTCTGCACCGCTGGCAAATCGACGAATGGATCTCCACCGGAAGGGCGCTCGAAAGACTGTCGGCTGCGCCGCCGTGGGGAATACATCCCGAGCCCGGACTTCTTCGCACGGGGTGTGAGGCTCACCTGTGAAAAGTAAGACAGAATCTGTCAAGCAGACCGGCCCCGTGACAAACAGAAAGCAACCCTCAGCTGAAAACGACGGGATCGCTTTACTTGACGCCGTTTTGATTACTTTTTTCTCGCTCACCCACCAAACAGCACGGCAATGACTTCAACGAGAAGGACCAAACTCTTGACACCTCGTGTTCGGGCAACGTCACATCAAAAAGGTCAAGCGTTGGTCGCAAGATTTGCCGCGTGAAGCTCACCTTTCGTGGGAGCATCTCCTCGGCAGACGACATAGGGTCGGACCCGACCGACATGCTCGGTGACGTATACAGGGGGTCGTCGGAGAGGGGGTGTTTCGAGTGGGATGACGAGTTGCGCGACGGCTTTCGCTCGGTGCGCACGATGCGCCACCCGATCGCGCCAAGCTGCTCTTCCTCGATCCACTCCAGATCTTCGCACGCCATGACGAGGTTGATCTCGCCGTTGCGGGGGGTGAGCTTGACCGCGTTGCTCAGGAACTGGCCCAGCACCTGGACCACCCGGTGCTTGTCCCCGACTGCAAAAGAGCGATCACTCTGCGGGTCAATTACGACAAACTAAGACGCCTCGGGGCAAGGCAAATGAAGGGGATTCGGAGAATGGATGAGGATTGCTGGCCATGTTTCAAACTTGAAGGACGCTTTCAGGTGAAGGGAGCCGTGCAGGCGTCGCAGCTAGTGGTCGAATGACGGGCTGCTCCTGCCAAGCTCAAACAAAAGGTTGTCCACTTATGCGGTGCGCAGAAAAGTCTCCTGAGCTTGCCTCTAAGGCACAGTTCCAACCAATCTATAATATAATCGAAATCCGTTCTTGCACTTTTTGCTCTCGGACCCTTGACGACTGGAAAAACTCTAACTCTGGAAAAACTCTCAATCTCATCAGCCTCACAGATCCGTGCAACTTGCATACGACCTCCGTTCAAAGTTCTACTATCGCTTGTTCAGTGGGTTTCTCGTTCAAACGCAGTCTTGAAAGCAAAGGAACTTGATGCACGCCGCTTACCTGTCTTGTGGCTGGACAGCACCGCTCGCGCGCGGGGGTCGATGACCATGCCGAAGTTGATGTTCTTCTGGTCGAGCAGATCGCGCAGGCCCCAGCTCAGGAAACGAACGACAGCCAGTAAATCAAAGTTGTCGGTGCGCAGGTCCAGCTTGTTGTCCTCCCATTGACCTGCGAGGAAGAAAGCAAAGCAGATAAGTCTTCGGTATAAGCTCAGTCAGCTTCAAATTTTGGCGAGCTCCTAACTTACTTAGATGTTCTGATTTCTAACCCTACCACCGAACCAAACCAGCTTCGCCCCACGCTGGCAACCTTCCAAGTCTTACCATTACATTCCTAAATTGAAGACCTCTCAGATACCCTGTTTGTTGGAGAACTTAGCCGAAGTTGACAGGGAACTTGACATAGACAAGCCAAGTCAGCTTACAGAACTTAAGCTCAAGGAAACGTCGCTCATTTGATCCACTGCAGAGGGCATTAAGGACAGACCAGAGGATGTGGGCCCGTCACAAGGAAGAGAGGGGCAAATGCGACAAGAAACTCGTCCTTACAAGGCGGACATAAGTAGGGCAGAACGCTTATTGGCGAGGCGTTAAAGTCAGGCCAAACATTCATTGCAACAGTTCAGCTCCCTGCAGCTTGAAAGTTCTTAGTGTCCCCCCTAACATGCCTACAGGGTTCAACCACTTGCCCGGCAGACAGAGTTGCGGTTTACAATCTAGCTCGCTTTCCTTTCATACTTCTTGACAATCAGCGTGCTCTATCTGTCCGTATCCAAAAACTCTGATTGCCGACCTCTTCTATGTGTAGGCTTTTGATACAAGACCAATCAGGGGACCATATGTCACATGCATCATGATACCTTATAGGATCCAAAAGAGCTTTGCAGCGCTTACTCATATCCGTGACGTCATCGAGGACGCTCGTCATCGTCTCGGCGCAGTCCAACATCATCTGGATCAGGTCCATCTTGTCCCCCGGCAGGGACTCGCCAAACTCGGCCGCGCGCATGTGTCCCAACCCAAGCACAATGGCGTTGAACGGGACTGGCAAACAGGAGGATGAACGTTCAGTGTTTCTGAGATTGGAAGATCTAAATCTTGAGTACCGAGTAAAGCTTGAGCGAACAGTACAGCGCTATTGGCCTTCCAAGGACACTTAAGAAATGGCTTCAGAAATTGGCGCTGCAAGGAAAAGAAAGGAGCTTTCGCCAGTGCATTTCAGAAGGGTCTGCCTCAAGGCCTCAAGACAACAAGGGACTTTGCCAGACCAGGACAATAGCCTGAAAAGAGCTCGAGTGAGCTGCAGACAAAGACGAGATGGACACGGTCAGCACTCATCATTTGACGTGAAGCCATTGAAGGCTGATGCCCAAGCGTCCTAGAGGCGCAGGAGGCAAACTCCTGGATAGGAATACGCCAATCCTTGCCAGAGCTGACTAGGGGTGAATTGCAATGACTCCTACCCATTCTTAGCAAAGACTAAGAACAATCAAGTCGTGAGATTCCAATGGCGACCCTTTCCAACCCCATGCATGGAGCACCTCAAGGTCCAACCTTTCAAAGGTGGCTCTAGCCTGTCAACTTTTGAAATGTAATCTTCAGCAAGGGTATTGATCGTTGCGTATGTGTTGAAAAGCAGCCACACACCTCGGATGTTGTGGAAGACATAAGCCATGAACTGCTGCTTTGCTCGTGTGGCTGTCTTGGCGCGCTCCATGGCCCTTCTCTCGGAACGCCGGCTCGCCAACAGATCGTCTTGCTCTCGCCTCTCAGCACGATGCTGCATTCAGAAAAAGGAATCAATACTTACTCAGGATGGAGTCAATTGTTACACATTCACCACAATGAAACAGCCAGAAGGCTGCTTGAAGTTGCTAAAAAGTGGCAGCTCTCCAATGAATTGCTTCCGATGACCCTTGAAAACTGAAAACTGTCCGGTGTTCAATACATCTACGAAAGCAGAGTTGTTCTTGTCCAGGATGAAGAAGGATGGATCTGCTAAAAAGTGAAAGATTACATAACTGTGAAAACATTGCAAAACCTGGAAAAGTCCAGATAAACAAAACTACCCCAGCAAGCTTGAGATAGAAACACGGGGTTTCAGGATTTCCCACTCTCGTAGCAAGTTATAATGGCTGAACAATACAGCCAGTAAAAAATAGCAGCTTGCCCATTATAAAGAGGATCAACCAAGAAGCCCTTCAAAGGGTTCCTTCTCCTATCATCATGGCAGCCACCACCTTTGAATAGCCCCAATTGCTGACCAAGTATCACCGTGTCCCTGTGCTACAGTTTGTACATGCACCTTCTCTTTGCAGTTACTAACGCTGTGAACAGCACAACCTTACAACAACCTTCAAAATAATCTAGCTAAGTAGACACATTGGTATCAACCCCTGTCACAAGCAGGCAGCCAACCAACCAAGCCATCTGAAAGTCAATCTGTAGAAAGACCTGTGCAACTTCCGAACCCCTTTTGACTTTCAAGAACTTACGTTTCGGCAATCATAGCAAAAGTCATACCTCAAACCCCTTCTGACTTTCGAGAAATGGCCTTTCAGCACTCGTAGCAACACAAGGCCCAACAGAAAGCCTGTGCACGTACCTGCGCCTTCTGGACCGCCCTCCTGTTGTCCGTCACGTACGCTCCAACGAGCGCGGTGATCAGGACGGCTAGCAGTGTAACCAGCCCCTGGCCCGCCATGCTGCCGAAGATCCACCAGTCATGGCCGTGGGAGGGGGGGTGCGCTCGCTGCCCTTCGTACTCCGATAGAAGCTGGCTGTTGATCTTGATGCTGGAGAAGAGCAGCGAGAGCATGAACCCCGCGACCGTCATGCTCGCAATCGCCACGAGACTGAAGTAAAGGAGCTGTGTCCGCAGAGACGCCCGCACAAACTGCTCCGCCGTCTCGTGGTCGTATAGGATTAGCTCCGCCTCGTCTTCCAGCGCGCCGCTGCCCTGGCCAATCAAATTCAGCAGAACGTTGTGGCGGCTTCTGGACATCTTCCCGTCAACCTGGTCGCTGACCATCTGCATAAACTCCTGGGAGCTCGTAGAGGGAGTGTCCAGATCGCCAGACATCGTCTCGGACGCCATGTCTGCAAACCCCTCCAGGTTTTGGGACGTCTCGGGGACCATGGTTGGGAGCGGCCGAAACTCGCCCTTGAACTCGGACGTGAAATCAAACGACGGCCGCTGGTCGTCCCCCATCTCAAAGGAAGACCTGACCGAAGCCAAGTCGGTGTCGATGCTGTCATTGTCGGAGGAGGATCCCCGGTCCTCCATCTTCAGACGCTCCTCATCCATCCCACCTGTTGGCGACTCTTCAACCCAGGACGTGACGCGTTCTATCCGTTGCTCCAATTCCTCACAACGCCGCGCAGGCTCGTCATCATCTGGAGCGTCGCACCGGGCACGAGCCGAGCTCCAAGCAACACCAACCGGAAAAGGGTGATGCGCAGGCTTTTCACCAACCGGACTGTGCAAACCTCCGGCGGAAAGAATGGACACGGGGGTGGCTGGGGCTTCTGGCGTGTTCCGTCCCAAGCTCTGCACTGATCCCAATGATTGCAACAGGTTTCTGCTGTCTTCTTTCCCCTCCGTTCGAAGCAGGAGCTGCCCTGACTTGCTGCTCTGGTTTCGTCCTAAATTGGATTCCAGACGCCCCTGTTCAAAGTCCGTCTCGCGCCTCTTGTTTGTAGTCAACCCCTCGAGATCCAGATTGTCTCCCTCCAGACTTTCAGCCCGCCCCAAGTCCCTCCGCTCTCTTCTGATTACAGGCGGGGCAAGCTCTGAATGGCCGCTCCAGTGTTCCTTCCCGGAGAGAGCCCTCACTCGGTCTCCAGGCATGGAGGAGACCAGTCTTGCTACCTCTCTGGGTCAGCCATCAGAGTTCCCCCGGATTCATTGAGAATCAAGTCCTCCTTTCAGCCATGGCACACATTCTGCATTTAATCCAAGGAGGGGTTTAGCACAGGCCAGCGTAGGGATGCAAAGAGCCGATACTGGAGTTCTTTTTAGTCTTGCTGGCTCAACAAGTCGAAGTTGCCCGATGCCGCTGAGAATCCGGTCCTCCTATCAGCATGAAGAAGATTTGCATAGAATTCACAGAAGACCGGGAGTGGTGCATACAAATGCAAAGTTTGAAGTTTCAAAATGCTAAGAAGCTTGAACGTAGTGATTGAAAGTCCCCCAGCATCATGACAAGAGTAGGTCCTCCTCTCAGCATGAAAAAGTCCTGCAAAAGACTTTGCAAAAGCTCCGGAGGGATTTGCAAAGACCAGCATACAGATGCGGATAGACAATTTCCAAAATGCACAATCAAGAGACCGGTTGGAGCACTGCTTTAAAACTGTGCTTTCCTTTGGTGGTGGATACAGCAAGAATATTACTACTTACGAGCATAAACCGCTGACTGCGATACGCACAATCAAAGAGAGTTGATTAGCAAAGGTAAGAATTGGTGATCACGGGTCCCTTATCTTGCTAGCAACCAAAATTCATTGCTGATGGGTTCATTGTCATACACACTAGGACTGCCCCTGTGATTGCATTACCTCGGGTTTGTACAATTGACAATTAACTTTCAATCCCTTGAAAATCAACCAGAGCTCGCCAGCAATGTTCAAAATACCATGGAAATTCTCTTATGCAAGCTTCTCCACTTCCCATGAGGAAGAACTGCCAACCTCTTGGGCAAAATCCTCCAATCAACCCATTGCAGGTTGTATGATTCTCATTGAATAAGCAAAGAGAGTTCTTCTGAGAGTTGAAGGATGTTCAATCATAAAGATACTATGATGGATCTGGCTTCTATCACCTTTTCAATAATCAAAACCAGAAAAACATTTGAGCGACCTGAACAGCAGAGTTGTTGCAACTGCGGGAGGCCCACTCGCGATGAAAGTAAACGGTTATGGGAGACGCCAAATATCCCAAATGACGTTTCTCTCATAAAACACGTTAGCAAGCTTGCAACCATTGCTACTATTACCCATTCCTACCTCTGTCCACTTTGCGGTAGGAATCCAGCCAAATCATCTCCTCCGTGTTAGTCACGTGCTTATGGGAACAACAAAAACAGGCTCGGGAGCGTAGAACACAAGCTCTGCATGCCCTTCCACGCTTGCAATGGCGCTCAAGGACATGGATAACGCATCCCCCATTCTCAGCACGATGAAAATGGTCCCAAAGCAACAATTGCTCCAAACTTCCAGGAAGGCTGACAAATTAAAGAATCCATGTTTTTGAATGGTTGTTTGGCCGAAATGAAGGTCTCACCTTCCCCACAATTTGCTGGTGTCTTTCCCTTGCATGCAAGAAAGAAACGTCCCTTTGCGTCCGTGCGAGCTTCTACACTTGGACAGTCTCCAAATCAGCAGCGACGCCCCAGCTTACATAGGAAAACAGTTGCTTCTCCGTGCCAGTTAATGGGTGCTTCTTCCCAGTTTGGTGCCCTTGCAAATCCTGTGACCCGGTTGGCATAGACAAGTTTCTGCAGCTCTCATGGCACGGTAGCCCCTTCTTCTCCTTCCTCTCTCGATTAAGTGCGTGCAGTCAACCACATGAATGGTGGCGGCGCCTTCTGCTACGTGGCGGTGCGAACAAAACTCATTCTGTACAGACTTCCTCTGTTCGACGCGTCACTTTGAGGGAGTGAATCAGACCCCCCTGGAAATGGCTTCCATTTCCATTATGCTCGGTAAGCGGGTATATGTGCACGTTAACAACCTCCAAGTCCAGCCTGCCGATAGGATGAAAGTTATTGGCAAGGTGCACAAGTCGTAGCTTCCGCGAATGTATTCATCATTCAAGCAGTTTCCTGTCGATTTATTTTGCAAATATTGGCTTTGTAATTTCGCAAGATCATCAGCAGAATATACATGAGAGTAAGAGCTATCTCTGGGGACCTGGCTGTGCTTCGATGTGGTCAGCCAGGGGACCGTCGAAAGAGATATTTCAATTCCGGTGGATGCGCACGCGTCACGGTTGAACTCGTCAACATCTGTGGTCCATCAAAACTACGGACCAGGGTGCTGGTACCGGACAACAAAGTACGTACCTTGGCCAGCTGGTACGGAACCCACGAGCACTTTATGTACCGGAAAAGGTTCGGTTGGTACCGCCTCTGGTACGGACGAGTTTGGCAACTTGGTTCAGTGTGCACGGTGCGCAGCGCACGCTAGAGTGTTCGTTTTTGCTGACGAAAAGGGCGTGCCACCCACTTTCACCGGTGACGGCGGTTTACCGGCCTTTCTGCATTTCTACCGGTAAAGCAAGCAGGACAAAACCGGTAAGTTCAGCCTGGACGCATACGCTTGTTTTTGGCCGGTTTTCCAGCCGGAGGAATTTATGGGCACCGGTGCATCTCTCATATCTGCCGGCCAGGTCCGCACCGGCTCGTCGCAAGCACTGCTGACGAAACACGGTTCATCTGACCCAGTCCTTCAATCCGTTGGCAACGGTCCAACTTGTAACCATCGGCATGTCTGTGGTCATGCCAAGTGGCACAGGGCAATAATTAGGGGCCCACCTCGGAAAACTAGAGGCGAGACTGCGAAGGGATCACCTCCAGTCTCCAAGCTAGAATTCGTAAATCCTGGGGTCCTCGGAATGATCTCCCTGACAGTGATCATGTATCGGTCGGACTGGTTGCTCCAATATGACAATTTTCCATGACCAAAGAGCTAGGAAGGAGGATCAAAGAGGAAGAAGACGACGCTCGGTTGCTAACCAGGGCCAATCCTGGTGCTTGAATGCAAGTGAAGCTGTCGCGGCATCCCGAAAGAATCATCGAGCTGCTTAGGGCTTTCAACGGACTTCTTCCGCAGCGGCAGGCACCCCACATTGTTCACATTTCTCATGGGTCGTGCCCAGTAGCACTAGAAGTTGCGTAGAATTTGTCATATTGCCCGGCACTGACAGGGACAGATCTACCAGCCGATCAGGCCACATCCTCACACAAGAACAAAGGGAGCGTAGCGCGATCTACCGACTTGCCCCTTGGAGAAGTCAAGTGACATTTTTCTGGTCTTCTTCCCTTAGAAAAATCCTTACGAAAGTAAAGCCAGCTTACACAATGCCCTTCTTTACGACGTGTAACCAAGCGTCCGGTTCCACTTGGCTCCGCTCGAGGCAGTGGCCTTGACAACGACTGACACCGCGCCCAGCTTTGGGGGTGTGACCAAGCACAATGTGCGGCCCTTGTGTCAGGAGCTGCTTCAACCTCTGCCTGGGGAACACGGGCCACAAAAACATCCCGAACAAACTTACATCCCTCCGGAAGATCGAGGGGATCCAACTGGAAGCGTTGAGTGCGGAGAAATGTAAAAGCGGGGCCACCGTAGCTGCCCGCGAGTTGTGGACGGAGCAGGTGTGCTTGTTCCTACTTATTAGAAGGCCCGGGTAAGTCTAAATTTGGACTTATATCTGAAATATTATACCGAGACATGCAAGGATATTGTTTGGAAGCACGTTGACTACCTTGTGCAGAATGGGGCCGCTTTGACAGTTTAGGGTATAACCCCAAATGTTCTTGGTCACCGTTTCTGGTCAGTAGCATCTGTACAGTTGTTTCAACAATTATGTTTTGAAAGCGCCTGGTAAAGAGCTCGAGCACAACAACAGAAAGGTCACAATGAACGCGCACTTCAGACTCATTCTTCTCACCCAGCCCTACCCGTTCCTAATGGGGTGGTCGTTTGGGAAGGGCGTTGACGGACTCCCCGCCCACGATAACCTGGAATCCCGTGTTTGGTTCTTCTGATCACTCTACTTGCATTTTGAAGGAGTTCGTCAGCGATACTGAGGGCAAAGTCACGACCGTAGAGCTTGGGATTCAATCAGTGTGACGACCTTTCGAAAAGTGCGTTGTTTGACTCCCTGCCGTGGATCGCAAGGGTCATCAGTGACTGGGTCGCAGTTCTTCACTCGTCCGATCACTTTGTACAACCGTCCCGCACGCGACTGTAACTTTTCATGAACAAGGAGCAATGCTAGAAAGGTTGGTGGCCCTGAAGGGAAAGAAAACCCCGAGGATTTGGCAGGGGCTTCCTGCAAAAAGACTCGTTTAGATGCCTGCCTGAACCCCCAAATCGACTGCCAGCGTCCCGTAGTCCGATTTCTTGACAGCTCTGCCCTGCGATGCTGCAGGGAAAGCACGTGCCGCGCCCATGCCAGGAGCGTCTGGAAGCATTGGGACGAGTTTACGGACCTCGGCGTGCGCCTGGTCTGTGTGGTGAACGAAAATATTCCGGGGGAGGTGAGCTTTTCATGATTCAATATTTACAATTCTCCATTCCGCACTTTCTGACCTTCAACTTTGCTTTTCCTGATCTCCCCCGTAAGCTGAAGGCGTTTCCTTCCTCAGCTTTCCTGGGGCCATGTGAACAAGGTTCCAAGCTTTTTTCGAGAGCTCCGTTGTGAATGCTGTGAAAGAGTTGCGGCCCTCTATATCTGCTGTCGGTTCGGTCTCTGCAACCGCGCAATGTTGTCCAGTTCTTCACCTCATGTCTCTTGGTGCGCGGAATATCCTGCAAACATTCATCTTCACCAGAACGTTCGCTTCTGAGAATTTTGTGCGTTCCCTGTCCTTTATCCGGCCCTGCGAAAGAAAGTCTTCATCTGATTCTCTTTTCAGTACGGTTCAGTCTGACCCGCTAGCTTCCTCGGTTGACTAGATTCTAATACTCATGAGGTTTCTCTTCCTTTCGAACCGTTCTTGTCCTGGCCTGTAACACCTGCTCTCTCTTGTCGTCAGCAGAGTCCCTTGGTATTCGATCGTCGGATCTTACACGTGATAAGTCTTCGCCAGGCGATTCAGCTTTCAGATGCACAAACGCACATAGACACACACGCAATTCTGCCGACCTGTCCGTCGGCCGATGCTCTTGATAGAATCAAGATGGCTTATGCATAGTGGCGACTCCCAACGCTTATGTTCACCTGGGGGTCTTCGCAGGTGGAAGCCTTCAAGGAATTCTGGGGAGGCGACATCTTTTTAGGTACATTACTTGACTGCCGTCCCCAAAAGGATAAAGTCCGAAACTGCGTTGAGAAACTCAATGAGCGTGACTTATTGACAGTCCTTGCCAGGTCCTTCCGCGGGTCTTGCCAGGACTTAGTCTTGACACGTCAGAAAGCCGCAACTTGCGATCCCGGAGTGTTTATCAGGATTGGGCGAGACTCGAGCTCGGTAGTCGGTTTTGATGTCGGTGTCCACGTGCATCCCGCTGATATCAGAATTTGTGTTTTCGAAGTTTGTCGACCCTTTTTGAGAAGTCCACAATGTGCTTTTTGCTCCCTCCTTGAGAGGGCTCACAGAAATGGTTGACTTTCCTGCGCATCAGCGCATGCGTGTGCAGCAGCTTCATCCGCACCTAGACTCAAGTCGAGTTGTGCGCCTTCAGACCCTCGCAAAAGCTGGTTCAATCTGCGCGTTTAGTTTCTCGATACTCTCATAGGAGCTCGACCTCCAAACGATTTTGAGCACTATGCAGTACTGTAGAGGTCTCCGAGCAACAGATCACTGATTCCATCGTTGAAGTCGTGTCAAAGCGCCTAGGATTCAGACTGAAAGAACGACTCTTTCTCAGAAAGCCGCTCTCTCCTGCTCATAGTAGATTATAAATTGTTTCACGGCACCAGCACGCTATTGTGAGGGGTAATTCCCCCCGTCGTGCCTCCACAGATGGGCGAAAGTCCTTCTTCAAAGCGTTGTGGGGAGGGCGACTCGCAAAGGGCGGCCTCGTTGGCTTGGTCGCCAACCCCCGGGTAAGTCTTTATGGTCGAAACGGCGGAACCTCAACACCATTATTTCAAATGCCTTATTCAGCAATTTAGATCTGCAATTTTGATCATGTTTCGTCCAATTATCTGCATGCGACGCTTTAGCAGGCTCGCCAGACCATAAGTCGGTCGCGGCATCCACAAGCATTCGTGTACGTCCGATTGCAAAGCCTTTGGAAGACGTGGCTCAATTCTCGAAACCTCCTTTGCACTGGAAAATCCAGGGGTTGTTTTTTCTCGGATTTTTGTTTGTCTGACCGCTGTTGGACGTTCAGTCTTGTTTAGACTTCTGATTCTGTCCGCATGTCACGTCATGGACACTTCAGCCGGCCGCAATGACATCCCTATCCGCCCGGGCTTTGACGGAGACCAGCTCCGTCCATTCTTATTCCCAGACAGTTCTTCTTACTACCCGCGGGTACTAGCAAGAAATGCCACTGAGCATGCAGAATCTCTTCTGAACACTTTCCTTGTTGTCATCGCTTCTTTCGAAAGCCGTCAAACCTGCCGCCACTTTCCAAGTGGCGCTTTCATTGGGCATTTTTCGTCGCCACCTCTTCCTTAGCATTCGCGACGTCGCCGCTATGCAGGCTTCCCAATCGGTTGACGTCATCATGGGCAGATCCCGCTGATGTCACTTCTTTGTCACGAGCCCTTACGGCTATAGTCACTTGGTTTCGATGTTGTCGCTGGAAAGGCCGAACCCATGATTCACTTGCCGACTTGTAGTTGACGCCCGTGACGTCATCTCCGCCTGGACCTCTGACGTCACCGGTTTGCCTTCCCCAGGTTTTGTCGCACCAGTTCACGGCCATGACGAGAAACCGCGTTCCAGGCAACCTGGTGGGGAATGGCCTGTGAGTCGAAATTTCGCGGCGCTCTCAATTATGCTGAGCCGTTCATTTCAGATCCAGTCACGCTGACATCGACGAGCATTCATACTCTTTGTTTGACGCCACTGCGGGAGACTCGGTCGGAGATACTTCTTATGTCACACGCTCAAGCTCAACCAAAAAGCTCGTTGAAGCATCGTGTATCAGCATTAGAATTGTGGTATCATCAGGTCGATTAGAGAGTCTTAGGACGTCCAAATCTGTTTGTAAACACTCGAGGCCACTGGTCAACTGGCAGATACAGGAATGTCTTCTAGTCTGCCGGTGCGGTTTGTGCAGGGTTAGAAAGGCGATCCAGACAGGCGCAATATCTGCACCGAGAAAGTTGCATCAGAGGAGGCGAGGCTTGAGGTGCCAAGTGCGATCTGCAACACTCAGCCCTCGAGCCTTTTGACCACGTCAGGATAGAGGGTCAGGGGTGTTCCAGCTAGGGTCAGGAAAACGCCAATCAATGACGAATCTGGAGTGTCCATATCAGACGATGGGGGGCGATGTTATGCCGTCCCTCCGACGCAGTTACGTGCTTCTGCGGTTTGCCTGGATTTTCTTTTCGCTGACCCAGCACCACAGGGACAAGGGCTGCGTGTACGTGAAAAAGCAGGCGAGCGCAAAGAGAAAAGATTCTGCTTAACCCACCCAACCGTCAACTGCGTGATGAAAGGCAACGAAAGTGACGCGTTCATTCAACCTATCAACCTTACTGCAGGGTCAAGGGCGGCGTCTGCCTAGAAGGTTTGGGCGAGCGTTGCGGGTCAACTTTGAATGTTCCACTCAACCATCAAAGCTGGGCAACAGTCGCAAATTTGCAGAACGCATCCTAATTAACCGGGTTTATTGCAGGGGTTAAGTTTGGGGTCAAATCCCTTTCACCTGCCCAGCCGTCAGAGTCTCGGCGAACGCTCGCACGTTTGGCAAAACTCATTCAGATCACCAGGGGTTGTTGCAGGGTCAAGGGCGGGAAGCAGTGGGGTCAAGTCCTCTTCAACCCGCCGAGCAGTTAAAGCCCAGCAGTTAAAACTGGGCGAACAGTCACAGATTCGCCCGTGACTATCCTAATCACTAGGGGTTATTGCAGGGTTAAGGGCGGCGTGTACATAATAGGCCCTGGCGACAACGGTGTCCTCTACCAATTCCGGGAAGTGACTTTCGGCGACCAGCCGACCATTGAAGCCCTTTTGGAGGTGCGCGCTCCTTCCTAAATTTGTTTTGGATCACTGACTTTACAGAAAGTTCCTTGAAAGCAATTCCAGACTGTCTGTCGAAACCGATGCCGACCTTGGAAGTGGCCATTAGATCCTGTCAACCGCCTACGTATTCTGCATTCAGCCGATGAGCTTATTCATTCTTGAAGAACCCAATGGGTCGATGCACGCTTTGAGGACGTTGTACAGAAGGGCCCCTCTTGGGATTCCCCGTCTCATGTGGCAGACTCAGATCACCGGTTTCTGCTTTACGTTGCCGACAAAGTTAACACTGCCAAAGCTTCGACGCTGGCGGACGCTGGCGTCAGCTGTTAGTCTGTCGACCGTATGTCAACCAGACAGTGTCAAGAAACTTTGTGCCAGCCAGATTTTGCAATTCAACTTCTCTGGAGGTTGTTGGGGGCTGGTTCATTTGATCGGCGATCAGAATTTCCGTTCCGAGCCATTGGTATTCATCTTTTTGACTTTCAGGTTTGCGAAGGGTTTGCCTATCAAACCCCGGGGGACCATTTGTCGATACCGCCCACTCCCTCCGTCTACCTTTCCCCGGTGGAAGCGCTATCAGTGCCCCCGTCCCCCGCTCCGGTACGTGCCTTCCATGGGAGTCTTTCGGATGATAAGCTGGAAACTTAGAAAAAGTGCGGCCCTTACTAGTTCGGTTGACCACATACAGGAGCTTGGGTATCACGCCAAAGTCCGATGGTTGAAAACATCATCCGGCAAGCCTTAAGACGTGTGCACACTTAGAGGAACCCGGAAACAAAGAACGTAATCTTACAATCATACATGCGGATGCCGACACTGTAATATGCAGATGAAGGTGCCGGTGCAGGTCTTAACCACGATATACGCAGCTTCAAAGATGCTAGAGCCGCAGATTTTGAAGTTGTTTGCACCGCGTATTCGGGATCATGTCGAAAACCTCCAAGACCTTTACATAACCTGAATAGCTAGTGCGGCAGGCTGGCAAGCAGCCTAGCTAGCACGGGTATGATTGCATCAGAGTTTGCTACAATTAGACAACATATTTCGCTTCGCAAGATCCAACAAAGAGCCTGCTTTCTATTTTTAGCTTTGATAAGTTAACATTGAGCCTGCTAGCCCCGTCAGACTTTCTAACTTTGCACAAACTTACCTTTCAGTAGTTGGAGTATACAGGGCGCTTTCTGACAAGTTCAAATGTTCTTGGGCATGTCACTGTCGTTGCAGTTCATTGTCATCCGAGTCTTATGCAACGTATCCCTCCATATCATGGCAATATAGTACATATGTATACTTGCATCAGTTCGGAGCATGTTGCTGTACGAAAAAAGTGGACTGCAGTACTGCGTGGCAGTGACGTCACTGCCACCGTCGCCGCCCTGGCAAACCCGGCGCGCCGCGCGGCCCGTCCCGGCATCACTGGCACAATTGCAACCGGCCGGTCCGCGGCCACTATAAGTTGGGCGGCATCACGTTGCAGTTTTACTAGTTCGCGGTGCGACGCCGCGTATTCGATCTGCGACGGCGACGGCCGGTACGTACAGAGCTAGCTAGAAGCTGCTGCTGCTGCTAGATGCACTGACAGAGATCTGCAGTGCAAGCTGGTACTTACTAACCGCGAGTCCAATAATTCAACTTGCATCATGCAAGTTGAATTGGGCCACACATGGCATATACGTGCGCTCGCGTTCTTGTACCAACTTACATACCGTAATGATGGCATGCCAGGCATTGCATGCATGGCCGGTGCATGGCAGCCATAGGGGGGACTAATCAATTGTTTAGTAGTATACCGCGCCGATGCAGTGGCAATTTTTATGCCATCATGCAAACATGACACGTAAATATACCAATTAATAAAACCGTCTTATCTCAGATTCAATGAATTGAACAGCTTACCATTCAGAGATTGAGTTTGAACATGTCTGGATCAACATCCCGGCTAAACATCCCTTAACGATCCGTATCTCTATGATTCCGACCAACTTCAAACGTGCAACGAACTGCGTGCCACGAAAAAACGCTAACTCCGAGGCTCGCGCTCAGCCTGGCAATGCATATGCGCCAAGAGCAGGCCACCCTACTGCAAGCCGTTGGTCCGGTTGCTTCAGTCGGATATCAAAGATGGTTGTGGAGGGACTAACGAGAAAAACTTTGTGAGTGAAGCACGCTCTCAGGACGACGTATGTACATCAATACACATAGATGCCGGACTGCAACTAACTCTTCTACTCTCGAGCGTCCCCTACCCGTGCCTATGACGTCATCAAGCATGGCAATATGCGCGGTCCTCGAAATCGGGACTTGACCATCAAAAACGGTCTACGCTCTCTAGGTTAGTCTCTATAACCTACATGCCCGCCCCGCATCAATGATGCTTCGCCCCCTTCTTGTCCTTCGCCAGCGCGAGCGCCAGAAGCGCCAGCAACCCCCCGGAGATCAAAACCACCGGAACCGCGCTCTGTGTGCTTTTCGCACCCTTCTTGGCAGCCCTTGCGGCGGTGGGCTTACTCTTAGGCTTACTCTTGGCGTCCGATTGGAACTCGATCAAACGGAGCTCGAACCACTTGTTCGACTTGCCCGCCCGGAGCTTGTGGACTTGGCCGAGGTTCGCATACACGAGCCCGTCTTTTAGTGTGATCGCAGTTGCCGGCTCTGAGGACTTGAGCGAGACGGTCTCGACTAGCTTGGCCGAGGCCCAGTTGTCCTGGCAGAAAACAAGGTCAACGAGAGAATCAGAAGGTTAACGAAGTTAACCGACTCACTAAGGTAACCCGAAGCTCTTGAATTGCGCTGAGCAGTGTTTGTACCTCAACTTTTGGATTTGACGTCTGGAAATGCGCAAACGACTGCATATCTCAAGCATTACGTCAGCGGCCACTCCACAACCTCACAGTCCGAAACTCTTGCATCCGGAAAACACTCCATAACCTGTAATTGTCGGCAGTCTTTTGAGTCCAGAGCTCTGCATCTGAGACACTCCAAAGACTTGTGACTTGTTGGCGGTCTTTGGGGCCGACACTTTAGAAACGAGTATCCCACCAGATTGCAATCTGATCAACACTCTGATAATCAACGCTACACTGAAGTCAGTGCCACGGGCGATCATTCTCGTACCGCCAACCGGACAGGCCCCCTGTTTGCAGATTCGTCGACTGGTCTGCCGTTGAATGTGTAAGTCAACTTTCCAAAGAACAGACATGATAGACAAGGAAAACTTCTCGAGCACAACAAAGAACCAACCGAAGAAACATAAGAGGAGGCCCTCACGTTGCTTTCCACGAGGTGGATGCCAAAGACGCTCGCGGCCACGAGCTTTCCGTCGGGCCGCAGGACGATGCCGTCCACTCCCGGAATGGTCTCGTCGAGGTTTACTACCGAGACAGTAACGGCGGTGCTGAAGAGGGAGAAAGTGACCTGAAAGAGCAATGAAATTGGGTTTAACTTCAAAGTGTCATTAAGAATTGAGTCTTTTTACGAGGTCTGAAAGAGGATATGTGTCCTAAGGGAAAAGCCGTCGACTCCCGGTATGGTGTGGTCAAAGTTTACTACCGAAACAGTGACGGCGGTGCTGAAGAAGGAAAATGTGACCTGGAATAAAGAGGGGAATAACTTTTGGTGTTACACATGGGCGTCTAGGGGGACATATAGGATGGCGATGCGTTCACAATTGCGAAGAGGGAGACTCCCGTCCACTCCTGGGTTGGTCGCATCTGAGAGACAGTGACAGCGGTGCTGAAGAGGGAGAAAATCACCTGGGGAAACGAAGATGAGTGTGGCCTACAGTTAGCCCAGTGTCGTTGGGACTCGAGTCCTTTCACCAAATCCAACAGAGAAATACTGTCCCAAGAAAACGCCGTAAACATTTTGGGATGGTCTTGTCGAGGTATACCACGGAGATGTGAACCTGCTGATGAAGAAAAAAGATGTACCAGCGCTGATCACGAAAGAAGATAATAACCTGGAGGAATGAGCTTTTGGGTCAAAGTGAACCCAGTATTCTTGGGAGGTGAGAGATCAGACGCATTTGCTTGTCTCAAGAAAAAGCCGTCCGACTAGGATAATCTCGTCGAGATTTACCGCCAAGACAATGACAGCACACTGAAGAAGGAGAAAGTACCCCTAATGAAAATTTCAAGTTAGTTACATCACGTCGTTCGAAGTTGATTGCATACCAAAATCCGAAACAAGGTTCAACAGAACAAATGTCCGCTCCCGCACTGGTCTTGCAAAGATTTTCAATGGTCTTGCAAAGACTTTCGGTAGTAAGTCTCGCAAAAGCAAGTATTGAGGGATGACGCCGGTACTGAAGAGGGAGAAAGCGAGATGAAAAAAGGGGTTGACTTTGAACTCGTTCCTCTTTCGATTGGGGCAACACGTTTGAAAGCGACTGTCTTCACCATTCCGAAATGAAACATTTTGTCTTCGTTTGCACACAAGAAAATGACGGCGCAACTGAAGGAGAAAGTGACTTCGAAGAATTGACTTTGTTCAATTAAGGTTACCTTGAAGGTCGTTTGTAGTGACATCATGAACTGGAGCATGCAATTGAGGGGAAGCTTCATCCCCTTAAAAATGCCGTCCACCGAAGGGTGATAAAAGTTTACCCAGAACTGAAGCGAGTGCTGCTGAAGGTGGAGGAAAGTAAAGTGGAATCCAATGTGATGAAGTACAGCTAAGTGGCCAGCAAGATTTTGAGGTTTTTAGAAAGGATTCCACAACGGGGCGGCGAGGGGCGAATGAGCACTGATGGAAGCAGGTAAGGGACATGACGTGCGGAAAAGTCTTTTTGATGAGCTTGCGCCCATTTGCATTGGTATCACAGGCTGTTACCGGCATCGTGCTCAATCGTTGGGATCCTAGAAGGCATTGCCAAACCAAACCACCAACTCCTCGAAAAAAATATTTTGGACGAGTTGAGATTTCCAAAACCCAGGTTTTTGGACCATAGTGTGACCCGATTTGTCAGAGACCTTCTTATCTTACCAGATCAAAGCCTGATTTGGCACTTCTTTATGAAGTGAAAGGAAAGTGGTCATGCGTACAACCAAGCAACAAGGAAGAAAGGTTTCACTCCATCGTGCGGTCCAGATTGGGAGATGTGTAGCAGAACGAAGTGATAAGGTCAAGAGACATACCTTAAAAAGGGCCCCTGCGCTCGTGTGACCGACCAGGAGGAATCCCTTGGGGTGGTACTCGATGCCGTTCAGACCCACTGCTCCAAGGTCTGGGACCTGCAGAAATAGCAGATAGCACTCTTACGAAGTTCTTCTCTAAATCTCCATTGGGATGCAGAGTTCAATACAAATGCATATGCCCTTTCAATACAGGCTGTGCCGCTCAACTGGCATTTTGCCCCATGCCTTGATTGCAAGGCTTCGATAAGAGCTTGACCCGCCAAACAAGGTTCTTCTTCTGAAAGCAACCACAGCGCAAAATGCTAGGTCAACACGTTCCCTGCTCTCCTAAAAAGTGCCTCGGTCAACCTGTTTGCAAGGTAAAAAAGCTCAGAACGGATTCAGTGATCAGCTCACCTGGTAGACGTTGGGCAGGGATGAGAACAAGGGGTCCGCTGTCAGGACTGATGCTGCGCCGTCCGTTCCCACTTTCCAGATTGAGTTGCCCAGGGTGTTGGTTACATAGAGGTTGCCTGCAGGATGGGCCGTACACAGACAGTTTAAGATTCGAGGGTTTTTGGTTATTAGGGTTTTCATGTGATTAAGGACCAATGAGTCCCGCTTCCCAAGGAACTCTATTTTTCTTGTCCCAATACATCTATGTCATGGTGATATCAATTCCAGATGTTAGTTAAACAAAATCAAGCCATGGACTGTGAACGGCACTGCAAACACTACTGGAAGACATCAGTCTGGGATGCCTCAATTTGGACCGCTCTGATTACCATCCTCCAAGGAAGGAACTTTGGTTCCTCTTAAAGTGCGCAGCTCTAGTCGTGGCCACTTGATCATAAGATACCCCATGCTGAAAGGGGTTGAGCTTTTTGTGCTAGTTTCAGAAAAATGGCACCTCCTTGTGTGTGGCATCACCCTCATTGCAACTGAAAATATTGTCCCAGACTAAGGCGGAGGTAATTCTCCCCAGGAATGCATCATCAATTGAATCGAAAACACTGCCACAGCTTGATGACATCCTCAATGTGACTCCACCGATCGCGATCCCCTGAAGTTTGCCAACCCTTCGTAGCAACAAATCCCCAGCCAGTAACTTGTGATTGATTCTGAAACCATCATGCAGCGCGTGCTGCCAACGAAAAGGCACTGCAAGAATGCTCACCACATTTTAACCCAAGAAAGCTGGCTATGAAAGCTGATGCTTGAAACCAATCAAAACTTCGTGAATAAGTCCATTTGAACCACAATTGGTAAATGCTGACTGCATGCATCTGTGCATGCACATCCTTCCCTTCTTTCCATGCACAGGTCCATCTGAGGGTGACTTTCTACCCCTTCCATTCTATCCCCCACCTTTTGCATCAATGGCAACATCATTTGCCACAGCCGGGGGCTTCAAATAATCCGAGTCTTCGGGGTCTCCCAAGGGCTCCGGAGTAACCTCATCCAGCCTCGTGAACAGCACCCTGTCAGCAGTGTCCAGATCATACCCGACCACAGCGGCGTAGATTTCATCTGGAGACATCGAGGAAACTGCTGCAACCACCCTGTTTCTCGGCTCGTCCACTCTCACCCCCAGGACCAACTTTCCCTCGAACTCTGGGTCACAGACAAACGTGTTAAAGCTTCCATCTTCCTTGACTGCCGTTATGCACGGGGTTCGGAGCGAGCTGACTAGGAACTGATCATGCTTCGCTTCGTAGGATACCCCCTCAGGGTAGAGGTCGGGTGCTTTGTACCAAATCCTCTTCACAGGGCCCTTCTTGGCTGCCGTTGCATGGATTGACGACAAGGTGATCAGCACTACAAACGCACTGACTGAGAATTTTGACACAGAAAAAGCCGCCATTGTGGGCAGGCTCCTGACAATGCTGAACGCTTGGGTCTGCAAAAGCTGGTCAACCTCTTCTCTTCAAACAGAGAGACGGTATGGATCCACCTAGCGAGGCAGTAGGCTCTGCACAGCAAACATTGAAGTTGAACTTGAACACTCGTCAGCAGGGCTCCTTTCTCAGTCTGCATGCTGCAGATTCCGCCATCTGGCACTGTCGTTCCGTTGGTGCCTTGATTCCGTTTGCTATTTTCCCCACGGAATTTAAACTTGAAAGGATGCGGCCGGAACAGAAGCGGAAGCTCAATTCTCACTCAACTTGGCGACATATTTGGTCACGCAGATGAGAATCAGGCGGGCTGTACGTGTGTGAGTGGCAGTGGTCCGGAAACCAAGGAACGGAACGCCAACGGAATCCCTCCTTACAGGCCTGGAAAGTTGAAGAAACTGCAATTTTTAGTCCACAATGCACATTCTCTAGACATCTGGCACATTGCCATTGCCACTGTTGGTAGGAAAGGCCTCGAGGAAACAATTTTCCCTCAATCCATTCAAGCCACCCTGATCAAATTCTGGGGGGTTGTTCTGCACGTCAGACGGAGTGTAGAGACAACTTAACGGGGGTCTACGTCCTTCGCAAAAAGTGCCGGTGCATTGAGCTTTTTTTTTCCCAGGTAAGATTGCCTTCCCAAGCATGTTTCAGAGGTGTTTAGACGACCCCTGAGACCATTGTGCTTCTGGTCACCTTGGAAGCGAAGGAGGATAAAACACCGGCAGAGAGAGCACCCGTCTCACCAATCAATAATGGTGATCCTCCTGCACTCAGATGCTTGACTCCATTGTCATATACATTCACATGATCGAAGTGTAGACATATACTCTTGGTGAGTACGATGATGATGACATACGGGTTGGTTAACCAGACAGGTTGCACTGCAGTTTTCTGCTGTCCGCATTGCCTGCATTCGAGTACTGTCCTGCCCTCAACTTGACTTGGATCACTACTACAAGATAAGCTTTGCAGTTGGCTCCGCATCCTTAAAACCGCTCGAAAGACTGTGAGTTGTTGCACTGGAACATGAGAATGATAAAAGGAATTAGTCAGACCACGGACATTAGTACAAAGTTCTCGTTACTTCCGGAATGCTATGACAAGCTTGAAAAACTCTCTGTGAGGCCCATTTATCCCTCACCTTACGCTCCTAGCGGGTTACCATTAACTTCGATTCTCTACCAACCTGCTAGCATAATCAAGGGCTTGTGGCTTGATCTTGACTAGGCTTTCTACCACCGGTTCGCATAGAATTGTGATTGTGGAGTTTGAGGAAAGACCTTCGACAACAAAACTTTTCATGCAGATTCTGGCCAACAGCACTTCTACCCTCAGAAGTCCAACCGGTGCCAACATGTATGCCGAAGAACGATATAGTATGCACTGGGGTTGGTATCTGCTCTTTCTTGTGGTGGTGATCGTTGGCTGTACCTGGAAGTATTTTACCGACATCTTCTTGATAGACAAAGCTGGGAGCGAAGAGATTGCTCAGGTAAGAAACACGTCAGGACTCACCTGGAAGTTCTGGTGTTGCTTTGGATCTCTTTTAACTTTAACTTGTTCCCGCAGGATTTATTTTGCAGTTGACCATGGTGCTATTCTGGACCATTGACACTCACAAGATGCACAAAAATCACAAGGTTCGAGTTGTCAAGTTCTTTGACATGGTATTTTGGCACACTCTGAACAATCATCTAATCCTTTCGTTCAGGGTGGGACGCCGTACAAGCACTTGCCTCCGGGCATCAGTTTAGACGGACTCAAAGAGAGGAAAGGAAGGAGAAAAGATATTTGAAGTGAAAAGTGAGCCATGCTCAATCGTAGATACATTGGATACGAAGCCTGGGGGGTAAGGTATCAATGTCATCCCTATGCTACAGCAGTATGCTGTGCCGTTGGGGCTAGGCTCATGTACAGTCTAGATATGTGTCCATAAAAGATCTGGTTGAAGTTCCATTGATACACGTTTTCCTGAGTGTTGGACAGCCATGCGGGCAATGAGTAGTGTGTTGTTGGGGAAAATGGCTCATGCTTTCAATCAGTCTGGTGTAACTGTTTCAGAAAACTGGCAGGCTAGAGTTAGTAGTAGTCCCTTAGTGACTGATTTGTCAAGCGGAAGGATTGCATTCTCCGAGTACAAAGTTGGACCGTCGCATTTGGCAAAACCTGGCAACCGTATGCGTAGAATCGCCAAATCAATGTTATATAGCTAGCTAGTATATAGCTGCAGTGCTCAAATTATGACTGTTCATTCAATGGTCCGGCGGACTGACTCGAGGATGAATGAAAATGTCTCGTACATCATACATGCCAGCAATGATTGAGGATCACATTATTGTATACAATGATCATATATGAGCGAGTATATATATAGTATACCTAGGGCCTGAACTACGGCAGCCTGACATACTATTATACCATATAGTCACTGACTCAATATATACGTCAATCGACGGTACATGTACGTCAGGACATGCGACGCTGAGAGTTGAACTAGCGCACCTACAGAATCCATGCTTGGCACGCGGGTCAGACTCATATGCTACTTTATAGGCCCGGCAGTATAGTGTGACGCGGTACAATGGTATGTTCAGTGATCCGATTGACTGGGAGTGGATGATCGCCCAGATACCTTGCATCAGCGGGCAGCCTGTGCACCCCGGCTATAAGCTCACGCGGCGCCGTTCTGACGAGTAAATGGCAGTACAATTAAGGCAGCTAGCAAGGTATACCATGATCAAAAAGGTGACCCTTTCTCCAGACTTTTTTCCATTGGTTAGCGGCTGGCCGGAAGACAAACACGCAATACAGGTATTTTGCTTAACAGCATCAGTAAATACACGGGCTCAATGCCCAAAATCACGACAGTTTTTGGGCAGCAGTGTGCAGACAACACGATTGGGACTACAAAGAGACCCATCATACAGCAACTCGTCCTACAATATCATAGACCTAAAGACTTCGTTCGGTCGACAACTCTAGTAGACCTAAAGACTTCATTCAGCCGACAACTCTTTCTCCAAGATTTGACACTTTTCATGCGAAGCACCCGGCAGACCCTAACACTTACAAATACTTTACACAACGCCTTCAGGTAGCCTCCTCGGAGCCACCACGATCGGAACTCCCCGCACGTGTCCTTGCTGTACAAAGTAAGCCATCGCATCCTGGATAACAGGCCACAAAAAACCAGAGGTTAGAAGCTCAGGCAAGCTCAAGTGTGCGACATCGAAGGAGCACCTAGGTCCAATTTTAGGAGGAGGGTCCTATGGTTGAGCTTGCATCAGGCATGTGACTTGGTTTGGGAAGCCTCCCGTACTCTTCTAGAGCTGTCAAGACTCTGATAGAAGGTTTACTACAGTTCGTTTTTAGCACTGCTCGTCAGGAACAAACCCATGAACGAAACAACGAAACAATCCAAGTTGACTTACTGCCGTTCTGCCTTCAGACTCAAAACCCCCTGCTTTCACCCATCGTCGGGAAGATTTACAGGCAACTCCTCTTAAAAAAACGGGCCGTCAATCCACTCATCTTGAGGCCTGGAAGGCAACTGACCCTCAGTCAGGCCGCTTTTCTTTTACAAGGAGAAGACTATCACTACACGTCAAACAAGCACACCTCGACTCGCATACAGAATCAGTATCTCACCTGCTGCTGACGCCTCTGCTGTGCGACACTGATTGCGCGTGCCATGATGTAGCACGGGAGGATAAACCCGATCGCCTTTAAGAGGAAGACCGTGAAGATGGCTGGAGTCTCATCGTCGTCGTCCGCCCCCGCTGCAATCATTCCCAGTGCGTGGCGCAGTAGAAGCAACGCCATGAACTGCAGCACAAAGAGGCACCCCTTCAGATTTCAAGAACGCAAGCGCGAGAGCAGGACTGCAAAATCATGTTCATCTTCAAAATCAAACAACCGTCCCAATAATCCGCAGTTCTCAGTACACCCAGTGCAGGGGCAGCGAAACGACGTGCGCGCAAAGTATTTCAGGAGTTAAGGCAAGAGTTGTCAAACTCTTTGACTTGGCTTTGGACGCTCCTGCCAAAGATTGTTGCGCCCAAAGTATCAGAACTCCCACGAGTCAGCCCGAGAAACGCAATCGGTGCAGTTTAGGTGTCAGGGATTGAAGTCGGTTTTTGGAAAAGCGCTGTTACGACTCTTCTGCCTCGTCATTGGCTTCACAACTAACATTTGCCAGCAGCAAAGGTGTATCAAGAAAGCAACCCGAGAGTGAGATCAAACATTTCAGAGCCACCTATGAGAAGTGGCTGATTACGGGTTCAGAGCGCCCTATCTGCACCTGACCTCTCACCTTGCAACTCACGGGCCCATAGGAAAGCCGCAGACCAGAACATCGGCAAGGGACACAAAAAGCAAAAAGCAAGGCAAAACGATACAGCTGAGGGGGGCCATCAACTCACAATCAAAGCGGCCGATCTGCACCAGGCAGTCGTGCTCGCATGCCCCTCATATTCGTTGTAGTCTACGTCGAGAGTGTACTGGTGGAGCAACCGGGGGTCGCTCAACCGCTGCCCCGCAAGCGCCCAGTCGTCACTGCACGTTGCAAATTTGATATCTGAGTTAAAGAGCACGACCGGGTTCGCATGCAGACGACCCGTTGAGTGGGGGCCAGGTTACGTGTTAAACATACGTACGCGACAAGTTGGTGAATCGTCAGTTGTGGCCAACTGTCCAAGTGCTCAATAGCCCAGTCGTCACTGCAGATTGCAGAGTCAACTTCTGGGTCGATGACCGGAGAGGATCAGCGAGGAGAGAACTCGCTGAGTAGAGCCAAACCCAAGAGGGTTAGCATGCAAACAACCCTGTGCCCACGGCCAAACCCAGTAGCGTTAGCAAGCAAACAACCTGCTGAATAGGGAGAGGATTACGGGTTGACCTTACAGACGAGGGGGTGGACCAACTGACCGTCCTAGCCCCTCATTAGCTGCAACATTGACCAGCCTATGCTACCCAGATCATTTGCACCTACACCAAGTGTTGGCAAACTTCACAGAGAGACGCTCTTGCTCTGAAGGGACAATTGCGTCTAGCACTCTCCACGATCGCAACTGCAAATATATTCTCCGAACCTTTCGGGGACGGCACCTACACTGCCTTGTTGATACCGTATTCTGGCCGAGACCCTCTGACCAAGTCGTCTAAAATGAACGCAAGAAACCACCCGAGTCAGAAGTCTGCCAGGAGTCCTCCCAAATTGTTTGACCTCCAATATAGTCCGAGGGTCCGAGGGTCAGATGCGAAGCAAACCTGACAGGGGAAGTCTGACCGTAACAGGCAAGTTACAGGGAGGCAAAAGCAAAGCAATAGACTCCACTTAGGACGCCACATTTTTCAGAGTTGGGGGCTGGAAAAGGCACTAGACCATAAGAACTTACGCGAATTCAAGTGGCAGAGCCACGGAGACCTGGGGAGGGGGTCGGGGAACCGCGGTATAACCCTTATACGGCTGCAACAAGAAGAGGGGTAGAGTTAGCGATACAGGACCTTTCGAATTGGGGGTGTAGTGCTCCACAAAAGGCCCTGGAAGCTGAGAAAAGAGGAAGAATTTGATCATTCAAGGGAAAAATACTGGCAATTGGACATGAAGACAAGCGCAGAACGGGGGCTTGACAAAGTAATGGATTTGCGCACGTGGAGGCGGATTACTCAGGTCATGAATCTACGGGTGTTCACAGTGAAAAAGCGGGCTTCAGGACTGTCTTTTGGAAGGTTATCTCATGAAGGCTCATTCAGTACTCTTTCATCTGCCTGGTTTCTCCACACTGAGGCACCCCAAGCCCTACTTCGCAATGGCATACCCAAGGAGCCTTGCTTAAGAGATTAGGGTTTGCGGCCCGGCCTGACCTGAAGTAAATTCATCTGATAACCTATCTAAGCGATTGAAGGTTAATGACTGAAGTGATGGGTTCTGCGAGGGCCGGAAGGCCATACCACATATGAGCTCGCAAAATGAAGCCTCAAAAGATCAAAAAGGACAAAATTCCAAGTCAATTGGGACTCCTGACTTCGCAAAGCATACCTGATGGCAGATTTCGCACACTGCATCCCCCTTCTCATTTGACCACCGCTGGACGCACTTTGGGTGCGCATACTGCGTAAGAGGAGGCCCGGAAACTTTACGATGGCATACAGATTTTTGTGAGAGTTGGGCTCAAGACCAAAGAAATGAGAAGACAGCCTTCAAATTCTCCCAAAACTGAGCACACTTTGCAACAGACCTAGATGGAAAGTATGTCAGCAATCCTACCGACCAATTCAGCAAACAAAATCATCGAACCTACAAGAATGTGGCGAAAGAAGTTTTGAGCAGGGAATTTCAGAAAAGTGCAAAAGGAGCCCTGTAGAAGAGCTCCCCCAACGCCCGCAAGTTTGACGGGTTGATGAATGTCGACATCTCGAAACAATGTTACCCAGAAGCAGTAATACCTGCGTCAAGGTCTTATACTAAGCCGCCAACGAGCTCATGCCAGCTGCCAATGCTCCTTTGTTCAAGGCAGCCACTATTCTGTGGAAAGTAATCCACATTATTCCTTTACTGGCCATTGTAATGTCAAGGACAGCTGTAAGTAAGCGATGGCAAGTATGCAGGAAACATGACTGATGCTAACTTTTCTAACCACTCACTCAAGAAACTCAAAAACGCATACCTTGACGCTTCCAGTGCACGCGCACGGCGTGTCCAAGTTTGCCAATTCATCCTCCTCCTGGCATATCCTGCACTCAATCAACTCAGACTCCCCGACCTTTCCCCTCCCAGCTTCCATCGACCTACTTTCCGCTAAAAGAGGTCCTTTTTCTCCGTCCAGCCCTTCTTCCGTCGTAACCTCCTTATCTGCCAAACCCTCACTCAAACTCTCATCTGGTCCCTCAACCTGGATAACATTGTCCTGCCCCCCTGCTTGCTGCTTCAATTCCATGTCAGGCTTGGATATTGCAACGGCCGGTGCCCCGTGCTCAGAGGAGGGCTCCCCAAGAAGCGCATCTGCAGCCCCATCCTCGTTGCTGGTCATTGGAACCAAGGGCACAACACGCAAAGTATGTCTACGAACACCTTCACAAAACCAGCAACTTTCGCGACGCTACCAAACAAGCTGGCTGTCAATTCTGTACAGTCTTGCGAAGAGCCTTGCTCTGAACCTGTCAGAGCTTCTTCTGAATGAAGCCGCCTTTCCCTTTGCAGTCAACCCTGTCAACTCCAGTCTCCAGTCGCTCAGTTTCTGCCTTCTCCTTCTCCTTCAAAGGGAGCGCCACCAACAAGCGGTCAATTTCTGCGAAAGGATATCGAACGGCACAGAAAGCAGAGCCTTCCAATAGCAGAAAGCCACATCAGCCGTCAAAAGAGAAGATTGTTTCATCGACGCTCGGAAGAATGCCACGTTTGCCTAAGCTTTGCCGGTGTAAAGGTCTAGCTGTAGCTTCTTGTGGCAGTGCAGCTCTGGAGAGACAAGTTCAGCACAGTTGAGCAGGACCAGTGGCATGCTTTCGATTGTTTTCCCCCTCGTTTGGTGCCAAGTAGTCCCAAACTATTAGGCTGGCAAGCAGCTCTTCAGCATTCCGATGCTGATGTTAGGTTGCAGAGGCGCAAGGAGCAGCTGGCAGCATTGCACAAGTCATACCGCTTGTACGGAACAATCAGCAAAGGAGTTTCTGACAAACTCAAATGGTTGAATCCGTGCATGTCTAGTAAGGAATGTTTTTACTACCACGCTCGTGGTTTCTCGTTTCATGCAAGACTATATCAGGAACAGCGCCTCCAAGTTTACATTGGTCTGCCATGTGCCAAATACAAAAAGCAACGTCCATCAACTCTGATGCTACTCTCCTGAGAAGCTCTGCACTAAAATCGCTTTCAAACGACTACCAATCTTGTGAATGTAACACACAGCTGGTGGCAAAGTTGGGAGTACTCTGCCGTCAAAAGGTGGCACTGATCTGAACATTATTATAAGGCTTTAGAACTCTAAAGCCATTATATTGGCACTGGTCTGATACAGCTTCAGAGAAATGTCCTCTCTGTCGAGGGGACTGTTAAGTGATGGACTACTACCGGACACTGGGGATCAGGAGGGATGCTACTGCGGATGAGATCAAAGCAGCCTTCCGAGCACTGGCCCTCAAGTTCCATCCGGACAGGTGAGCAAGGTCTATGCGACCACCCCATGCATAAGATGCGTCAATCTCTCCTGTGCGAGGTGAAGTTTAGCTTGTCGTTGACACATGGTGTTTCCAAATTTCCAGAATTGGCAAGCAAACTGATTGGTGCTGACGGGCCTCGAACGGAGAAGTATCAAGCTCCTTTCCGCCCTGTTCTTTTTGACCGGTGGTCAATCTGTGGTCAAGCGTGTAGAAGAAGGAAATATGGAACTGCCAATGGATGCTAGCGTCGCGGACGATTGTGATTGTATCTACCATAATCAGCTGGTCAAGCCTGGAGATCGAACCAGTGCTTTTCAGATTGCAGAACATTTGAAAGCTTGTGAGATCTCTGGCTGAGTTGAGGCGTTGCGGTTCAAGCGCCGGATGTTTGAATCAATGGATCCTTTAAGTTGCCATGTTCAGGGTGATGTTCTTCGGTTTGAGGCACAAGTCTAGTAAAGTCTGTGGACCCGTCTGCTTTTCCATGCGGGGTGTGGAGATTTGCTTTGTGAGAGGGGCGTTGTGCGCAAAAGGAGATTTTGGCTCATCTGCTTCATAAGATGAAGGGAATCAATGTGTGACTTATCTTGGCGTCTGGATATTGACGCACACTAGTACTTATGTCAAGAAGCTGACCAAGAAAGCTGACCAAAGTAGCCAGTGGCTCATCTTCATGAGGGTGGCTATGCATGGTTTTGCACAGTAACTTGAACACGCGTAGGTAGTAGGTAGTCATGGTGCACTGTCTGTCTTCAAAGTCACAATTGGTGTGTATTCTGAGTTTTTATGATCTTCACAGACCTGAAATGAAGTGTCAGCCTGATACCTGGCCAATGGTTCTTTTTGCAGACATGCTACGAGTGATCCAGCTGTAAAAGACAAGGCAGGCGCACAGTTCAAGGAGGTGTCTGAAGCATATCAGGTGTTGAGTAATGGTGAGCTGTCAAGCCTCAGCTTTATGTTTTAGTCTGGGCGCTTATCTGAAGTTCTGCGTGCTACGGGCAATCATGTCGTTTATTTGGAAATGGAACCTCGGGGATGGAGGTACAGTTGTAAGGTTTGTGAAAGTTTTTCAGGTTTCACTCGGTTTCGAGCCGATCCAGTTTGCCTGACCATTACGCACTCTCATATATAAGATGCTGGCACACAAAAGTTATGACCACATAAAATTGCAAGGCTTACGTGAGGCAAACGACTAGGTACCACACCTTGTGTTGTATTTTGCCGCGTCCAGTGACTCGAGTTTGGATTGTTTACCAAACTGGAAGCGGTCCGATCATTCACACATGCTGGTCAAAATCATTATGTATGTGGCTTCAGGGAAGGTCATTCCGCTAAAACCGCCTCGTTTGGGAGTAGACCATTGTTGAGAGAATTTATGTTGATCGAGAGGATGTCGACTTGCTTCCTGCCCCTATCATTTCGTACCTTCTAATCTGTTTAAGGTTGAGGAAGCCGCTTGAGAAAGGAGTCCCGCTCTTCCTGATTGGAGTTTCGAAGATTATCAGCTGTTTAAGTTGTGTTAGTACGTCCGATTCTGTCTCCTCAGAATTGGGTGCCTATCTTCAAGAGACAAGGTGCACATTGCAAATGCTCGGTCGGCCCAGGGTAATCCTGGATCTTCAGCTCGTTTGAAAAGCCAAGCGGTTATATATTCTCCTCCGACTTCTTGAGTGCAGACGCCAAGAGGGCGGTGTACAATAGAGAGGGCCGGGCGGGGCTGCATTATGGGGGCGCACCCGGATACCAACAGTACGCTAGATACCGAGGGGCGCACCGGAGTCAGTACACGGGATATCAGTACGACCAGTCTTTTCGGACAAGGTGAGAAGTGCAAATTGCCGAGGTCCTCGGTTTCACCAGGTGAATCATGCTGATAGTACGACTGTGAAAGTCGTTGCACCTGTCCAGCATCTGTTTGGCTTGCGAGCCCTTCCAAACTGGTCTATTCACCAACCGGGGTCTCCCTGCTCTTCTACTCGCCTCAATATGGCTTCTTCCGGAGTTGGCAACAACGTGGTTTGGCATGCATGCCTGCGCCTGAAATAATTGGACAAAATGGTTCCAAGGATTGCGGTTCACATCAAAACTGGCATCGCACACCAGTATGTTTTAAAGCTTTGTCTCTAAGGTTCTTCTATTCACTATGATCGAGCTTTGATAGTAGTCTTTTAGGAATTCGGGTGCTCTAGATTATTGGCAGCAACGGAGCAAATATTGTCTGACCAGTCGAAATGGATTCGGAGACGAGACTTTTGTTGTCTGCCGACGTGCTTTTGTCTCCGCAAAAGGCTTTCACTGTGTCTCATATGCGAGTTCAGAAAAGAGTTGTAATCTATTTTGAACGTTTAACAGGGCTCGCAACCAAAGCAGTCAAATAGCCAGAGTCGTTTTTGCTAGCCCGCTTGGTCTCGTCCTTCCTCGTGTTCGCCTTCTTGTTCGCCTGCTTTAGCAGGCTCAGCGCCTGGCGAGTCTTGGCTCTTTACATTTGAGTTCCCCACTGTCGGTGCTTTTAGCACGTCCCTCCGAATTGTGCCATCGATTTCATGGTCGCCATTCTCAAGCACACAGCTTCGGTCCATCAGGCAGACTGCTTATCATTAGCAGGGAGCTCCTATATCATCCGCTCCCTTGACACAAACGCCATAATGTTGCTCTACTCTAAGCGGACAGTTTGTCGGAGGCGGACAGCTCATGTCAACCGTGTAGGTTAAGACAACCAGATAGCTTATCTCCTGTTTCCCGCGTTTTCCACAGGGGATTCGACACATGGTGGCGTGCCCCCCTCCGGGGCTTCGGTCGGACGGACTACATCTTCCATGCCTCGATCGCGCTGTAAGCAACGAGTCTTCTTCACTTTCGAGATCCTTCCAACTTTTTTCTGATTCCGTTTCCGTCTCCTCTGCTCTTGATTCAGAGAGATGTCACCGGAAGAGGCTGCAGCCCGGTTGAGGTTCTACTTCAAGCTGGCCAGAATACAGACGTTCATAACGCTGTGAGTGGCGCACTTGATTATGCTGGCGCACCTAGAATTGTTGGCGCCTTTGCTTTTTGGTGCCCTTCTTTATTGAGTGGCCTATCATTACCTGCGTTGACAAACTTGGAATGCCAAAAATGCATTTTTAAAACGTAGAGCGACATGAGTTGAAGGACAGCATCCACAGAGTATGCTGCGAGGGTGCACCAACTGCGCTTCCCTCTGCTGATTACGTGAGCGGGTTCCAAATGAGGGTCGGGTCTTGCGGGTGCTCTTTTGTGCGACATAGTGATTGCAAGTCTTACTCCAGCTCCATTGCAAGTGCGGAGGCCGAGGTAACACTTTTCTGACTTCGTTTGCTGTAGTCTTCGAGTGTAGTGAAAAGAGAACAGTGTCGGACAAGGCGTATGTTTTCAGGTTACCGTTATCGATGTTGACTCCAGAAATCGAATTTACCAACCACAGATTGGAGTTTCCAGAAGTGCACGTATACACAAGAATCCCCATGACCATCTTCCCGTCCACCGATTTGACAGCAAGTTCCTTTGCTGTACAGGCTTGGACTGGGCGCCTTTCTCTTCATTGACCAAGCCGGGGAGTCGATGTGGAGGCGCCACAACGCCGGGGTAAGTCGGAAGATACCCGCAGCCTCACTCTGCAACGAGGAGACGAGCGTTTACTCTACTTCGTGCCGTGCTAGCCCACTTGTCTGTCTTCGTGCTTCAGGGTCTCGCATTTTGCCATAACGGGGGTTTTTTGAAGAAACTTTTTCTTCCATGTAAGAGTCTGTCAAGGAGATTGTGGGCCTTGATGGGTCGGCGTCTGGAGCAGTTTCCTCGTCATGCTAATGACTGTCTGTCGTTCCCACTTATCAAAGCACACTGCGAAAGCTTCGCTTCATCTTTGGCGCCATCTGATGTTTGCGGATTGGTTGACTGCTGCGACCTCGGGCAGGTTTGATGCTCTCCGACTGATGGAGAATTTTCGGTCGAGATGCTGAAAGAGTATTCTGGTCGATTCAAAGGGTCGACGAGCCCGACGATTGGTTTCTAGCGTCATGTCTTGTGTCCAGGAGTAGCCAAATGCTGGGGCTTGTCTCACTTGAGCTGCTGAGGTCTGAAGGTGTCGGTCTGTTTTCAGCCAATTTTTTCTGACCAGTGTCGGATGACACGGCCGGTGCATTGGATTGTAAAATGTCCCCTGTCCCCTTTTCTGCGTGTATCCGTTCGAGCGTGGTTGTGCTCGTCTGTTCGTTAAGACTCTTATCCTTTCCGCACATCCATCAGACCAAGCTGGAGAATCGAGATGCTGCACCGAGTTCTTACTCAGCCTATCCTAGTATTGGGCTCAGCAGGTGGTGCCAGAAGACTCATTGCGGTCGCTCCATCCTACGTACTCCTGACGATTGTCTGGTTGTGAGATGCAGAAGTCCTTTGAAGATTTGCAAGCCGCTCGCCAAGCCCAGCCGCAGTTCGCTGAATCGAAACCTAGCATAGAAACGGAAACAGTCCATCGGCCGGCTCGCCCCCCGCCCCACCTCTTGGTACGGCGGCCAAACCCCGGGTGGCCTTTCCACCATAGACGTCAGCGTGACGTCGTTGCAGAACCACGGAAGGCGGGGGGGACGCAAGAGGAGGCGCCACGTGGCACTGTGGGGCAAGAAGGAGGGTTGAAAGGGGGGGATGGAGCCGGGGGGGGCTTCCGGAAGCCTTCGGAAGGCGGAAGTTTAGGTACCGGATCTGGGCCGCGTCTAGGGGCCGCTGCTACGGATTCGGCTATATCGAAGAGGGTCTCGAGCTCTTCGCCTAGTGTTGGTACGGAGGGTTTGTCACAAAGGCCAGCGCGCGTAGGGGTTGTAAACAAAGACGGAGCTCGAGGTGTAGGAGAGCAGCAAGGTGTAGCAACCACCTCGCCAAGCAGGGGAGGTGCACATCGTCTAGCTCAACCGCAAACCGAAGGGTCCCAAATCTTCGAAAAGGTTGCATAAGTGGGCCATACATTTCATAAGGGAGGTGCATGGTCAACGCCCGTCATACCATTGACTGTGGAAGGTAGCAATCATTTCGGTTTTTGTTGAGCAGCCGCTCAGTTTTTCGTCAACCGCAATCACTCGCTAGGTCGAAAAGTTTCTTCTTTATGACATATGTGCAGCCGGGCCCATGGTAATATTACATGGTTGATGATACTTGTAATGTGTCCGGGTCATGAGGGCGTCATGCTTGCCTATTCGAAGTATCAAATACCGTCCCATCTTGCATATACGAACTCAACATGACCAGGTTGTAACTTCCGACGTGCATTTGTTTCATGAAGATGTCTACAATATATGCAAGCATCATTGCAAATAACTTGCATGACTCTGAGGCTAGCTATGAAATTTGAACTGCATTACCTATTGCCGGCCGCGGCTAGCACTGCGGCAGCCGCGTTATTGCCTTCAAGTTGCATCACTCAATTAGTCCGGGCCCGGTCACGGCAATGATGGCCACAGTCGTTGGCCCGGCGCGGCGCGGCCGCCGCCCAGTGGCCGCCCGGCGCGGGCGGCCGCCTTCCTGCCCGGCGCGCCGCCCGCGCGCCGCAAGGCTGTTTCCGTCATACAGAATCTGCCGGGAGCGTAACTGCCGGCGCCTTCTGCCTACGTGAACCGAACGTCGAAGCCTTACCGCGTTAGCTACAGGGTTACCGTAGCTTCATGGGGAATCTGCTTGGACGGGCGGCGTTTGGTTTGATGTTCTCTAAAGTCTAGTCTTCGATGATGTCCCACTTTTAAAATGTGTAGTTAAAGGCTCGGTATGGAACGTGCACGTAAACCTTTCGCTAACAAGGTAATACTTGGGTTTATGACGTTGCGCAATGCTTTAATCCGAGAAGTCGGCCCACTTGCGGCGGCGGCCGGCGACGCAGGGATCACCGTCACAATCACGTTGCACCTTCTGATTCGATGTTTGAAGGGCGGTGACCTATTAAGCGTGCATAATGCAGAAGTTGAGCTAGTCCTATATCCTAGCTATGGTAGCAGTTCTCTTGAGCACTCGAAGTCCAGTCCGAGAGCGACTTTGGAGACATTGAAGGCCCCTTGCATTTTGACTCTTTGTGCGAACGCTAGAAGCTCAGCTCAGCTCAGGCAAACCAAGCTCTTAGCTGACGTATATACAGAGGGCGCCTTTCTGGAACAACAACGAAGGAACTCATCGGTGTACATATTTGCAGCGTCCGATGACCGCATCAGCTTTGGCACCCAAGAGCAGCAGCCTCATGGATTACTAAGCAGGCCAGGATTCCAGTCTTGTTTCTAACAGTGTCAAGTTCACAATGGCGCCTACTAACCGTGCCCTCCTTTTAGCATTGCTCTGCCTCTACCCCTCGCTAGCATTGAGCCAATCAGGTTTCAATCCGTATCCTGGGTACTCATGTCCCCCTGCCTTTGCGCCAATCAGCACCTTCAGAGGAGACACCTACCATGCATGCACTGAAGACGTATGCTACAATGATGCCGTCGGTTGCGGTCCTGGTGAGTGATATATCCCGTTGAGGTGCTGTAATTGGACGTCTGATTTGGAACCCCTTTTGAGACCTGCCTGGTCTTGTGTCTGGAATTGGAGGCCACCTGCCAACGTGGAATCTCAAATGCTTGATATCAACGGCTCAATTACCTCTCCGAAATAAGTCTACTGGATTCAGACCCTTCAATTGTCTGTACAGACGCTGTTTATTATGTTTATTATGTTATTTTTGACGCGGGGGCCCTCGAATGTATCCCCGGATTTGTGTCGGCGCTCTGAAAGGTGTCGGAGTCGCCTTTCTCCTCAGCAAAACACACTCAAACATGCATACCCTGAGCTTACTTACAATCACAGACTTAAAAGACATTTTCGGCTTCGCTGGCTTTGCATTGCTGCCCACTACATCGCTTTGAAGCTGCCACACCGCTGCAAAAGGCGGATTGCTGACTATTATCGAAAATCCAGCACGCTTGGCAAGCTGAAGCGGACCTGTGCTTGGACCAGACTCTGGTATCTTCAGCCTAAGCTGAAGCTGATCAGGAGTTACTGATAGTTAGCCTGCTGAATATTCTCCAAGCTGCGAACCCAACACCAAGAGGACAGAGTCAGAGGTTCTCAGCTGAATGCATCAACTTGCCTGGAACAAAAGTTTTTCCCACCGGTTGTTTTTAGGTCTGGCATCCCATGAGCAAATTGCGACCTGCATTGCCATCCACAAAGACAGTTTGGCTGTTTGGCCCGAACGTTCAAGCTCTCCCTCAAAAAGGAAGCATGTGCTTCATTCCTGCCTGCCTCTTGTCATCAAGCATAGACTGCCCTCACACTTACAAACCGCGTATCCCAAAGCCTGATCGCTGACCGGAAAAACTGTTAAGGGTGCTCATATAATTCTGACGCATCCCCTTCGGCGCCCTTGCAGGCAACACATGTAGTGAGAAGTCCTCAAGTTCGCCGTTTGGGAATTTCTACGAGCGTTCCTGTCAGTGCAAGCCCCCATATGTACAGGGCCTCGTGCAGGGCTACTACACGTACCGCACCAGTTGCTACATCCCAGGTAAGGCCCGTCATCATGCTCTGAAGTCTCAGGAATTTTTTGGCACTTAACCATGGCTGGTTATAAGCTGGTTAGAAAGTGGTTATATAATCAGGGCTGGTCATAGTCTGGTTATGGGGTGGTTAGAAAGTGGTTATATGTTCAACAACTGGACTTAACCGGTACCAGCCTTGAAGGTTAGAGCCATAGGACACGGTCCAACAGCAAACGGCCTGGGAAGCAGCTAAAACCTCCTGTTTGTAGATGCAAGCAGAAACCAGAATGCGTAGACGTAACTGTGAACCATGTTTTACCTTCCTCTTTCAATTCAATCGACCAGGCAACAATAGGATGGGTCGTGTCACAGAAGCTAGAAGCGCTTGAACCACCTATGCGGCTTCCAGAAGTATACTTTCTCAGAGTAAAAGCTGATTTGGTCGAACAGAAGCTGGTACCAGGGACTAAAGTCAGTCACCTACTGTCAGCTTTTCACCACGAACCCAATCATGTCAAAACTCATCTTGAAAAGCTGACGCAGTTAACGCGATTAGCTGCAATGGCAATGGCAATGGCAAGCTGCAGAGAGCGCAAAAGAAAGAGAAAATAACCCAACTTTTGTCTTGGAAAGTCTTGGTCAAGTTTCGCTGAGGACGTTCAGCTCGATCGGTTTTGACCCGAAGACCTGGGGTTTTGGAGATTGTACCCAGGAACTTGTTTTGCAGAGCTTCTTGTTCCCCCCAAGAAGGGCCAGCACGAACAGCGACCTTGTTCAAGTCGTCCTGTCGAGCATCTTCGTTGCATGCCAACTATTCCACCATCTGTGTTATTCTTACATACATGATGCACCTCCGAAGTTGGCAACTCTCTTGAGTTGCCTACAATAGCAGTCTGAGCTCACACGAAACGTCGAATCCTGTCCTTGATACTAGAGCCAAAAGGCTGGAGGGGGCAAAATAATCAAAGGTCTTCTGTCTTTAAACTCCCAAGATGCTCCGTTGCTGCAACATTTGCAGGCTGTTTTTTCTGGGATCCTTCAAGACCTGCTTCTCCGAGTAAAAGTTGTGAGGTCTGCGACGCATCCCTTGCCGAGATGGATGCACCCGCGAGAAAAGAGATGGACAATAGAAAATTCTAAAGCCTGGATTTCCTTGTTTAGGTCGTGACGTGTGCACCTTTGCAACAGTGGAGCACGTGCTGTCAAAGCTAGAATCTCGCTTGCCATGATGAATCTGTTTTCAGGTATTGACGATTGCAACCCCAACCCTTGCCAGAATGGAAGCACGTCGTGCCTCCAAAGAAACAAATCTCGTTTGGCTATAGTAACGTCTGCTTTTCTCGTCCTCAGGTAATGACGTGTGCAACCCCAACCCTTGCCAGAACGGAGGCACATGCTTCCCGCAGCGGGAGACGTTGTCGGCTCCGCCCTGGGACGACCCGAACGGAACCATTGTCGACTTTGGCTGCTCATGCCCCCAAGAATTTGCTGGACGGACGTGCTCCCTTCCGTAAGTTGTTATTTGCTCTATCGTTTTGAAAGTTGAGGATGTTAAGGTCTTATGGCTTCAGAGGTCCTCTGCTTAATCTGAGGTTTGCAATAGAACCACGGACTTTGCAGTCGCCCAATTACGAGGGCAGTCGGAAAAGCAGCTCAACTGTCAGTCAGCTCAAGGGCTATGTACCGTTCCTGCACATCTGATGATCTGAAAGGAGATCGAAGAAGCGACTCGCGCTGCTTCTTCCCCGTTCATCCTTCTGAATATCTGTTCTCGTACCTTTGTGAAATTTTGCACTGTGTGACGTGCATGGAAAGACAGTCTCCCAGACGGTCTTTGGTACTCGTCTCCTTATGCCTCAGATTTTCCTTCTTTCATCGAAAAGTTTTGTCAAATTACACGTACCTCGATTGGAGGACGCTGAGTCGATTCTACGAAAGCTTCTCGTCCTCTTGCATTAGGCACTTGATTGATCTGCTCCAGGTTGAACGACACGTGTTCGACTTCGTGTCAGTCTTTGCAATCAGAATACTCTTCGACAGAAAAGCGGCTGAGTTTCCTGGGAAGCCATTCTTCCCAGCATGGCACAGCTCAACCCGCTGGTACCCTGCAAAGTAAAATCTATCCAGACTGTACACACGTCGCGTTCCTTGTGCGTTCCAAAGAGCAAGAAGTTGTCACAGGGTATCGCTTGTGGAACGTTCTTACAAAAAGAACCCTCGCTCATGCCAATGAAACGAATGCTAAATGATCGACGAACGATTAACCGCGTCTACTAGACGCGGAAGCAAAGCAAAGCTGCGGTAAAAACTTTTTGCAGGCTCGTGAACGGTCAATTTCCAGAAGTGATTGCTACGGCGCAAGGCTATTCGGGCCCGCTAGCGGCTGTCGGTTTCGGGGGTAAGTTATCGACTTGAAGTCAGCGACGGACACGGTGTTTGTATCATCTGCGAACGATCTCGTGCCTAAAATTTAAAGGCAATTCCTGGTGCGTCATATTATATGGTCGCAGTTGTGGATTTTGCATGTTTCGAGGTGTGTTTGTTGCGTTTCTAATCAAGACCCCCCCGTGCTATCAATCTTTTAGACCCGAAAACTCAAGACATTTTAGCGGTTGCTCTAGACTCTTCTTGAGGTTCGATTGCTCCGTCCGTTGTTTGGTTGTCTGGGCACTCTATTTCCATCCGACTTCGACCTGCACTGTAGCCTGCCAGCTTTTGTTGCGACGGAAATTGAACGCTAGACGCGATCTTCTGCGAGGCCTTCATTTCCGCAAGAGGGATCTGAGGTTTCTCGACCCCGACAGGTCTCTCAGCCCAAGCGACAACCTGTTTCATTCATTCATTTCAGCCGATCTGCGTTTTGACAGGCCCACAAAAGCGGATGGAGCACGAGGAAGATTAAATCTAGAATGCACTTTCCTACAACAAAGGCATCCCGAAACACAAGAATTCCGAGATATTCAAAGCTTCTCTTGGGAAACAATTGCAGATTCACGTCTCTGCGACGACGATACGTTCTTCCGCGCGTGCCTGTACGCTGATGGCAAACACTACGTGTGCTGCGACGGATTGTGCGGTCCGATTGGACCAGACGGAATGACGCCACTGTGCGTTGGCTCGGGGATTGTGCCCAGCCCAAATGACTATCCGATAGCCCCAAGTAAATTTTGCGGTTTGCGGTAAATCGCTTCAATGAAGAGTCATGCGCTCAAACGCCCTTTTTGTGGCACTTGGGGCATTAACAACTCTTAAGTTTCTAAGTTTCTAAGAATCTGAATTGACCAGAAACTCTGCATCCAAGGGGGATCCAATGGCCTCTATCGTGCGCCTCCTGTGGGAGTTTCTTGGAGCTCGGTTCCCTTTAAATCACTTCGAAATTCCGGCAGGTCTGCATTGACCTCTCGTTGTCACGTTTTCAGAATTCCGTTCAATTGCGACGAAGAAGATTTGTTTCTGGTAGGAGTTAAATCATTGCAAAACGGCGGGGACCTCTTAACCTGGGGGATATGGTGAATGGACGTTGAAAATAATGATGTGTATCTGAGCGGGAACAGCGTTTATATATTGAGGCAGCGCTTCTTCAGCCCTACTTTGACCAAGTTGGTTGTTGGAGGACGGGAAATGAACGGCAAGTGCGTGACGACGTGAGGCTTTTCAGAACCCCTTTGGTTCCTCTTGACTCCTTCCCTAAGAGCGAAACAAGGCAGGAAACCGGAACGTCCCTGGGTCGTCCCAAGGCAGTCCACATCAGGATCGTATTTGCTGGTTTTTCAAATCGCAGGTCCTCCGAACCCCGGTCCGACGCCGGCCCCAATTCCGTTTCCGCCGCCAGTCGCTAATCCTCAAGGTGAAACTCCCCTCCGGAAACGGATTTGCGCTGATTGTTCGACTTCTCTTACCAGTCATTTTGACTTCTGTGTCAGCCATTTCCGCATTCTACGTCACCCATCTTAATCACGCCGCATTCAAGGGCGAATCAACGACTCTGGTCTCATACTTTTGACCAAGAGGATCTGTCTAGGTCACCAGGTCTGCAAGCAGAAGAAGCCTCTGGATCCGGAACTCGATGTAAAGCCGAGCTCGTTCAAGTCTGCAAGAACCCGGCCGCTTGAGTCGTACGGCTGATGAACTTGGTTTTGGCCCCATCATGTCCCCAGCTTTCTGATTCACCATTGTTGCTCCATCCGTCAAGCAGGTAGTCAGACATACTTGTAAGAGAATTGGCAAGCAACACGTCACTGGACCCTAATGACCACTGCCACTCCATCCACGAGTGGCCATTCGCTCAAATCGCCGGAGATTGAAAGCAGATAAGCCAAAGGATCCGAGCGTCACACTTTGGTTGCGCGTGGCGTCCCTAGTAACCGGCCCGCTTGTCAAAAGCTAGCTACCAATCTGGGCTGCAGCCGAAACCTCACTTGTTTCCTGAAACACCAGCTATAGATGCTAAAAACAAAGGCGGGTCTCGCGTCGCAGGTCTTTGAGGGCTCGGCAATGCAGGCCCGTATCCAATCCGATGATATTTCAACAACGAACCCCAGGGCGCCACAAATGGAAACCTCGTCAAATAGCTGGGTTTGATAAACTTGGCTTTAATCAATCCTTCGTGCAAGTCTTTGCCGGGCTCGGCAATGCGAGTCCGTACCCAATCCGATGTAATTTAAACAAAGCGACCCCCTCGGGCGCTATAGAAAGGAACCTGGTCAAAGCCGGGTTTGGAAAAATTGGCACTAACCTGATCCCACGTGCAGGTTTTTGCAGGCTCGGCAATGCGAGCCCGTGCCCAATCCGATGCTACTTCAACAACGACCCCCTCGGGCGCTACTTATAGAAACCTAGCCAAATACCTGGGTTCGCAAACCTGACACTAACCTAATCCTATGTGCAGGTCTTTGCGGGCTCGGCTATGCGAGCCCGTACCCAATCCGATGCTATTTCAACAACGACCCCCAGGGCCGCTACGTTTGCTGCGACCTGGAAGGGTGTGACGGGTTCAATCCTCCAGACAACTTGGAACCTCATTGCAAGGCCAGTGGTGGACTAATTGTGACCCCGGATTCTGGAAACCCTCCTAACCCCCCCCAGACTTCCCCGCCTTCGGAGCCCCCCAGTGGGTCACAAGGTGAGGTCCAACTGCTCGGTTTGCCATTCCTGTACTTTAAGTCGTGTTTCGCGGCACGTAGCCATAGTTGCAGGCTTGGCCAGGCAAGCCACCTTCTACACAAGGTTTGAGCTTTTTCGACTGGTGACGCAAAGTGCCGTCCTTTGAAGCCGCCCTTCTCGACTGCTTACTCTGCCACGATACGCAAGATGCTGTCCTTTGAAACCGTCGAATCCAAACAGGTCCGGGCGAGCGCAATCGGCTTCTAGAAAGCAGTTTGCATACGAGGGGCTCGTTTTGGTTTTCTTGGATTTCTGGATCTTTGGATTCGAGCATTTGAGGCATTCGAAGAATTTACGAAATTGAAGAAAAGAGGTTTACCGCAAGAACCCCTATTGAGATGAGGAGCGTTTCAGGATGACGGGCCGAGAATGAAGCCGATGGAAGTAAATCAGTACGCCGGGCAAAAGTTCGCGTTAAAGAGGATTTTTTAAAGCGATCTCTTATCTGCTCGATATGCCTTTCTAGGCGATCCGTCAGCTCAACTTTCGCTGAGCCATTCGTTGTATCCGGCAGTTTTGGGTGGCCCGCGTTCCGCACTGGCTAAGCATTAAGTCAAAGCAACTAAAGTCCACCATTTTGCTCGAGGCTACCCAAGAATCGATCCCTTAGCTTTTTCTAGATGTCCATGCATCCCGGCGGGAACGCCCCCGCCACTAGTCGCGTCGCCATCGCTCTTTTTCCAGATTCCAAAAGAGTCCAGTGGGGACTACTTGATGATTTGGGGCTCTTCTTTGAGCTTATTGCCGGATTGAGCTGGTCGGAGGATTGTTCCGGAAAGTCGATTGGCCCACCTCGCAACCGTCAAATCTCAAATCTGTCAGCGGCAAGCTTTGATGAATCCTGCACTAAGCCGTTTCTACGTGTAGGCAATTGTGGGTCCTGCCCATTCTCGCAGTTCTCCAGGTCCGAAATCTAGCAAGCAGCCACCATTGACAAAGTCTGCATTACCCCGTTCCTACGTGCAGGCTCTTGTCACACCCGTGCCCTTAACTGACGGCCCAGTGTTGCGGTTGTCCATCACAAGTCTGGTCAAGCGACCAGGTTCATCAAACTGTCTACTGACCCATTTCTAACCCGTAGGCGTTTAGCATTGGTGCCGCTGACGCTTTCTCCACCCGGTGTTACTTCAACAACGACTTCACAGGGGCTCGACGTGTGCTGCTTCCACTACGGACAAGAGTTCCAAATCTCGATTTCGGACAAGTGGCCGCTTTACTGACAAAGCGCTAACCCGTTCCTACGTGCAGGCGATTGTGGGTCCAGAACCGCTGGCGCTTTCCCCGCCCGGTGCTATTCCAAACAACGACCGCCAAAGGCGCTAGAGTGAAAATCTAGTCAAAATTTAAAAAGCTGAAGTTGACCAGATTGGCACTAACCTCATCCTTCGTGCAGGTGTGTGCGGGTCAGGCGCTGCGAGCCCGTTCCCAACCCGATGCTATTTCAACAACGACCCCCAAGGGCGCTACGTGTGCTGCGATTCGGCAGGCTGCAACGGATTCAACCCTCCTGACAACCTGATCCCCCACTGCAAAGCCAACGGATACGCGCCCCCCGGCTATGGCGTCGGGAGTCCTTCTACCCCCCCGGCAACTGCCCCGCCTTCAGTACCCCCCAGTGGGTCACAAGGTGAAGTTCCATGAGTCTCTTGGACCGTTGAATCGGGCCAAGTCTGGTGTCTGAGCTGCTCAGAGAAGTCGAGCCGTCCGATTGGTAGGCTAATGCAATCGAACGGCCCGTGTCGCATCCGTCCGACTCAAAACATTCTTTTAATCGGCGAATGTTTCGTACGAATTTGGCCACAACCTGTCAAAAGTGCCGTCATTCGTGGCTCCCCCGCCCTTAACGGACGGCCCATCTGTGCGCTTGATCAGATCAGAAAGGCGGTCAAACAGCTAAATTTGGCGGACCGTATAGTAACCCGTTCTTATCAAACCCTCTGTCGCTTATTAGCAGCTGACGGAATGGCCCTTCAAATGCCGGGTCTGTAAACCAATGAGCATTAACCCGTGTCTCCGTCCAGGCGTATGTGGCTCCGGTGCCGCCGGCGCTTTCCCCACTCGGTGCTGTTTCAACAATTTTGACGTCACAGGGGCGCTACGTCTGCTGCTTCCCCTTCGTTCCAAAGTTCGATTTCGGTCAGGTGGACGGGTTTCATTAACCATCTGCGCTAACGAATGTTCCTAACCGCAGGCGTTTGTGGCTCCGGTCCCGCCGGCGCTTTCCCCACCCGGTGCTACTTCAACAACGACCCCCAGGGCCGCTACGTCTGCTGCTGCCTAGTTGGACAGAACGTTCCAAATATCAAGTGGGTTCAAGTGCATGCACTTTACTAACCAAGCGATAACCCGTTCCTAAACGCAGGCGTTTGCCGCTCCGGTGCCGCCGGCGCTTTCCCCACCCGGTGCTACTTCAAGTGACAGCGACCCCCAGGGGCGCTACAAGTGCTGCTGCCCCTTCGGACAAGATGTTCTAGATAGCACTTGGGTTCAAGTGTCCGGGCTTAATTAACCAAGCGATAACCCGTTCCCACCCGCAGGCATTTGTGGCTCCGGTGCCGCCGGCGCTTTCCCCACCCGGTGCTACTTCAACAGCGACCCCCAGGGCCGCTACGTCTGCTGCGACGCGGCCGGCTGTGACGGCTTCAACCCGCCCGACAATCTCTTCCCCCACTGCAAGGCGAACGGATATGTGCCGCCCGGCTATGGCGTCGGGAGCCCCGAAACTTCCCCGCCCCCTAATTCGGGGCCCCCAAGTGGATCGCAAGGCAAGCAACAACCCCACCTTTTGTGGTCAAGGAGGTTATGTTGATACAATACCTTGTACTCAGGAGAGATTGGCCCTCTTGACGGGGATTTGCTTTTGGTCGTTCTGGTACAGAGCTTCCATTTTGGGAATAAGCGAGCGCGGTGTGGGCTGCAAGCCAAGCCCTTTTCTCGATTCTCATCTTCTCTAAGACGCTGAGGGCTCATAACACTCTTTGAGTGTTCTTACCCACAACCGAGCGCTTTTGCTTCTTATTTTTGACAATTCTGTTCTTGTATTTTTCACTCTTGCATTCGACAAGCTATACGTTGCGGAATCCGCTAGGGTATTGCCTAAAGCAGTGTCTAGGCACAGTCATGAGGCGATCGACCACAAAAACTGGGCGCATTGTTTCATCTGAGCTTCTCGTGAACTCACGTCATCTGAAGCGTCAAAACGTTGGTGATTGGGGTAGTTGGCAGTCGGCAGTAGAGCAGTTGGGCATTGTCACAGCCTCAAAGGGGCGCCACTCTCCTTGATTGACACTTGTTATCAATGCAGGCGTCTGTGGGACCGGGGGCGCAGCGGCCTTCCCCGTCCGCTGCTACTACAACAACGATTCGCAAGGCAGATACGTATGCTGCGACTCCGCTGGCTGCGACGGGTTCAATCCACCGGACAACTTCTTCCCCCATTGCAAGGCCAACGGCTATGTCCCGCCAAGCTTGTAAATTGAGGTTTGGCGGCGAGGCTATGAGTTGCTAACATGACGAGCATAAGGATTGCTCATTTAGTGTCTGATGTTGATAGGTATACGCACAACTTGACCTCTTTTGAACCCGTTGCAGCAAGCGCTGATAGACGCGTCCTAGTAAATTTGAGAGCACTAGGTCCACGAGTAAGTGAGTCAAGTTCACAGTGAGTCCGTGTACTGCACGACAATTATATCCAACAAGTTTGCAGAATCTACTTTATATTGAAATTAAGTCTCAGAGTTGGAAGATAACAAATCCTTTAAAACACAATGGATGCATATATAGGTGCAGCCCCGGGCTCAGCCGGGCGGCGGCGGCGGCCGCGTACGGCCCGGCTGGCCGGCCGGGCTGAAGGAAGCTGCCTGATTAGGAAAGGCTTACGTGTTATGAGTCCGATGGACTCGACGCGAGCTCGATGAGCCGTATGTGTGCGTTCAATAACGCTGAGAATAGCACGTAAGCCTCGATATCTGAATGTGCAGTCCGTCACGTTCCGTTCAAGGTTGGACACTTGCAACTCGACATGTCAATGCAATGTCACAATCATCGAATGATGCAATCCGTGCATGCCGCTCAGGGCTGTTCAGCGCACGTTGGCAGAGACGTCAGTCCGCGTGAAAGCGCGCCGGTTTAAGTAGCCATATGTGCGTACTAAGTCACGCGGATATCAGGTGGACGAAGCGCCCCCGGGCCCCGGCCCGGCCCTCATACATATATGCAATAAGGTGGGCCGGGCACTGCAGGGTTGCGGATTGAAAGCTGCCGCCAACTAGCTGTACGTCACGACGGTCACCGAGTCAGCAATTGGACATCGTCGCCGGAAGTCATTATGGCTAGTACGAAGCATTTGCGGCCAGCGATACTTCGCCGCATGCGCGTGCGCAGCACCATGCATGATAGACGGGCGCCGGCAGGTATATTGGACGCAAAAAAAAAGCCGTGTACTCCGATCACGTGCTGTATTACAGATTTGCCAATTGTTCATTCTGCAAGCAGCAAGATCGATCTGAAACGACCAATACGCCATGCTCAATTTCTCTGAGAGCACGCTGAGTCAGTACAGCCATGATACCGGCCCAATTTAGTAATTGCGATATATTTAATGAGCCGCAACGCGCTGGGCGTGCGGTGCGCGGTGTCAAAACCCACACTTTGAAATGAAAGAACGGACTCACTGTGTGGATCCAAACTTCGAAGAAAGTTTCACCCGAAGCTCGCAGCATTTGCTCTTGGATCTGCGATTATCGATGCCAACAACTTCGGCAGCACTGACACAAAAACATGACTTCGTTCTAACCCAACTGCAGTAGTAATTAGCCTAGGCTGAAGCACAACCATTTCGAATGCGCTAAGTTGTCTACATCTGTTTCGGTCGGAGCGGGCGCCCTGCCTTAAGCATTCTTGTGACCGCAAGGACTTTCCGTCCGGCTTCTAGTTCCGTCCCGCCTTCCGTCCTCCGGAATCAGGAGCTTGCGTTCTACCGCTGCGGCTCCGTCCAAGTACCGTCAAAGCCCCTGCAGGCAGAACTTAAGAGATGATTCTGGAGAGGTATATCAAGAAAATAGCGTTCGTTTCCAATGACGAATGAAGCGAGTTACCATCCGCGAATCCCAAGCCAAATCCGACAAAGCCTAATCGCTACAAAATGTATGCACTTCAACAACGGTTTGAATAGAGAGAAAAGAAAGACTTAGCACAAACGTGCTAAAGATCTGATTGTGCAGGCCGCAGGTTTGGGTAGGAAGCAAATGTTCCGTGAAGCATCCGACCTGACTGCCAGCTAAGCAGTGTGTTTGCCAACAATAGAACACACCCAATACAGAAACCTCCATTTCACTTAGAGGAACGGAACGGTTGCGAAGCTGCTGTCAGCTGCGGCTGTGATGGCCTTCTGCGTCAAAAATGTCAAGGATGCAAAAATATCCATCAAGACCAGTCACAGTCAATTCGAACCTCCCAACAGCAAAAGGCTGCATTGAGCTCGACGCGATCTGCCATCCGGCGTTTGCGAAGGTTAACCTTACCTCTCTTCTCAGCCTCATCAAAGTCTGCTGCTTTGAACGTGTGTTCACAATCTCGGGCGGTCCATCAAGCGCGCTGCGGGCGTCGAATTCGCTGAATGTGTGGATCCCAAGACGTCATTTTCGAGAATCGCAGGAAAGCAAGAAAGAGAAAGAGATTTGCAAGAAAGAGATTTGCAAGAAAACTTTGTTGAAGGAAAGTTTCTTGATAACCCACCTGCAGCTCTTTTGCTGGCCGCCCACCATGTCGACGGTGGCGCCGCGGCCGCTTCCTCTTGTCCACGTCGCGTGCGTCGGCAGCGCTGATTCGCCCTGATTCGGCTTGGCGCAACACTTCGTCTAGCCACCGAGGGCAAAGACATATTAAGAAGTAGATCCGCGACGCGTTTTAGCTGTGCGTCGGCAGCGCGCCGCCTTTCCTTGCCTACTTTTCCCATCTATCGAGAATTTGGTTACAACCCGTGACCGGAGGGTCGCTCAGTGGCTGTCAGGAAACAGCAACTGGACACGATCAGGCAAAAGCACTTTTTCAAATATCTACGATGAAGCGATGTTGATCAGATTCATTCAGCACCCAGTTTTATGAAAACCGACTCAGTCGGAGACGGAATGGTATAAACGGTCCTCGCAGGCTTCAGACGAGAACTGTGAGCCAATGGGATACTCATACATCCCAAGTTGCGAAATCATCATCGCCTCTAAAACGTGCCACCTTAAGTGGATTTGAATGAGCTTTCTGGGTTATGCTGGTCTCATATCAGTGCCGACAAAGTTTCTTCCACTGCATGAGATGCCTCCGGAAGCGGGCAGATTATTTCATAAGATGTACACTAGACTTTCAGACTCCAATCACGGGAGATAACGAACGACGGCTCTCGACGCCAGCCAGGCTTCGACGCAGGCACATCACGGAAGCCGGTTCAATCTATCACTGAAAATAAAGACCTGATCTTTCTTGGATGATATCCGCTCCCTCTGCGTCACACGTACAGAAACCGGTCAGGTTGGGCTCATACCAAGCCAGAAAACGGTCAGCCGCTACAGGAAGACGCGACGGATTTAGGCAGACACAGAGTGAAAAAAAGCGAGCCCCGCAACCATAGTGCGACTTTCGTTCCGTCGGGGTACGGTGTCTCCGGAACGCCGTGCGTGGCTTCAGCGCTCCGCCACCAAATGCTGTTGTCCCGGTTCTGGAGGACAGCTTTCTGAGCATCTCATCTTTGCCACCAGAAATAGGTCAACAATCTCAATTGCTTCTGTTGTCGTGCTCAGCAGGAGGGCAACGTGGACGTTGCGGTGGGCTGATATTTCAGTCCCAGAGCTTCGAGATGTCTTCGCCACACTTCCACGGATGCCTTCTGAAACAGGCACCATCCAAACGTCGTAAGAAGCGATGAGACCCGAGTTTAATCATTAATGTAATTGAGGTGTGTAATGTAAGGCTGCAGGCAGGTCGGCATAAGCATTGAAAGATGACCCTTAAGCAAAGGTTTAATTTTGCCCCATATAGCCGCTGAGACACAAAGGTTTGTTTCCTTGGAAACTTGACCCCGCGTTGTCTTGCCGGCGTCGAGGGTTTACATCTCGTGCCGCGCTTCTTCTTCGTTCTCCCTTCCGCCGTCTTCCGTGTAAGGCTTTCTCTCGCCGCCTAGAGTCGATTGTCGAATTGAAGCGCATGGTGGACACAGATCAGGATAAGTATTTGTAAGGAGCAAGATCGAAATCGATTCAGCATCTCAATCGTCTCAAAAAAATGCATCTCAGGAGTCGCAAGCTTTAGATTTGTACCCGAAGAGGCTTCAGGCTTCATATACGGCCGGCAACATCCATGAGAGTTTTGAAGGTGCTCCCAAAGGCGTAATTCCATCGCCTCAAACAAAGCACCTAAGATGCACGAGAACATCTACTTTCGCGGACAAATACATCTCTCGTGAATCTACTACTGGCGTGTATTACCAAGACTCAGCTACTTAGCTTACAGAGGGAGTCGTCACGACGAAGTCAGATTCGATCCGTTGCGGTCATAGGTTCGGCATCAGCAGCGTTGGGCCTGAGCTAGCCTGGCCCACGAAAGGTCGAAACTGCGCGTTATCAGTGCCCACATAATGATTGTACGTCACAGATTTAGTTCACCACTTGCGCCTAGAATTCATACTATGACTCAACCAGACAACCGGTGCTAGCGCCATCCGTCCGGTCAGCGACTCACGTGCAACTGATATTTCCGAGCTGAGAAAATCGAGCAAACAGAGAGTCAAGCTGCAGGCCGTAAGGTACAGAACAGATGATTTTATAACGGATCACTTACAGCTTCGACAAATAGCTTCGACAAACACTTTAGGCGTTTGAGTCAGAACGTCGAGCAGTAAGCTGCCGGCCAGCATGAAGCCCGCAGTCGAGAATTTTCGCGTACACGATATAAACCAAGCTTGCTCCCAGTTGAGAAGCGCCGCAGACAGTCTGAACGACAGCCCATTTCGAGACCATTATTTGACACCGTCTTGGCCTCAAAAAGCCATGCATGCTTCCAAATTCGTAACGGGCTCGAAATCCTCGGAGCTGGTCGGCTGTACCAAAAGAGGCTGACTTTCGACTTGCCTCGACCAACAAGACCAGTCGTGGCGTCTTTACCATTTCATAAGCTGGCTAATCTGCATCACCCGGACTCCCATCCAGGCGTGCATACGGTAGTTTGCAGGCGGCTGCTCAGCATCCGCCAATTGATCACAAAACGATATTTCGACTTTATTTCTACGTCTGGCCGACCCACCCCGCCGGTGCGCTGCAAGCTTCAAAGTCGCCGAGCGGAAAGATCACAGGACGTGAATCACTCAAAGATCCGCCAAGCTGACATAGAATTCGTGTGCAAGCTCACGTTTGGGCGACCCACCAAGCGCAGCAAGCCTCGAACTTCGAAGTCCCCGAGCTTTAGGATTTTAGGACGGTTCGTTTGTACCGAGTGTGAAGAGGACCCACTTGGATCCTCTTGTAGGGCGGCCACCATGACAGCCGCATCGGCCGCGGCCGCGGCCCCCTTCTTGCTGCTCACGTTATCACACGTCAGCAGCGCTGCTTGGTCGGGCGCCATGCTACGTCTTCCAGCCGGCGGAATTAACTTGAAGACCCGCCAGCTCATAATTTTCGCTTCTGCCGTCGGCATTTTGTCTGAGCAATCCTGGGTTCTTAAAAACCTGAGCCGCTGATCAACTGTGGGAGCAGTCTGACACAGGCTGCTTCTTGGATGCAAAAAGGAAACTGAGATAAACA